GAGGCCCAATAGAAGTAGGAGCGGTATATAGTATGAGGTGGTGTGGTAGTGTAGAGGATACTGACTTGCTCTATTCCAACCTTCCCCAAGTTCCTTATACTGGTCTACTGTTTACCCCCTCCACCCCGTTAGTGAAGGCAGATACTAGGATGATTGAATGAAATTAAAAAAATCTTCATTTATGTTTAAAATTTAACCATAATTTATATAATTTATATTTATTGCAGGCGAAGGCGTTTAGACTTTATTATTATGAAGAGCATGTTGAAAGTTTTATACATTGAGTAGTGAGGGTCTGAAATGAACACAATGTACAGTACTACAGTAGTTTCGGTTTGTTTGGTGTTTCTGAGCGAGTTGCACCTGATAATAACGTATGGTAACTGCAGGTGCAACTCATATTCAGAAACACCAACCTAACCGAAATTGCTCTACATGGTGTTCACTTCCAAACACCGGACCCAGGTGGGCGACAGTAGGTAGTGTAGGCAGCTACCAAACAGGGAGGTACTACAGCCTGGAAAGGTATTGGAAGCATGTGTTGTCTAATGGTGGACCCTGCTGCCATGTGTAACTAATCCCAGGTTGATGATATGACTTTGTCTCATTTACACACAATTGCAGGGTCTCAATTGTTTCTCTTACTCTGACAAACACAACATACATATCGTTTCTCACTATTATTTTTTTTTAATTTGTATTTATTTGTGGTCTATTATTATTATATGTTATTTAATATTTATTATTATTATTATTATTATTATTATTATTATTATTATTATTATTATTATTATTATTCGCCCCCAGGCCCTGATGTGGGTTCATTGACCCACCTGGTGGACTAATCCCGTAAAAAAAAAAATTGTGTGTACATAACTTGAAGTAAGGTTGGAGAAGCCACAAGTTCAGAAAATTGTCAGGACAAACTTTTTAGGCGTGAAAGTTGTGAACTCTTGGACCACTCTGCCAGTGTGTTGTGACGGCACCGAGTGTGAGCTCTTTCAAGGCCAGACTTGACCAACACTAGAGCAGGTTCTGATATATTCAGGAGCCAGACGCAACCGAGCGCCCAAGCGGCTAACGAGCTGATGAGTGGCGAAGAGGATTAAGTATTAATAATTCCTGTATGCATTTGCCCGCTATAGTGCAGGCAATTGAAACCAAAAGTAAATATAGAGAAATTAAAAAAAAAAGAAAACTGAGAAATATAAAGGGGTAACTACTGTAACTGAGGGAGATGATTAGTGAAGAACACGAAAATAAGTGTTAGAAATGTTTTTTACAGCAGGTAACCCGAATAATCGCAGGTTAGGAATAAATATTTATCCTGGCCATCTTTGTGGTAGGTTTTAAGCATACACTATTTTCTAGGTAAAAAAAACCGAGAGAAAATCTAAAGAGTGAGTGATGAAGATGGGGGGGGGGGATGGGCAGGGTGGAGATGGTGAGGGGAGGGTGAGGAGGGATGATTACTTAAGACAATCAGAAGACGTCAGTGGAGATGAAGAGAAAGTGGGTTTTGTTTTTATATGAACGTGATGTATATCCGCTTGGCTAATACTGTCTTGGTGAAGAGCAAATAGTTTTGTGTACTGAAGACTGCTGGTGGTTGCCTCCCCCAAGCGTAGCGCGACGTACTGTATGTTGAAGACGGGAGATGCCAAGAATAATTACACCAATAATGGGGCTTTTCTTTAGGGAGTTTCCGACGAATAAGGATAATTATCACTAATGCGTAGATATAAAATTACTTCTATTAAGATCCTTTGGGAGGGGACTAATAAAACAATAAATCAACCAAAACAAAACAATGAATAGTAATCTCTTGGACGACAAAACTGACCCCCCCCCCCTGCATGTCTGTGCTCGTCAAGTTCCAGTCAACACTTCTCGGTAATTTTAAAGTTTTGAGTGTTCAGCTGTGTGTGTGTGTCTGGGTGGACAGTAATAATAGGCGATGACATAGCACAAACTATTGCTTATCCGAGAGCGAGTTCTCTCCTCTCAGCAACGGAAGAAAATTGTCACTGTAATTATATGAAACGAGAGAGAGAGAGAGAGAGAGCTTGCTTGCTTGCTTGCTTGCTTGCTTGCTTGCTTGTATGTGTGAAGCTGGAGCAGTTATTATGAGGTAAATTACGAATACAAGAGAGCAGTAATGAGTCAAGATGCCAAGGTTACTGACCGCTCCAGGCCGCCGTGAGGAACAGCTGCAGTTTATATTAGCCAATGAGCTGCTGTGTTCCGCCTCATGCATTATCAAGTAGATCAAATTTCATTGTTTTTGTTAACCCCAGATTTAACATTCTTCTTAGTCATTACCATACGGATGTGAAGTAAAGGATGTTAAGTTTATGCGCGTTTGTTTTATGAATGTTGTATTATACTTGAATGTTCATGTTTATTATTATTGAAGAGAGAAGTTGAATTTATTTTTCCTCAAGTTTTGACGATGGTACAGTTTACTAGAAGGAACTGTAGTCAATGGAATATTTGTTTTATTATTATAAGACCATTTAAATTGTAGTTACCTATAATATATTTTGTTTGTTTCGTAACTTTATTTTGAATGATCATATTTGTATTAGCTATGGTGTTCTTGGTGTATATAATAGGCTAACTAATGTTAACTCCCTGAGGTGGAACCGGTTCGGGTGATTTCACATCATTATATTACTCTTGATTTTAATTCATAACATTGTCATCATTTCCAGGTCACATTGATGCTAACCCGTCAAATATCTCATAAATGGTGAACTGTGATCTCATTCTCGCTTTCTTTATCCTCAGTTTTTAGGTTAATATTCTAGTCGACTTACACGTTGATAAATTACATACTCCAGAATAATCCGATAGATAATGCGGATTTGTGGTAAAACAATGGATGATTGTGAATGAATGCTATGGGTCTAGGGGTGCGGCTGCTGAGATGAAATAGTACTCATTTCTGTCCTAAGAGTCAATGGTTCGCGCCCTGAACACCCATCTACCTGCCCACTTTCTCCTTCGTCGACAGTTGGGTCATTACAGCCATAGAAATTCGGCCACGAAATCTCCTTCGTATACAGATGTTCACTGTCCCCAATAGGCAGTTAAAGACCTTTGCTAGATATGCTAATAAATCCGCCAGAAATTAACTACACTATCCCCCCTCAAAAAAAATATCGCGTAAGATGTACTCAAGAGATTGAATTATACTTTAAAATAGACATGAATGGATCCAGACAATTGGCCTCAACCGAAGTGTTTGTTCACATTCACACGCCTTCGGGTTCACAATGACAAAATTACTACAGAAAATCTCATACGTTTTAATTCTTGCCGCCCTAATGTATTCACTTTGTCACTCACTTAAGACATTAGTTGTTGTTAAAGGGAGCGCAATAATAACAAATATCAACAGCACATTAAAATATATTTGGGTTTTTAATTATATTGCGGTAAATAAATATTATTAGATCATTAATTGTGCTTTATTGTGCAACACAGTAATACTATTTTGAATATATATATATATATATATATATATATATATATATATATATATATATATATTTTTTGTTTATTTGTATTTATTTTTAATCATATTTGTCACTTAACAGCTTACTAGCCGTTTGGGCGGTTTAACCCATATATCGGGTATTGTCCCAATTCATAAACTAATTCAATGGATATTAACTGCCCCTACAACAATATTGATATTATTTTGATTTTGGTCATCTGGTGAACCTTAAGATTCTAACTATGGGATTAAGTACTGTACTTTAAACAATAAGACACGTTATCACTACAGGATTCCTGTCGCAAAACATTTTTCGATCGCATAAGAAAATACAGATTATAGGTTAGGTTTTGGGTATGATGAGTTATAAGGCTAGCTTAACATACATCGGTAGTAACTCAAAACTAGTGATTTTCGATAGAAATGAAGGTCTAAATCGTTCATAACACATCGCAAACCAACAGAAAAACAGTCTGCATGTCTTAAGTACAGGGATGACCAAAACTTAAAATTTACCCAATATAGTCTATCTCGAATCTAAACATCAAAATACTTTAGTTATCGTAAAATTTTACCCATTAATTAATATAAATGATGATATATCCCATTGGTTCATTAGTGAATCATCAAAACGATAACAGCACTGTGTCGTCATGTTATCTAGCACCAGGCATTCTCAAAACAAAGTCCAGACAATGTCATTACTTCTAAATTTACTCGTAGCTCCATCTAGTACTGATATACTCTGTAAATGAACTGGAAAAAGAAAAGAGAAAGTCCACCAGGTAAGAGTACATGACAGCTGAGCTGGTGTGAACATGGGAGTTGTTTATGTCCAAAAGAACATAAGAATGGAGGACTCTGCAGCAGGCCATTCTGGGCGGTCCCATTTACACCCAACCCCCACCGCTCCTATATCCATCCAGTCTATGTTTGAAGCTGCTCTTCACGGCACATTTTTTCACTTACGAAATATCCACGACATAGACCATAAAAAACACCCTTAAAACTTGCCTGAACGTGGGGTCTGAAGAGGCCATCCTTTATACTACCTTTGACTGCAGCGATGAGTTTGAAACTAATGACGTCTGTTTCTAGAGAAATTAACCTATCTCAACTATTGTAGCTGGACTTTAAACTTTTATTACAAATTATATATATCGTATCAGTCTACGAACGTGTCAGAGTGTATTTCTTGTGTTTACCCAGAACCGTCAACTCATCCATTGTGTGCATGAGGCAGAAAGTCAGATCAGCAACCTGGGACTTGGTCACAATTTTCGTGATGCCATATGGCAGCAAGGTCTACCATTAGACCGCATTATGCTTCTAATATCTTCCCAGGCGGTAGTACCTCCCTGTTTGGTAGCTGCCTACTACTGTTGCTGGTGGATGTTGCTTGTTTTTGTTACCAGAGGATGTTGCTTCTGTTTCTGACTGTTACTTGTGTGTTACAGGTGGATCTTGCTGTTACTGACGTGTTACTTGTGTGTTACAGGTGGATCTTGCCGCTGATGAGACTAGGTCACAGTCGACCCTTGGAGGTACAGGACCTCTACCGTGTACAGGAGCAGGACGCTTCCTTGGGTCTGGGTGACAGAATGCAAAAGTAAGTAACATTTAATTTGTAGTATTTAGGCAGTGTTGTGCTTATACTGACGCTCAGGGTGACACAAGCAGGCTGGCTCTCACACTTAGGGTGACACAGGCAGGCTGACTCTGACACTTAGGGTGACACAGGCAGGCTGGCTCTGACACTTAGTGACACAGGCAGGCTGGCTCTCACACTTAGGCTGACACAGGAAGGCTGGCACTGACACTTAGGTGACACAGGCAGGCTGGCACTGACACTTAGTGACACAGGCAGGCTGGCACTGACACTTGGGTGACACAGGCAGGCTGGCACTGACACTTGGGTGACACAGGCAGGCTGGCACTGACACTTGGGTGACACAGGCAGGCTGGCTCTCACACTTAGGTTGACACAAGACTAGATATGAACAAAGGAACATTATAAGAACATAATTGGTATAGTATCGTACCTGGAGTGTTGGTGTGTGTGGCAACGAGTGAGGATGATGGGAGTCTGGCTGTTGTATTGTAATGTATTTTAATTTTTTTCTACAGAAGTTGGGATGAAGAAGTAGAGCGCAGTAAAGCCAAGGGGAAGAAGGCCAGTTACGTTAAAGCGGTTATCCGTGTGTTTGGATGGGAGTACGCGCGTGTTGGTATCCTCGCAGCCTTTGAGGAATGTGTCCTCAGGTACTGTATGGTCTAACATACCACTCTTCACATATTAATTAAAGTTATTTTTACCTCATAGTATTAAACTTAATATTACAGTAGCAACCTTTCAACTGATGAATGACAGTGGTAAGTGACTTAATTACTGCTTTTATCTGTCAAGTATGCCAAGTGACATGTTCTAACGACAGATTGCTTTTTGTACCGAGTAAACGCTTGTGATCTTTTGTGTTTTACAGATCGTAGCCAATTTACCATACTTGTTTTGTGTATGTTCCAAACACATTAAATTTTATTGTAAGTAAGATGTAAATAATGCACTTGTCAGCACTAATTCTATAAGCGGTTCATTGTATGATTCTTAAAGTTCCGTGTGAAGTAAATCTTGTACAATCACTCAAAAAACTATCTCTACAAAAACTGTGTTGAAGAAATGACGCAACCCTACCGAGACAACAGGAGTCGCAGTGTATATTCTGAAATTCATCGACCTCCTAAGTAGAGATAGTTTTTTGGGTGGAAGTACAGTAGCTAAAACAACACTATGTACAGATAGGGGTCAAGATGCTCCAAAATTTTACGTGTGACTAGTGACAACCCTCATATACCAAAATTTATTGTCCATGGTCTCATAATATTTCCCACAAAGGATGCACAAATAGTTGTTTTAGTTACTGTATTGTTTATGAATTTAAGGTTTATTAATAAAAGTAGAATCAATGAGATGTAGATCAAATTTGCAGGTGTTATAGAATTTAAATATTTGAATCTACCAATGGCTGAGAATCTTGCTCGCCAGTACAAGTCAATGGCTGCTGTGAGCGTAGTAACAAGTCGTCATGGAGTGCACTGTATTATTTGTTGTTTTTGTAGTACTACAGTATGTTACAGTAGAAAGAGATTGATTCATGGCCTTTGTCACCTTTGTGTTTAGCAGCGCAATGTTTATCAACTTTGTGAGTGTATTTTGTGGGGTGTGTAGAGTACAGTACAGTAGCTTCCTCTCTTGATTGTTGTTAATACATGTTCTTTCTGTTATGTTGTTCCAATATTTATCTCTTGTTCTCCTTATTTTCCCTCCCTTAATTGTTTTTCCCATCTAAACTATTTTTTTTTTGTCCTTTTGTTTCACTAGGTCTCTCTCTCTCTCTCTCTCTCTCTCTCTCTCTCTCTCTCTCTCTCTCTCTCATTTCTTCTTCCTCCTGAATTTCCCATCCTTTCATTGTACTCGACCTTCTCTCCCTTCCTCTTCTCTCCTCCTACTCTGTCTCCCTTCCTCTTCTTCTCTCCCTTCTCATTTATTTTCTCCTGCCTCTCTCCATTGTTGTCAATTTTCTCTCCTCATTCCCATTTCTTCTTTTGTACTTTATTTCTCCTTTCCCCCCTTTCCTCACACCCCATTCTCCTGTCTCCTCTCCTCACACCTCTTCCTCCTACCCTCGCTCTCCCCCTCTCCTCACTCCTCTCTCCCCTAACTCTCCCCTCTCCACTCTTCCCTTTCCTCCTTTTCCCCTCTCTCACTCCTCTTCCCCTCTCTCCTCTCTCTCCTCACTCCTCTTCCCTCTCCTCCTCTTCTCCCTCCTCTTCTGCTCTCCTCCACCTCTCCTCTCTTCCTCCTCTCCCCTCTCTTCTCCCCCTCCCTCCTCTTCTGCTCTCTCCTCACTCCTCTCCTCACTCTTCTGCTCTCCTCACTCCTCTCCCCCTCTCTTCACTCCTCTTCCCCTCTCCTCACTCTTCTCCCTCCTCTTCCGCTGTCCTCACTCCTCTTCTCCCTCCTCTTCCGCTCTCCTCACTCCTCTTCCGCTCTCCTCACTCCTCTCCTCTCCCATATGTAAGAGTGGCACTATTCCAGGGTAGCCCAGCCTCTCTTGCTTGGTGGTTTGATCCGCTATTATGACAACCGCTCTGTCATGAGCTTCACCTCTGGGGTGGTGTGTGCAACTGGCATTGTTGTTATCGCTGTGCTACATATCTTTGTCTACCACCCATTCAACTTCAAATGCCGCCGCATCAGCCTGCATGTGAAGACGGCATCTTGTGCTCTCATCTCCAGAAAGGTAGGTCTTTTGCATTAGGCTTGTTCTGTGTTAAACCTAGAAACACGGGAATAAATTCAAACGAGACAACGATTCATGATTGACAATTTTTTTCTATCAATTCGGTTTAAATAGAGAATCCGTAATATGCTGGGATAACTACTGGATGAGGGTTTCTCTGGGTACTGTACTCTGGTTTCCTTCTATACTGTACAGTACTAATGCTTGACCTACTGCTGGACTTCTAGGAAGTCATAACTGATAGAGCCAGTCAGTCAGTACAGTTCAGTACTCTACTGTATAACTAATACTGGGTGTTTCTTGTGATCATTGCTTGGTGCTCCATTAGTGGCTAGAGGTAAGAGACTTCTTCCAGACCTATGGTAAAGGTGGGTTTCACATGCATGTTGCTCATGACTTGCCCTGTGCATTTTATGATAATTCTTTTGATCTTTCACAGTAAATGTATTGTGGTAAAATATGTCATTGATGTATACTGTACATGGCTTAAGTAATCCAATCGTAGTATAATCGTTTTTTTTTATGTAATGTTAAGGACACGTGAAGAGTATCTTGTATAAGTGATACACTTTGTTGACAATACAAGTACAGTACATTAATACAGTATTTCTTATATTTTAGTATAGTATACTACATCACAGCACAGTACATCACATCACATCACATCACATCACATCACATCCATTGTTACTGTGTTCAAAATAAATACTCTTGGCCTTGAGAAGCCGAGATGTGTTCTTAAGATATTGGTGGATCTTAATTCTTTTGTAGTCTTAATGTATTTTTTGGCTCCAACTGTAAGTTGTGGACAAAATATATAATACAGGTAGCTGTTGCAGACACTGACTTGGAGTTTGACATTTATAGAGACATTTTTAAAATATAAAATTAAATATTTTTACATTAAATTCAATGAAATTACAAAGATAACATTCCAAAGGTTATTTTAACATTCCACGTGATGGTGTTCTATAAGGTGACATTCCCAGCGTTCATTGTGTCAGCTTAGTTCACTCACTTAAGGCCACAACACATGTTCTTCTTTCTTGTTCACCAGACTGAGTTCTGCCAAACATGTTATGAACAAGATTTTGGGCTTCTAGATTTTACGTGGTTGAAATACACAAATATTTGAGGTATATTTTTTATAATATCAATAAGTTAGTATCATACAACACTGGACATGATAGACAGTACTGTACTCTACAGGAATATACCTTGACCTCCAGGGTATGTGATGGTGAATGAAGTGATGTCATAATCATTGACTGTATCATATTTAGTGATTTTAGGATTTGCTTGGTAAATTGTATTTTCTGCATTTATCTCGGGTATTTTTTGCTCATAATGTTCGATTACAACGCACTAAACAATTATGATTTAGAAAGCACCTCTTCCAGTATTTCCCATGTTCTGTATCTGGAAATGTGCACGTTATTGAGGGCACTCACTAATTGGAGGTCTTCGGTGAATTGAACTTATTTTAAAAGAAAATTTACAACATTGCATACTTGGTGTGTTCCCATTTATTCTCCTGTGTTAATGAATTACTTTAATTATAACCTGTACTTACAGTGGCACACAAAACATCAAGCATCATACCCTTCCTCACCACATTGTGAAGCTGGTACAGAAATAACTCTATTGGGTGTGGTTGCATGTACAGTACTGTACCACAGTTTTCGCCTGTGGCAAAGAAGGGGAGATATGGAAATTTTTATTTATTTCTAGTACAGTACTTTTTTTCTTTGAAGTAAATTGATTATAATTGTGTGTTTGATGTCATTACCAATCAGGCTGTTTTAAATGATATTAAATGTGTCTACAGAGTTGTTACTTTATAACTGTGTGTCTTCTGTTATCTACAAGTTGAGTTTGGATTATCTTTTGTTTGTCTTTATTATCAATAATTATGAACACCTGACTAATAAAGATATCTGCCCTTAGATTCAGGGTGTTGTTTGTGTGTTAGTAATGAAAAATAATAATCCCAGATATTTAAGTTAATTTATATTGTTTCTGTAAAGTGTTTGTGTGCTAAAAGCTTTACATTGCTCCATTAGTATACTTTATTATTATTATTATTATACCACAAAAATATGGTTTTCAGCCTTCCAAGCAAACTGTTGTATACTTACACACTGGTAACTCTTACAAACATGTTTTTATTCATGTAAAAACCAGAGACCACTGTACTGTACTCCCAGACACAAAAGGTTCTGTTCCTGGAGACAAATTCTTCCTTTACAAACCAGAGTTATTTGCTTGCTTTACAGGATTGGTCAGCCACTATGCCTTGGGGGACTGATCCGCTATTATAGTGGGGCTGAAGGGTACACGGCTCTGTACGGATGGCTTTACTCGACAGGCGTGGTGATGGGATCGATTCTTTATATATTCTCGCACCACCCTTACTTCTGGGGTGTACAACTTTCTGGCATGCAGATTCGGGTAGCAAGTTGTTCCATGATATACAGAAAGGTATTGGTGAAGGTGCTGCATGATAAAAGTCTGGTGCTTTGTGTGAAACGGATAAAACTGATATAAGACAATAAGGGCAGCTTGTAGGTTCTTATTACTGGTCTGTGATATATTCACTGAGAGAACATATTACAGGAAAGTCACAAGTTTCCTTTACCTGATATTTTTAAATTCAATTAGCAATTTGATTTTTAAATAAGTTAAGGTTAAACAAGAAGCTTTAGAAGTTAATGAATTAGACACCTGGTCGTTTCATTTCATCTGTCTTCAGTATCCTATTGGCCTGACCTCTGATTGCATAAAATAAAGTTTAAATTCATGTTGACTTTTCAGTTAAACTTCTCTCAACAGTGAATACAATACAGTACAGAGATCCTTTTAAGATAATTTTTTTTTCCTAACGATTGAAATGTACTAATCCTTATAGAATAAACTGACAAATGCTTCCAGTAATGCAAGTACTGTATAATATTACAAGTGTAACATTGAAGACTGAATTTTTTTCCCTAATTTAAGATAAAATTAAGCTTACAAGACACTACTTTAAGGATCATACACTTTGTGAATGTGTGTTGTAAAGTGTGAATGTGACGATAAATTTTAATGATGTTGTACACTACAGTCAGAAGCACTAATTGCTACCCCCCCTCCCCTAATAGCCGGAGCCTGGCCGGGCGAACGGACAAACCCTATCCCCTCCTAATGTCTAAACTTTGCTTGATAGTTTTGAAAATCATTTGGCTGATGATGTTGCATTGTGTCAACATCGAAATTCATTTAATACATCGACATTGGTTACCATTAGGGCTAATAACATACAAGTAAATTATTTATTATGCATTAATGTGTGATTAGCCAGCATATGGATAAGGAGAATCGATGTGGTGTTCAGAATGGTGGGGAAAGGAAATAGGAGGAGCTTAATTTTATTATAGTATAATACTGTACTGTATTAATTTCTAGTAATATTAATTTCACTTGAAGAACAACTATTTTAGTGTACAGTATTAAATGATTCCTACCACAGTTGTGATATCACATCTTCCACTGTCACTCCCCTCCCACTCTCAAGTCACCCTCTGTTGGCATTAGAGGGAACCAGCATAACCTAAGGTCACAAAAGAATAATCTGACACCCTTGGGGTACATATTTCCCAAACTGAACTTTTATATTGAAAATCAACAAGTCATTGATGGATACCATTCATTAGGTGGAACTATTTTGCGGATTGTATTATAAGATGGTAAGTGATATGCACACAGCATTTTACCTATGTCTCATCACCATAAAGTTGCATCTCACAAGCAGAGGTTGTTTGGGGCTTATGTCCTTTTTATGCTACCCATTCCAATGGAAGATAATTGGTCATTTAACACTTACCAATCTACCTTTTAAACAGCCACTTTAGATTAATTTTCGATAGACATAATTGCATTGGCCAAACAATATTGGGCCTCATGTGACTAGCTGTCCAACTCCTTGCTGTACAGTAACATAATGTATCCCAACATTTTCAGTCAGTAGGCTTACACATGCTGTGTTTATTAATACTGTACTGTGTTGTGTAATTAGGTCAGGATACGGTCACAGGAAAAGAAATGGGAGAATAAATGGAGGGGATCTTATGATGGAGGTGGTGAATGATTGTTGAGTAAATAACGACACTATAATTGTCATATCCTGACAATCGTTTATTTTATTGCATGTCTGTGTATGCACATGTGTGCAATTGTGTAACATGTGCATGTTTGTGGGAAGGGATAAGGGTGGTAACCCTTCCTATGCCTCTCAACCATCAATCTGGTTTTAACATGATCATAATGCTGTTGGTTATGAAGTTGAATCAGAAATAAAGATAATGTTTATTTACACTACCTGCAAGAGGAGGTGGAGCTCTACTCCCTCTGATCCACACACTGCCATACCATATTCCATGTGGGTGTCCATTACAAAATGAACATTTATGTCTGACTACTGGAAGCTTACCTACGTTTTCAATTCTGGGTTGAGCGAGGGTCTATATCCTCTTACTGAATATTGTAACACTGAACCTAATATTTAGCTTAGCCTCAACACACTCGGTTTTTATACACCTTATGAACATTATTTAAGCCGCTTAGGATTTTAAGATTGTGTAAAAATTAGATTTTTTCCCAGCCTCTCATACGCTCTCGGCAGCTTGTTGTTGCTCTCGGTACAAACGAGTCACCGAGTGGCTGATGTTGCGGGGGGGGTGTGGTAGCAGTGTGGGCTGTCTTGGCTGTTACACAATGCACTATTCAAGCCTTATGCCTGTATCATTTATGCATACAGTATATTACTCGGTCTATAACAATGTGAAAACTGGTAACAACGGCTGGGACAGACACCACTACAACAACTTGTCGATTCATTACATGATTAATCGAATCTATGAAACATAAGTGGTTTGGCAGAAAGATACTTCAGTGGAAACTACTTCATAAACACATCACTATAGATTTAGCACAACATAAGTACTTGCAGTGTTTTAAGGTTTTTGTCTGATAATAAGCAAAAGCCTAAAAGTCTATCCTGCATGGTCTGCTAGTGGTTGCTTTTGTGATTTTTATGCCTTTATAATCTTAAATACAGACACTTGCATGTTGTCTGGGAGGGTGACTAGCTTGTCTCTTTATTCAGCACAAAGCCTTTTTTTTTTTTATTTTTTTTTTCAAAGTAAATTCCCTTCATCTTATAGAAAACTTATTTTATTGATATTTTGTATAACTAATAAAATTATTTAATAAATGCTTTTTTACCCATAATTTAAGTGGTTGTGTTTAACTTTAATGTTTATAATTTAATTTATAATTTTTTGTCTTCATTCTTTTCCCCTCTGTTACCAGGCATTACGCTTGAGCAAGGTGGCCTTGGGTAAAACAACAATTGGTCAGATGATTAACTTGTTATCAAATGACGTAAACAGATTCGATGCCAGTTTCATCTTTTTGCATTATCTTTGGATTGGTCCCCTTCAGGTAAGCTTTTGACTCCCATTTAGATTACAATTCTTGACTGTTGAATGATGAACTATATTGTAAACAGTTGGTGTACAGTTACAGTGCCATACTAGTGAGACATGTACAGTTACAGTACCATACTAGTGAGACATGTACAGTTACAGTACCATACTAGTGAGACATGTACAGTTACAGTACCATAAATGTTATTCTTTAACAGACGATGATTGTGTTAAGTATCCTCTGGACTGAGCTGGGACCATCTTGCTTAGCGGGACTTGTGATTCTTATTCTCTTCGTGCCTCTTCAGAGTAAGTTATGGTCGACTACAGTTAATATATTCTTCAGACCAAGTTACTGGTGATTATTTTGTTTACTAAGATTTAAGAGACTCTTTATTAAAATTATCTTTGTAAGTCACTATAGATATTGTTATTCATTAGAATTGGAACAATCTTCAAATATGTTGCCTTGATTATATTGTACTGTACTAGTGTTAAACTTCAGAATAAGTTATATGATCATGTACGTTGCTTTATCACTTTTATCAGTGGTGTTGTTTGAGAACCATTTTGGTCACTGAATACCTCTATGGTATTATTTCCATTAATTTCATGTTTTAGGTATCTAGAATATAACTGTTTACTGTTGTAGCTTGGATGGGCAAGGTGTTCTCTAAGCTGCGGCTGGCTACTGCACACCGCACAGATGAGCGTGTGCGTATAATGAATGAAATAATCAACGCCATGCGAGTCATCAAGATGTACACGTGGGAGAAGCCTTTTACAGTCCTTGCAGAAAAGGCAAGGAAGTGAGTGACCCATATATTATCAAGTTTTTCACATAGATGATAAATGTGCCTCTGACTTACTGGTGCAGTGTTATGAAAGTCTCTTAAGAGTTGTGGGTAAAGAGCTTTTGTTGTTTACTGTATATGGAGTAGTGTGGAAGCTTGTCTATGTCCAGGGTACCCCCAGGCAATCCAGTTGTGAATGGGTTCCTAACATTGCCATGTCATCCAGACTCCTTCCCATTATACTGGAGGTTGAGGTTTAAATGAGCTTTATCTCTTATCTGCATTATCATACTAAACCTTGCAATCATTTGTGTATATTTATATCTCGTTTACAAATACCATTTAAAAGCAGTTTTTTATGCAAACCCAGTGTAGGTTCCATACCTTTCAACAGTATGTAATATTTGGAAACCCACTCACTGCTTGGGCCCAAGGTACTGTATATGGATTTTTTACCTTTAATTAATACATTATAACCCATTACCTAATTATCTCCTGTTTTTAACTAGTTGATGAGTTTGTTATCCTGCTTGGATTCTTACAGCATCAGCATCAACAACATTTTACCACCATTTTCCATACTTGTGTGGGATAACTGCAATTCATGTAGTTTCTAGTATCAGGTTCTTAACTCGGTCATTTCTTACAACCTCTCCCTATGTCATTCTTGGCCTACCCTTGGCTCTCCTTCTTCCACATTTAGACTCCTGCCCCTCTCGACCTATTCGGTCTCATCCATTCTCACCACATTCCCAAACCATCTCAACCAGCCTCTATGCAGAACTTTGCTGATACTCTCAATACCCAGCAGCTTTGTTAGCTCTGAACAGGGCCTCCTTTCTTGCAGTGCCACATTACACATCCACCTCACCATTCGACACTCCTCTCCATAGACCCTAGATGCTACATGACAGATTCTGATCCTACACCCCTCTGTCACTGTCTCAACCTGAGACTAGCTTCTCTTGGCTAATTCCTCTATTTTACCAACTGCTTCTTCACCCTTATTGAGGATCTCTTGTTTTTCAACTTGCTCTATTTGGTAATACAAGTACTGTACAGTCAAAGAAATAAAGTCGTGTTACACCCTCTAGTGTTATGTCTTGAGAACCATGATAAGAATTTGGGTAAAGTGACAGCGAAGTTTTAAGATTCAGGTCTGAACGGGAAACTTTACCAAAATTCATTGTCTTGGGTTTCAGAACCTAAGGCACAGCAAGTGTAACGAGAATTGCAATTAAATTCCAGGTAGCGACGTGTCCTCCTAATATTACTTATAAAGTAATTATTAGATGTTTTAATTGCCTGTATGTTGGCCTGGCGAGTTACTGCTGGGCATTAACATACCTAGGTATAAGCTAGGCGTCGCATTCTGGGCTATATCACAAAAACTGGTTTTTAGAAAAAAAATGGCTTTTCTCTTTGACTGTAAATGTTAAAGCTTATTTTTTTATATTGGCCAGATTTTCTTCCTATAATTAATGTTTTATCTTTTTCAGGTCTGAAATTGACGTGATTATGAAGACAAACTATTACCGTGCGATAATCATGTCTCTCTTCTTCACCTCGTCAAAAGTTATAGTCTTCCTCTCTCTTCTCACTTACATCCTCACTGGCAATGTTCTCACAGCAGAAAAGGTAAAAAAAAAAAAAAAAAGTTTTCAGCCTCGTATCTTTAAAACTTGTGATAGTTTAAGTTTTAAGAAAGGCAGGAACAGGTTGTCAGAGATGTGAAAAACAAAAAATAGGCCCAGTATTGTAGGTTTGTTTTCTACAGTGAGTAAAACACGGCATCACCTTAAGTTTGTCTACTTTAACATGGCCGACCTACCCGAGGTTTGATTCATCTTGCTCTATTTGCCATCATAACCGATGTTCATTTCCTTATTTTATCCTTCTCTTCACTGTTATGGTACTGTTTCCTATTACTGTAATTTCACATAATTGGGTAATCCAAAAATTCTCAGTTTTGTTCTGTTTTACCTGTTAGTCAAATCAAAGTTTAGATATATTTTCTTTATTTGGGGTTTTAGATCATTTGTTTTGTGCTAGAATGTATATTTTGAAATAAAAATTGTATATAAATGACTATACTGTTTTTTAGATTTCATAACTGACATATGTGTGTGGTCAATACATATTTTTTTTATTTGTTGACCTCACAAGTCTTTTTATGTGAATACTGTACTGCACTTTTTTATACCCTGCACATTCATTATCAACTATATTGTTAAGCATAGAGAATGTCTAGTTCCAGCAGTTAGATACGAAGGCCACAATTTCTCCATAAACCAGTGACTTAATCTTCTTGTTTTAGATCTTTGTCACGTCCTCACTCATCAACAACATTCGCCTTGTGATGACGCTCTTCTTTCCCTTTGGTATTGCTCTAGGTTCAGAAACTGTAATATCCTGCAAGAGAATACAGGTGTGTACTTGATGTTTGTTATAAGATACAGATAGATAGATATTTATTCAGTACAGTTGTCATGTACAGGTTATGGATGACTTGGGTTATGGATTTCTGTGACCTGGGAAGTTTATGAAGGTTTACTGTACATTGAATTAGTGTGTGTAGATTGTACGGTCACATTTGGTATCATCGCTTGGACTAAAATTGCAGAATACTATTACCAGCAGGAGACTCAAATTGAAAACCTGACCATTAGTTAAATGATAATGTACAGTTGTGAACAAAACGATGCAGACTTTTAATCACCACTTCTATATGATGATAAAAGTCCCTACCTACCCCAACCCTCCCTCCCCCCAAAGTCTCTTTGTCCACAACTGTACCTGCTAGCTGGTTTACCTGCTTATTTTTTTTTACTTCAGTGACTTCAGAAATTTTGTTTTATGGATATTTTTAATGGATTTATTTATATAATTACTGATTTTATTTTGTTTAAGGGTAATGATTTTGTTGTGTACAGAAAATCTTCGTAAGCAATCCTTCATAATGGAGGTAATGCCAATATTTCACAACTTTGCATCTTGAGGTCTTTGTGAACTTTAAACTGCAACATACAGGCAGCTCCTAATTTAACAGAAAACCATTTGTAAATCGATCCTTCATAAATTAAGGGATGCCTTTATTGATACATTAAACCTGTAGATAATTATGATCACAATGTATTAGTAGTTCTCATTGTTCATAAAGTGTCTGGCCATGTTGTCCCATTAATTGTGTGGTTAATATCTCTTCACAACAAGTAGAAGTTCCTGGAGATGGAAGAAAGAGAAGAAACAAGTCGTGTACAGAAGAGCAACCTTAGACCAAAACCGAAGGTAATGTTTGAAGTAGTACTGACTTACCAGAACATGTTTTGGTAGGTAGGTTATTGAAAAGTTGATAAGGGGGATTGTGATGACATAATACTGTGCTGTGTGGAAGTGTTTGGTGTGGGATTGAATCTGAGTGAGAATTACAGTATTAGTGGTTGGTTTTTGTGAAGGTTTTACACTGACCATCAGGAACTATAATTCAAGAAGGGTTCAGTATAGTAGAATTAATTCAGATCAATGAAGTAATGTTGACATGTTCTTATATACTCCAACTTGGCCTGTATTAATTTTCTAACGATCAATTTATTGTAAACAGCTAACTTTTAACTTTTAATGTAAGTAGAAAAAGGATTTGTTTAAATATATTCTGTTTTAAATTTTTTCAGTGTTATTATTTATCTTTTTCTTGCTGTATTTTACAACAGAAGTATTTTCTAAAACATATAACTCAACTTGTGCCAGGATTGTGGGCTGACGGTATCAGACTTGACTGCAAAATGGAGTGATGCTACAGAAGAGAACACCCTGAGCAGTGTCTCTTGCTCTGTAAAGTCTGGAGAGTTGTTGGCTGTTATTGGTCCTGTTGGGTCTGGAAAGGTGAGTTATATGTTCCTCTCTCATGATATGTACAGGTGTATCATGTGCCTCTCAGAACATGTCCAGAGTAAATGTGCATGTCTAGGTTAATACTTGTAGTAGTGCCTTTAACTAGCTGTTGAACCTGTATACAGTATCTTTTAAACCATGTGTCAGAGTTTAACAGTGCACCTCTGTTTATAGGGGTCACTTCTTCATGCAATCCTTGGAGAGCTTCCTGCTAAAGGTGGATCAATTTCCATCAGAGGAAGAGTGGCATATGCATCTCAAGAGCCGTGGGTATTCTCTGGGACTGTGCGACAAAATATTCTTTTTGGGCAGCGATATGATGAAAAGAGATATAATGAAGTTATTAAAGGTATGTTTGTTTGTATAGTAGTATTATGTTGAAGACAAAGGATTCTGTAGTGCAGTATCTGAAATTCAGTAACTTCCTAATCTTGTAGAATACTGTAAGACTATTCACAAATATTCCATTCACTGGCAGTATAAGTTTTTCAGTCCCTTAGGCAAGTAATAAAAATTGGATAAATAACAATGACTTGTAATGGAAAGCAAATTACAAATGACCTTAATAAAGTAAACCTTAGATATGCATCAATAAAGTGTCAATTGTACAACACAACAGAGGTTGCATTTTGCTATGTGACGTATATTCTTATTGCACTATAATTATATTTTGTATAACCACAATACTCATTACTGCATATTAAAGAGTCCATATACTGTATTAACAGTAGTTGTATGTGACGACAACTGTATTGTATTATGGTAAAGTTTCAGTCAAATCACATTCATTAATAGTAAGATATTTCACTGTGCAACTTTGTGAAAGGCTAAGGAATTATTGTGTATCCAACATAAGACTTAGGTTCATAGAATCAAGTTTTGAATAAATTTTAAATAATTTAATTGCTCTTAACAGTTTGTGCCCTGGAACAAGATCTGGAACAGTTTCCTCAGAGGGACATGACAAAAGTTGGTGAGCGCGGTGTATCTCTGAGTGGTGGCCAGAAAGCCAGGGTCAACCTTGCAAGGTAGAATGTCATGTTTTCATCTTCTATTTGCATGTAGTATGAAGGAAGTACAAGAAGAACCTGATGTCAGAGGCACATTTATGAACAGGAACATTGGCGAGACGTTTGCTGTGTGTACTCTCGTGTTTCCTAAAGTGAAAAGAGAATCTGTTAATGAACAGTAGGTTGTATGCCTGTGACTTCGTAAATCCTACAGCAGGGTCTCGACCAATACTGTACAGGGGTTGTGTTCTCGAGTATTGTCGTGCTGGGCAAATCTGTGTTTGGCAAACATAATACCTTATGGGAAAAACAAGGCTACGGGACACCCAAGTAACAGGGTGGGGTGTCTGTCTGTCTGGAGAAAAGGATGTTTGAAATGACTGTTTGACAGGAGTAATAAACAAGAGCGCCAGCATGTGGGAACACGTGTGCTATGGCGCTGGCCACTGGTGGTTGGTTATATATAGGCAGCCATGAAAGTAGCGAGTGTATGGGTGGCCCATATTACGGGATAAACTCATCTTGGATGAGACACTACTGTACTGTATTATGCTCTGGTGTTTTCTTTGTACCTATCTGTATATCCATCATTTCATTAATACTGTACAGCATTGTAGTTTAGGTTATTATTAAAAGTGAAAATTTATTCCATGGAGAGCAGGATGTTGGAGAGACTCGCCCAGTGACTGCTTGTGGAGGTGCTGGACCTCCAAATGTGAATTAAGACAGTTTGGCTACTTGACCTTAATGTGTTGTCCTGTGTTCTTACTGAGGTTAAAAGATTCTTCTAATTTTGTCTCCTTAACCAACAGGGCTGTATACTATGATGCAGACATCTACCTTCTCGATGACCCTCTCAGTGCAGTAGACACGCACGTTGGACGACACTTGTTTGATAACTGTATTATGAAACACCTCAAACATAAAGCTCGAATTCTTGTGACACATCAGCTGCAGTACCTCAAACCTGCTTCACAAATTCTTGTTTTGAGGGAGGCAAGTATTGTACTTTGTTCATTTATGTTGTCATGTTATAAATGAAACACTGTAGATCTCACAACTCTTGGGCCTTTATATGGTAAAGGATGTGTGTGTGTGCGCTCTCTGTGATTTGTAGTTACTGATTTATTATGAACTGGTTTGTGGTTATGTTACAGCAATAATAGTAAGTGGACGATGACAGTAAATAAATAAGAACGGGGCTCGCAACACTCAAGATAAATAAATGAATGCTAAGGGTTAAGCAGAAATTGGAAAAGTGGTCACTATATGTTTGTACTCCCAGACTAGGGTTATCAGCATCAGACCCTTGACACTGGTTCTCAAAACTGGACATTTTCTTTCTTGGGTTAGGTTAAATTTTATTCCTTAGCTAAATAAAGTTTTGCATCTATACAAACTCATAAAAATTATTTGTTTTACTTCTTCAATAACAAATAAAGAAAACATCATTGTATGCATACTTTAAAAATGAGAAATAATTAAATATATTCTCTATACAAGGTGAGAGTTTTCCAGGTAGGCCTTCATAACTTTGTACAGTATCTTGGTGACTCCCAGCAGCTTCTCATGTGTAACGAGACATTTACAAGAAGTAGAATTATGATTTCGGTATTTATTGATGATATTAATGCCCTATTACCTTGATTAGCTTTAGTTATATTTGTTTATATTAATATTGTGTTCATATTGCTTTTGAAATTAATATTGGCTAAATTAAACCAAATATTTTAGGTAACTTGCCAGATGCTGTTGGTTGATGGTCCCGAGACAATATTTTGAAGACTTAATGGTTCCTTGTTAGTTACTTTTATACTCTTCTCTGCTACTTTAATGAAAAGATTAGTAGATATGGTTGTAAAGGTTTTATGACGTAGACAGCAAAACAGTACTGGTACAATATTTTTTTTTTCTATGTGCTTTTTATGGAGGATTTGAGGTTTTATACCTGTACTGAAAGCAGTGCACTTGAACCCTTCTAATTTGACATCTTCAGGTCTCTGCCATGGTCAAATTATCTAAAGGGTCCAAATTTTGTTGTTGAATTTTTTTTTTTGGCAACTCAAGCGGGTAATTCAGATAGTACATAAAGGCAAACCCAAATGGCATCAAGCTTGTCCAATACCTTCAACTTATGAATAATGCAAAAATATTAATTTAGTAGATGTAAGTATTAACCCTTAAGCCTCGGGTTTGGGTGCTGCTGGCAGTACAACCCCCCAATAAACCAAGAAAAAAATTGACTTTTTAAAAAATAAATAAAAAAGGGGGGGGAGCAGGCGGACGTTCTGGAACATCACCCTTCGGTGCCTAAGGGTTAATAGTATTAAATTTCATTTTGTAAATGGCTACATTATATCTACCTGTAGGGCCATACAGAAGCCATTGGGGGTTACCACCAGCTGGCCAACAGTGGAATAGACTTTGCATCTTTGATGTCTGAAGGTCAAGAGGATGAGAAATTGTCTTCACCATCTCGAGAGCCCAGCACACGCAGCGTAAAGAAGAATGGTGTCATCCCAAATGGGAGAGTCTTTCAGGATTCAGATAAATGTAAGTTTTCTTATATTGTGTCTGATCATTTGGACTAAGTACAATAGATATTTAGGTTAATATAATTGTTGGTTAGTCAAAAAAATTTACATATTTACAAAGCCTTCAAATGTATAACAATTTATTCAGATTAACTTGAGGTTTGTTTCAGTCTTCCTGAGTGGTGAATGTTTTAGGTGGATTGTGTTCAGGAAAATGAGCTGTAGTGTATTAAACACAACAGCTCATTTCATTTTCACTTTAAGAGATATCTTCAGAACTATGCAGTAATATATATACAGCTCCTCCCCGACTAACGACCTACTCGACTTACAACCACTTGCTCTTACGACCTTCCTCACTCCTACCAAAATGTTGTCAAATTACGTATTTTCGAGTCCCAACATCAGTACACAGCGAAAACTTTTGTTTGTAATTCACTTTAAAATGGCTGGCAAGCTTAAAAGTGAGAGTTAAGACCTGAATTTGGGTCCCTAACCCCGTCGTAAGTCGGGGAGGAGCTGTATATATATTATTTATCTATTTATTTATCAATGAGTCTTGATATTACATCCTACCCAGCCATATGATCAAACTCATATTGAGGACTCATAAATGGTTAGTTATCTTTAATGCAGAACCCAAGCATACCTACTTGGGCCCTGGCACTTTTTACCAACTTCATAGACAATAAGTCCACTATAGTATCAGATTTTGTCTTGTGGTCCCTTCAGCTATCTGGGCCTCTGGACGACAGTGCCTCTAGACCCCTTATGCTTAGGTTCTGTCTGTAATATTTAAATATATTTTTATAGTTGGATCATCTTGGTCACTGCGCCGAAAGGGACGTCTTAATTCTGAGTCAAGTATGTGTTCTCTCCATGACTCTGTTGAAGTGGAGAATGTCCTGACCATCTCTGGTGCACACATAGCTGGGTCATCCCTCTCTCTTGGTGACAATGTCCAGGACACAACAGTTAACAATAAAAAGGTGAGGGCTCGATAAACAACGAGTAAGAGAATGAAATAGTTTAGGCTTTCATGAATCATTATGACATTAAGATATTTTATGAGTAGTACCCCATTAACAGATATGTCTCAATACTTCCATGTATCCCTATACTGTACTGTACATTAACCTTTAAACTGCAGCTTTGGAAAAATTGGCTTATATCTGTATTTGCATCTAAACAGGTTTTTTCCAAGTCTTATAAAAATAGTAAATTTTCTTATGCACTACATTTATAGACATATGCAGAGTAACAGGATATGGAAAAAAGTCTTACTTACATTAAGACTTGTCTGATGGATGTTTTTCTCCATGTGAAATTCCATTACAATTATACACAATAATGGCAAAGGACCTTGCTGTTGCCGAGTAAAGTTTTGATGTTGGTGGTGAGCAATGGCTGATGCTTGGGTGTTGGTGGTGAGCAGTGGCTGATGTTTTGATGTTGGTGGTGAGCAGTGGCTGATGTTTGGGTGTTGGTGGTGAGCAGTGGCTGATGTTTGGGTGTTGGTGGTGAGCAGTGGCTGATGTTTGGGTGTTGGTGGTGAGCAGTGGCTGATGTTTGGGTGTTGGTGGTGAGCAGTGGCTGATGTTTGGGTGTTGGTGGTGAGCAGTGGCTGATGTTTGGGTGTTGGTGGTGAGCAGTGGCTGATGTTTGGGTGTTGGTGGTGAGCAGTGGCTGATGTTTGGGTGTTGGTGGTGAGCAGTGGCTGATGTTTGGGTGTTGGTGGTGAGCAGTGGCTGATGTTTGGGTGTTGGTGGTGAGCAGTGGCTGATGTTTGGGTGTTGGTGGTGAGCAGTGGCTGATGTTTGGGTGTTGGTGGTGAGCAATGGCTGATGTTTGGGTGTTGGTGAGACAGTGGCTGATGTTTGGGTGTTGATGGTGAGCAGTGGCTGATGTTTGGTGTTGGTGGGGAGCAGTGGCTGATGTTTGGGTGTTGGTGGTGAGCAGTGGCTGATGTTTGGGTGTTGGTGGGAGTGCTTGTGGCAGTGGCTGATGTTTGGGTGTTGGTGGTGAGCAGTGGCTGATGTTTGGGTGTTGGTGGTGAGCAGTGGCTGATGTTTGGGTGTTGGTGTGAGCAGTGGCTGATGTTTGAGTGTTGGTGGTGAGCAATGGCTGATGTTTGGGTGTTGGTGGTGATAGTGGCTGATGTTTGGGTGTTGGTGGTGAGCAGTGGCTGATGTTTGGGTGCTGGTGGTGAGCAGTGGCTGATGTTTGGTGTTAGTGGTGAGTAGTGGCTGATGTTTGGGTGTTGGTGGTGAGTAGTGGCTGATGTTTGGGTGTTGGTATTGAGCAGTGGCTGATGTTTGGGTGTGTTGGTGGTGAGTAGTGGTTGATGTTTGGGTGTTGGTGGTGAGCAGTGGCTGATGTTTGGGTGTTGGTGGGGAGCAGTGGCTGATGTTTGGGTGTTGGTGGTGAGCAGTGGCTGATGTTTGGGTGTTGGTGGGGAGCAGTGGCTGATGTTTGGGTGTTGGTGGTGAGCAGTGGCTGATGTTTGGGTGTTGGTGGTGAGCAGTGGCTGATGTTTGGGTGTTGGTGGTGAGCAGTGGCTGATGTTTGGGTGTTGGTGGTGAGCAGTGGCTGATGTTTGGGTGTTGGTGGGTGGCAGTGTCACCATGGGGTAGTCAGTGGGTTGTGTTTACTTATTTACTTACTGTACTTTACATTAGGTTATTTGATGATTTGTTACCTTTATATATTGTGCTTGTAAAATTTTCTTCCTACTTTCTTAACTTGCATACAAACCTATTTAGAAACAGCGAAGACTTGTGGGGGGGAAACAGGGTGACTGGCCTAAAACTAAGCATGGGAACACCTTATGTTTTCAAATGTTTTGTTGGGAAATGACAGTGTCTATTGAAGTTTGCCACAGTCACCAAGGACAGGTTACACTTCGGCCACAGTTTAAGGGCAAGTTATTAGGATGAACTTACCGTACAGTAAAAGATGGAACTTGCACAACGTTCCATCTTTCAATATGTGGATTTGACTTACATATTAGTAGTTCATTATAGTGTAGATACATTTTGTAGGATTAAACAAGACATTATTTTTCCCCTGGCAAAAAAATAAATAAAAAAACTGAAGAGGTCAAAGGACATGCATCCACCATGATAGTTGGCGGGTAACTGACATGTGAGTTGGGGTGTAAATTAAACATATATCCAATAAAACGTATTTTGTCTCGCCTGGACAATCAAAATATGTCGGGGAAAATTAAGAATGTCACCTGGGTCGCCTTAGTGAATGTAGAGGAACATCACCTTTTTAAGTAGATTGGAGGAAGACAGATAGATCTACATTGAGTATATTGTCTATTGATAAACATGAGTTGTAAAGTTACTGCATATAGATTTAGATTAAGTATAGATAGGTAGACATTGGTTGGATATAGGTAGATAAACTTGGATTGAATATAGGTAGGTGTAGATAATGTTAGTAAAGTGAATGATCATGTGAACTGGCTTCCTAATTCCTGGCCTCATTCATTTAGCTTTGTACCTGCATATGATAGTCAGGAGTTATCAGTAAGAAGACTCGCATGTAATACAAGTCATAGTTTAAATGCATGCGTGAGAGAAGATATCTGAGTTTTTTAAAGTTATAAAATTGGGAACAGTGCTTGATAACCCTGGCAATGGAAATATCATAAGCTAAGAAACCACAGCAGCAGCGACAAAAGCTTTTATTTGTAAACACAGGCTTCCTCTACTGTGTAATGTAAGTGAGAATTAAAAAATAAATTGGTTAATAATTACATCATCATCATTAAGTTAGGAACTGTGATTCTTGAAGGATCTTGTATCCTCTGATACACGACAATTAAAGAATAAACACAATCGTTGGTGTGTTTTGTGTGTGTCTCTTAGTGTGTGAAGAAGTGTTCAATACCATTTATTACCATCTATCATATTAGTGCATGAAATAGTGTTTAATACCATTTACTACAGGTTGACAACACCTTATCTGAAATTTTGTAATCCAAAAAATTTTGAGTGGAGCAAAACATATTTTTTATTTTTTTTCTTATTAACAGGGATCAGCCCACCCGGGCACAGGTCACTGACCCACGTCGGGGGGGGGGGGGTTAATAATAATACATAGTAAATAAATTTTTCAATAAAACATGCTACAGTAATAAGATAATGATAACAATAATAATAAAGTAATAATATTAATAAAGAAATATCCTACAAGAATAAAAAAAAAGATGAAAAGTGAGAAATACGACCAAGACCTATGAATTATTATTATTATTATTACATTTTCGCTCCCCAGGCCCCAATGTGGGTCGGTGACCTGTGCCCGGGTGGGCTGATCCCTGTAAAAAAAAAATCTACCTTACCATTCTGAAAAATTCAGAAATCCGAAACACGTCTGGCCCTAAGGATTTCAGATAAGGGATTGTCAACTGTATTACTAACCATATAACATATTTACTAACTACATTTTGTGTTTACTTCATGATCGTGTAGCATCACCGAAGTGAAAAAAGACTCGACTACATCCAAGAGGAGAAATCACAGCCACTGGTTGATAAGATTTTTATATTTTCTTCATCTTTTTGTAGTGTTTTAACCTGCAGTTGCTTGATGTTAAAGGGCATGTCTCTATATGTTTGGGATTGATCATATTTTGACACAACTTCCTTCGTGTGCTTGTGATTATTTAGAGTACATTAACTCCTTTATCTCAAGCCCAAACTGGTACAGTGCTTGTATATCACCTCACAATACATTAATATCACAGTTTAGGTTTGCAGTAGAGAAGTTATTGTTTGTCACCATTAGCTGTTTGACACTTGACATGCATTTTCCTGTGTACAGTATTAGTTGGTAGCTTTTCTTTCCAATGTTTTGTATATTTCTGATTATTTTTTTTTCTGTCTAATTTTTGCTTCTCTGTGTGAAAGCTTGTTTCTGTGCTCAAGGAACCAGTGAGCATTCCGTTTCTTAAACTATTGTATCTTGTCTTCAGAACTGGTTGCTACAGAAATGCTGCTTCATGCTCACTGTTCAAGTTCACATCATAATTATTTCTATTTTTTTTACTCTATTTGTATATGATAAAAGTTTAACACTGTAATATCCCCGACAGCTGGAATGTCTGATCCCTGAAACTTTCCAATAGTACCTGAAAAATAAAATTAAAATTCCGAGAAATTCCTAAAGCATCTCTCCTTTCTGGGCACTCAAATGAATTTCTGAGAGATTGCATCATGTGCTGAGCACGTGGGGTGGACTAGCTGCATGTAGAAATTTAGTCATAGGCTCAAGGTGCCCGTGCACTGTGATTGGCTACTACTGTCATGTGACTGCATGGGATGCCTATGATTGGCTAATGTATCTCTTAAAATTCTAGCATCATGAATATCAGGGCCGGGTTAAGACTTTCGTAGGCCTTAGGCACCTCCAAGATATGGAGCCCCATTTGACAGCATATTCACTAATAACACAAGCTAGTAGCTAATTATAAAATGTGATGTCGAAAGAATAAGATTCAGTGATGTTTGCCATGAATTGAGTAAAAGAAAATGGGTTAGATCAGCTGTTCTTGTACAGTATAGAAATAGTTTTGTTTACAAGAAGCACAGCTAGCTGGTGGACACTAATAGGATTAAGTAATAAATAAATGGAAAAAAAGTACCTCGGTATCAATTTAATAATAACCTGTAGAAAAAGGGGAAGAAAAGTTCTCGTTTTATTTTTCGTAGGCCCCCAATATCTCGTAGGCCCTAGGCACTGTGCCTACTGTGCCTAATGGATAATCCGGGCCTGATCATGATGCTCTTTTGGGAATAAAATAGCATATTCAGTCTTCTTAAATGTAATGCATGGTGTAAATATTTATACACTTCTTGAAGTATTTCTTGGAAGGTTATCAACTATATGAGTGAAAAAACCAACCTGACTAATGCACAAGACTTCTCATTGATACTAAACATTGCACATCATACTATTGGCTCCAGTCAACCAAACAAACTTTGTTTAGGTCTCGTAGATTTTTTCTGCAGGTCTCTAGTGTTTATCCGTAGAAGCTTTATTATAATTATAAATTATGAGAAATTTGATAGATCCAGGTTAAGGATACAGTATTAATTTAGGTGTTCTAAGTATATTTTTTGTTATCAATAATTTATGCAGCACCAGAGTTTTGGTTTAAGAATATAATAAACTACAAATAAAAAAAGGAACAAGCTTTTGACCTGCCTTGGTGATCTTGTCTTAACACTAACATCTACAGTACTTTTACAGTGTTGGTGCACCTGACACGGGTCTTATTTCAGACAAATTGGTTGTGTTGTGTTGGTGAAGAATATCTTTAGAAATGTTATACAAAGAAATAAAGAATGGTTAATAAAACTCCCACCAGAAAATTTGTCTTTCATCTTATGGTGGAAGTTGATAATCTTTAAGCATGTTTTCGCACTATACAGCAGCTCCGGTGATGAGCTTGGTAATGTTGTTTCATGATTTGGCTTTGTTGTTGTTTATAATGTTTTTCCTTGATACTATTTGTGTTTTTGTTTTATATGCTTATTTTTATAGTCTTTGTTTTTTGCTGAGTGAGAAGGAATATCATTTGGGTTCAGGTTGGTAAAATAATAACTTTTTACACATTGTAGTACTGTATTGTGATGTAGAATTTTTAATGTACAAAGGAAAGGCTTAATGCTTTAGGTCTTTGTACACATTTTGTGGTGGGATCTCCATCAGTCATTGCTTGTACAGAATTAATGATTTTACTCAGAACACAAAATGGATAGATAGAGCAGAGGTATGTTGCTTCCTATTGCTGTGTCTGTGATGCCACTTTGTAATTGCTGGTGAAGTAAAGGTGCATCATTGAAACCTCAGTCGGCTATAGAGCACATTATTAACGAGTGAACCTTTACCTAATGTTGCAAATCTCTTGACGAATGTTAATCATATTTTTCAGTCTTTATTGTTTTGCTTTACTTCACCTCGGTTATCTGGCTGTTACCTTGCTATCCTGGACCTTTGAGTCCGAACCATCCATTTTGTTAATTACATGACTGATGGCAGTATTTTAGCAAAGAGCAGAATACTAACGGGTATCACACTGCCTTTTTGTGTGAAAGGCTCCCCTAATATGAAGAAAATATGAAATTATGTAACATTATGTGCAATTCATTCATTGTTGCCCATCTGATTTTGCTGTTGATTGCTGTAAAACTTTTTCACTGGAAAGTTGGAAATGGCCTCGTACCCCAGCAGATGACAACAGCTGTCTCTGTAAAACTGTTGTTCTTGGCAACATTATCATACCCACTGCCTCCTTGCACTCAGCATATGCATCTTAATTTAGCTTTTATTCAGAAATATTTTTAAGGCTTTGTACTTCTTAACGAATAATGCAGAGAGTACAGTACTGTTTATTGAACAGTAAAAAGGAATACAAGATCTTCTGCATAACATTCCTAAAAAGAAAAAATATATGTGTATTCATGTTTATAAAATCAGATTATGTTGAAGGAAAAAAAAATCTCCTGTGGTAAGATAAATAACAATGTAATAAATAGTTATCTAGATGAAGCTGCCACAAGTACGATGCTTTTAATTGACTGGAAACTTATGTAAACTGTACAGTACTCTATCTTTAGGTCAACAATATAACTCATGTTTTGATCAAGTATTTGCAATTCTCTCAGCTGAATGACACAGATGACGGTGCTGAGAAAGATGAATCGCAAGACAATACCAACTCAGAGATGCGATCAGAAGGCTCTGTTAAAGGTACCATTTACCTTGAATATTTCCTGGCTGGCGGTGGGTGGGTCCTCGTCATCATTCTCTTTGTCTCGAGCATAGCAACACAAGTTCTCTTCTCTGGAACTGATTACTGGTTGTCATATTGGTATGTTTATTGTCTCATTAGTTTGTATACTGCATGAAATTATCTAGACTCTTTCTTTACACCAAACATAAACTTCTACCATTAATATCTTTATCGTGGTTTCAGTGTGTGGTAAAGAAGGGATTAATGTTACGACAATTTAAGTCTTAATGTTGCATATATTAGTGTAGCCTTACAAAGTCTACTCTGGCTGTGCTTGTCACTGTATAGAAATACCTTGGTGTCAGGGATTCTGTATGGGTCCTTCTATCAGGGATTCTGTATGGGTCCTTCTATTCAATGTGTCTTCTTTTCTGGGACTGAATTGCAGGTTGAACTCCTCTAATTTGGCACTCTGATCTAGCAAGTTCTAAGGTCTGGCATCATTTGTGAATGACTATCTTGGTATTACTCCCCCCACTCCTACAGAGTTTGTTTGTCTTCCAATTCAGGCTTTCAGTATTCTTAATTTTATTTAGCTCTAATTTATCCTTTAATGGGACAAAGAAACTGCATTAAAGAAGGCCCAAATGTGAAAAGGACTTGGGAATGTATGTTGACAATGAACTGAAGTTTTTGGGTCATTGTGAGAAAATTAATCGAGCAACTAAGCTAGTGGGTCTTCTAAGAAAGGCATTCAGATATCCCTTGTAACCCCCCTTAAAAAATGATATATGCTAAGAACTGTCAGTCTCTTGAAAACATTTAAAGGAGGGCCATCGGACTGGTGCATGAACTAGGGCACCTCAGGTACCTAGAGAGATTAGAACACCTGCAATTGCCTTGCTTATACTATAGGCAGGCAAGGGTGACTTAATTGAAGTTTATGAATATCTCAAGAACTCGTACCTAGAGCTGGCAGATGCCCTTCCCGCAAGGGGCCACAACTTAAGGTTGAAGAAGCCACAAGCTCAGAAAACTGTCAAGGCAAACTTTGTTTTAGAGTGGGAGTAGTAAACTCTTGGAACAATCTGTCGGAGAGCTTTGTGATGGCACCAAGTGTGAGCTCAGGTACAGATACATTCTGGAACTAGTAATTGCCTACAGTGCATAACAGAGATGTGACCAACTGCACAAGCAGCTAACAGGCCTATCAGTGGTGATGATAATAAATTAAAGTAATATACAGTAGCTTTAAAGAGACCAGCAAGTCATGGAAGTATAATGTAAGCTGCACCAACCTTGCAAAAGTTACACACACACACAGACACTGCTATTCCCTCCAAGCACAATGTATTTAATATATTTACCACCAAATATTGAGATACTTTAATATGCATCTCATTTATTGGCAGGTTTGTCTTTGTGATGAGAAAATTATTTATTCCTGTTTTGAACATTAATGCTACAATGTTAAATATCTTACCTGTTTTACTATTCAATAACCTGTACTGTCCTGTTCATTATTTCTGTTCATGTATTGGTAGAGTTGAGGGATTTCTTCATCAGACTTAAGGTGACTTTCTTTGGTTCAGAAATTTCTAATGTCCGACACCAGTCAGGTCTTCAGGGTGATGGATTAGGGGCACTCGGCCAGAGAATTGTGAGTGATATAATCTTGAACTATTACCATTTACCTTGTCAGGGCTAATGGTGAACAGATGCGTGCCCACCTCGCTATAGAGTCGAATGACACCGTTGTGAATCTCTCCGGGAATGACTCAAGTTTCTCGTACAGCAGCGCTCCAGTACCAGATGGCTATTTGGATACAGTAACTAATGTTTACGTATATGCTGGTAAGGAAAAATGGTCATAATTTTTAGAAATAGGATGCTAATGATCTGCCCAAATTCATAGCTGATTATCTCTTTCTTTATATTTGGACACTTTATCTTTAATACAATATGGTAGTTGTGTATACTGCTAGGTTTTGTTAGATGTACAGATGCAAATGTGTGTTGTGAAGTGTACGAATTATGCTTGCTCTTGTGTCTGTGTGTATGTTACATTATTGTATTATTTCCTATATACCTAAACTCTTTAATCAATTATGCTGATCATTAGGGTCATCCTTGTTTTGCCTTTTTATTACATTGTGAATTAATTATATGACTGTACAGTAAACCTTCAGTTTCCATTGGCTTCAAGTTACTGTAGTGATGTTGATGTACTACAACAAACCAGTTTAGATCATAATTTACAATTTGATGCCTCTGTTATTCTTCAGATTACACCAGGAGTTTTGGGCAAATACATAACACAGTTTGTGCAGATTATTTTATTTGTGGAATTTTTATTTTATTTTACTACAACTGAGTACTAATTGGCCTATAGCTTCATTTATTAGAACTTAATGTAATGCAGAACTGTAGGTATAAAAGATAATTATCATCAGGTTTACAGCTGACAAGAGACCCAAGGGTAACATGACAGGTGAGGCTAGTCTTGGAATAAAGAATATTAATAGGCAAAATTAACTTCATATAAGAAATGAAAGTTCTCTTGGCACCTGCCACTCTAGTGTTGCCAAACATAATAGGAGAATGTTACTAAACTTAAAAACCTAAAGAACTTCACCAAATCCCTAACAAATATCTCGGTATGTATCGTGAAACATCATTTTATGATCATTTTCTGGCTATGGGAAACAGACTCCACTACAGTAGACTTGATATAGAGTTTTGCTTGCTGGTGCAATTTTTTTAGCCTCAAATCTAATTTTCACCTCTTATTGTCCACATACTACAGTAATGAGAACCAGTATGCCCACAGTAATGAATGTGCAGCATGGAGAGCTGTCTATAGGTTGTCAAGGCTAACCCACACAAGCATGAAAAGCAGTGATGATAGTGAATCGCATCTTTAAGAAAACATGTTTATTGAGGGGCTGCTGTATAGTACTTACAGATTCTTAGATGTGGTGCAGCAGTAGCTAGTTAATTTATAGTATTGTTGGTCATAATGTAATAAAAATTTCTTTGTTCCCAGGCTTGACTGCTGGACTATTTGTACTGTCATTGGGCCGAACAATACTCTTCTTCGTTATGTGCATGACTTCATCACGAAAACTCCACAATCGCATGTTCCAGTCTGTCATCCGTGTTCCAATCAAATTTTTTGACACCCACCCAATTGGTATGTACTGTACCTCTGTTTGTCAAGTCCTGGATAATTTTTGCATTGCCTATTTTTCATTTCATAAATTAGCCTTGTTGAGCCTTTGAACAATTGTGGGGAAATTTCTGTTCTTTCACTTACAATGTTTGTGTGGCTGTGTTCTTGAAGTTGGGAGTTTGTTACAAATTCCTCAAGTACATATTATATCTCAATCATTTTTAAAAGTTTGTATTGTTTCCATTCACTTTAATGTGTGGTCATTTTTTATGTATCTTCTTTATGTACTGTACAGTATTGTCACCGAGGCAAACCTCACGTCTCTCAAACATTACTGTGTTATAGTTCAGTAAGAATCAGGTCATTCACTTAGTTGGTATAAAACATTGTCTCGGGGGAGGATTTAAGGGGAACATAGAGGGCAAATGAGATTTGTAGTGATGGAACCACTTGGAAGCACTTTGTCCTGACCTTCTGAGGAGCTCCATCAACTCTCTGTGGAGTAAATGAATGACTGGCTGGCAATAAGCACACCATAGACATTAATACTTTATCAACTCTGCCTGGCTGTGGGATCAAACTTGCATTACAGTTTATGAATTGGACGGTGAACTATGGCGCCCCTTAATGAACCCCACATGTTGAACATATAAGCTAGCTAATGTTGTGAGAATTACTGTGGGATCATGTAGAATTTATAGGGTCTTGTACAATGTATGGGGTATTAAACACCAAGATCTTCCACACTTTGTGGAGTCTTGTAAAAGTTCCTAGGGTCTTGTACACTTAGTGATTTTGTACACTATGGGGTCTTGTACACACTGGGAGATAAGATCACCAAATCAAAGTAGATATCTTCTTTATCATTGATGTTACTAGAAGATATTGATCCTGAGATTCACAAAGAAGAAAACTTGCATCAATATGGAGTAAATTATTTTAATTCATTGTAGAATTAGTAACAAGTTATCTCTTACTCAATACATAAAGAAGAAGTAACTTGATTGATAGACATGAAAATTATATTATTACTATTACTATCATCTTTGACTATTTAGGACAGATACTTAATCGCTTCACAAAGGATATCGGCCAGATTGACGAGTCTCTACCTGGGACAATGTGGGATTTCATTGAAGTAAGAATAAATATGATTCAAGACTGCACTGCATGAAAAGTTATGTCATTGCCAGTGAAATTCTAACCCATTGATTTCTTGTGCATCATTTCTTAAAATTCCAAATCTGTTTTGTGTGAAATTGGAAGACTTAATGGTCTTATTTTATAGATAACAGTTGATTTCATTGTCCAGCAGTTTCTGGCCTGCACCAAAGTACTGCTGGCTGTAAATATCATTGGTTATGCCTGTCATTAGCCATTGTGAGAGTATCCCTGCAGTGCTCCTTAGCCCTATAATGCTGCCCATAAAGTATACCAGACTTATAGGCTTAACATTGTGAGGCATGATGTTGAAAGGTAATCAGAATGTGCTGGACCTTGAGCTAAATGAAAACATTGGCAGATGTGGCAGTAAATAATCACCCATCTGCCTTACATTTTTTCAAGGTGATCATGTGACTGCTTGTATTATAAAAAACAACATTGTCCTCACTTGTTGATTTGTGAGGACTCCCACAAGCGAGGACAATGTTGCTGTTGTAATGCAAACATTTATGTGATCTCCACGAAAGTTTTTAAGGCGGTGTGTGTACATTTTTCTGAGACACCCTGTAGTATCAAATTCTGCACCTCAACAGCTGCTGGATGATGGACATCAACCGTGAAATCTGGGTTAGAATGGTCATGAATGTTTTGTCATTGTCTTTGTTATGGTTAATTTTGTATGATATTTTGTTCTTACATATTGAGAATGTGGTTGTGAGACAGTAAGGACTAGATTATCCAATACACTATATGGGAGTTGGACCTAAATGTACAGTACAGTATTCTAACAAATAAGGTGAAAGTAACACCCGTACTGAAAACTGTAGTAATTACTGACAATGTTTGTAGTTTGAGTAACTTTATAGAATCTTGTACAGTAGTTGTTAAGGTTTGAGTTTAGAAGGAACACTTACACAACTGTGGATTAAGGAGGTTGTTAGGTTGATACCTGATGGCAGCTGTTGGGTAATACTGTACCAGAGTGTGATGTTCCCCCTCCCTCACCCTGCTAACCACCACAAAACCAGCAGCAGAGGTCAGGTAGAGGCACAGATCTGATGACCCAGTTGCCATCAGTCATGTTGAAGTAAAGCTTTACGGCTGGATTCCCTTCCTAACACCAACCGACAGGGTGGGAACACGGCTGGCAAGGCTGGGCCGCACCTCCCTTAGGTTAGATGAATGTTTAATGGTGTGTTGATGTATTTTGTTCTAATTTGAAGCGTTATATATGTTCTTAATTTAGTCTGGATGCAGGTTCAGTGTCTGTGTTTCTAGCTCTTTATTTGCTTTTCTAATATGATTCAGGGTCATTGCTGATTACTTCAGAATATTGTAAAAGCTCTGACGGTTTATAAGTTGTCATTCACTGTGGAGGAGACGATGAAAAAATGAAAGAAATTGGATAATCAAGTTCTTGTATGATATTGTTTTATTTTTATTTTATATTTTTTTTCAAGAGCAACTATAATGCACATGTGTTGCAATGCTGGATCACAAATATTCTCACTTCAATGCTTTTTTTCTTTGATTATACTGTATTTTATTTAGTCATTATGGCAAAAGTGTTTTTTTCTAACACAGGATTCCATTTGGCTCCCACATATTTTCAGGACAAATACTAAACAGGTTCTCAAAAGATTTGGGGCAAGTTGATGAGTTTCTTCCAGGAACCATGCTCGATTTTTGCACCGTAAGGAAGTGTTTTTCATAGTATTTGGTGATGGTGCTCATAACTGCCCGGCAAAAGGTGGTGGGATGGTGCTATATGATCCTATGGTGACGGGAATAATAGATTCTAAGTTGAAGAGTTTTCGGTACTGTATCTTCATATAAATACTGTCACCTTTCGATTCATTATACATTGAATCGTTTCCTAATTTATTATTAGACGACCGCCCTTGATTCAGATCGGCATTTGAGGCTGTTTACAGAATGGTCAGTAGGCAGGATGGTCATGTGGAAAACCGTTATTTGATTCTTGTCCTGCCACACACACACCTCCATTTCCTCCCTGACGCAGCTGCTCTTATTATTCTTGGGAAATGTTACATGGATGAACGTTAGTATGTATTAGGCTTGGCTCACTTGATCCTCCATTACCATATTTAGCTCCCCTGTTCCCTCATTTAGCTCCCTTGTTCCCCCATTTAGCTCCCTTGTTCCCTCATTTAGCTCCCTTGTTCCCCCATTTAGCTCCCTTGTTCCCCCATTTAGCTCCCTTGTTCCCCCATTTAGCTCCCTTGTTCCCCCATTTAGCTCCCTTGTTCCCCCATTTAGCTCCTTGTTCCCCCATTTAGCTCCCTTGTTCCCCATTTAGCTCCGTTGTTCCCCCATTTAGCTCCCCCCATTTAGCTCCTTGTTCCCCATTTAGCTCCTTGTTCCCCATTTAGCTCCTTGTTCCCCCATTTAGCTCCTGTTCCCCCATTTAGCTCCTTGTTCCCCATTTAGCTCCCTTGTTCCCCCATTTAGCTCCCTGTTTCCTCCTTTAGCTCCCCTGTTCCCTCCTTTAGCTCCTTGTTCCCCATTTAGCTCCTTGTTCCCCATTTAGCATTTAGCTCCCCTGTTCCCCCATTTAGGTCCCCTGTTCCTCATTTAGCTCCCCTGTTCCCCATTTAGCTCCCTTGTTCCCTCATTTAGCTCCCTTGTTCCCCCATTTAGCTCCCTTTTTCCCCCATTTAGCTCCCTTGTTCCCCCATTTAGCTCCCTTGTTCCCTCATTTAGCTTTCTTGTTCCTCCATTACCATATTTAGCTCCCTTGTTCTTGCATTAAGTTCCCTAGTTCCCCATTTAATTCCCCATTTAATTTCCCTATTCCCCCCCATTTATCCTTTATCCTAGAGTTAGATCAGCGACAAGTACCAGTAGATTAAACAGACATATTTGACATGCATACCCGTACATGATATAGTCCTGCTCTCTGAAGACTTGGTTAATATCTCAAAATTTAAGTCGTCCTTGGTCACATGGGAGCAACACACCTACAGTAGTCTGCTCCAATGGAAAAAGTCCCAATCTAATTTCAACTACATTAACCTTTATCAACTTGCCTCCCTCTTAAGTGCGTCAACCTAACCTAACCTCCAACCTGACATGTCCCACCCTCTTATTCTAACGAAACCTATTGCAGCCAAATTCATCCCACCCTAAGCTCACCCAATTGAACCTGCCTTAAGCATATCTTTGTTAGCTTCTCCTATGCAATTTTCCAGTCAGACTTCCCTTAGCATGCTCTAATCCATCTTGCCCAGCCAGAACAGGTCCTTCAAAGTCGAACATCCGTGTAGGCTACAGTAATTGTATTCGAGAACAGATTTGTATGTCGCTTTTTTTTCTAATTAATAGTTTGTTTGCCATTCCATTAGACAAATAAAGTTAGGCCACAGGACCATACTGCTGATAACCTTAAAAAAAATTAAATAGCTTCTTGTCAATGTTTAATGGACATGGCTATTAGACACAGCACATTAATTTCTGAATAATTCATATATATATATATATATATATATATATATATATATATATATATATATATATATATATATATATATATATATATATATATATATATATATATATATATATATATATATATATATATATATATATATATTATTTTTTTTTACATGCACAAGCTAACTCTGAAACTGTCTTTCACATGATAGGACCTTACTGTACAGAAGTTGGCCTTGTAGTCTGCATACACTTCTAAAAACTTTCTGGAGGTTTCTGGCTGTTGGTGCACCTCTACCATGACTACTTGGAGTAAAGTAGTAGTACAGTACTGGCACTAGAACCTTTTTGTTTTAAATAACATTATTGTCCATGAACTTGTCAGGATATTATTTATGACGAGGTCCTGTCTCTTCAGGTCAAATCCTTAACAGATTCACAAAGGACCTTGGACAGATAGATGAATTGCTGCCTATTACAGTCTATGATGTCATCACTGTGAGTATTACCAAGAAAAGATGATAAAGCTTTACCTGTTTTCCCCTAACTCCTGCATCAGCTACAAAAACTGCCTTTGAATAAGATTAATTTGTGTAAATATTCTTATATGAAATTAATTTATTAGTAAGGAAAAATTAATATCGGTAATTATGCTGTATGTACTAAAAAGGATAGTGTTTGTAAATGTACGAATTTTATCGGTAAAACAAAAGAATATATTTTGGTAAAATTATAGATTTTAGTAACAGTGAAAACTTAATAGTCATTTGTAGTGAAAAAAAAAAGAGTACTGTACCTAACAGGGAGAGAGAGAGAGAGAGAGAGAGAGAGAGAGAGAGAGAGAGAGAGAGTAACTATTGTTAAGTTAGTGGTTTCATCTTGTCCGGTAAAGACCAGATAGAATACGAAGTAGCAGATTAGTATCATATAGATCATGACAGTTTCATAGGTGACATTATGTGTTCTTGGGTGAACAGTAATTTATTTATCAAGACATTCTGACCTGAGCAGTGCTAAAAATTGTGTTAAGTAAATAATCTGCCACAAGACCTGAAAATTTCATAAAATGTCTAAAATCAGAAAGATCTATTAATTCAGCCTCACTGGATCCTTGAAGACTCATACAAAGTGTATCCCTTGTAACTGAAGACACAAGAACATCTCAGACTTCAGCTAATACACAAATATAGTTTTCCAGGTCAGCATCAAAATTACACTCGGATTTGTCTGAATTTTGTTTATTTAGCATCTGTTACAGTAAACTCTCGTTAACACAATACCTAAAGATGAGACTCGCTGCTGAGCACAAATTTATATAAATTGGTTTGCAAGATGAAATATGGAGATACAGTGAGATGAAAATGTTTGACACGCTGGTCTGCTGCTTTGTGACAGTTGACATCTGAGTACAGGTTGCTGTCATTTATACGAAGGGTGTTGATAGAAAAGGCCAAGGAAAGTGAGATCAATAAAAAAAAGATCAGTTTCCATAGTAACAAGGTGTTACATAAGTAAAATTGGTATCTGAAGCCAATGCCCATGGTTTGACTGCTATGCTGTTTATTGTAAAAAGATACAAATTTATCAAACTGTTATTAGAATACAGTATAACTTTATGGGCCATTGTAAAGTGTGAGACTTGCCATCACGGACACAGACAGTCGGGAAGAACCAAAAACACATCGCAAAACCTTATCTTTATAACCTGAAAGATGACCATATGTAATACACTTATTGTTTCAGACTAGATCGTTATAAGATTTCTTTTTCTTACTATAAATGGTGCATGCTATATTATATTTATATTGCTTGAAGTTATACCATCACATAATGCATATTAAAAACACTAAGGCTTCTTGCTTGCTTAGTGCATGTGCTTAAGATTAGCTAAAGGATGCATATCAGTTTTCCATGTACATTAATGGCTCTAGGCTGTTTTTCTGTCTTTTATGAGAAGGAATTTTATATTTTATAGCAGAAATTTTACTCTCCATATAATTTGACGATCATGGATGTTGCTAGATATTGTGCTCCAGTAATATAATCCAGAGAGTGGATCCGGGTCTGCTAGGTGGTATGGATGTATGGGAAGTGAGGGAACTGTAAAAAGAGAGTATAATTCAGGAGTGGAAGGTAGGTAGGAGAGGGGAAGACAGGAGGATGTATGAGTACAGTATATGAAGTGAGATGAATGGGTATCCTGATAGCAGCTGTATGAGTGGGTGGAGAGCTTGACATTGATTGAGTTATGGATAAGAAAACACTACTGGTTTTTGTGAAGCAACAGGAGCAAGTAAAGTATAGGACCTTGTTGTGGAAGGAGTGAGTACCTTAGCGGGTTACATCTTGTACAGTAGTAAGAATCGATGGATGAGAAGGAAAATGTGTGTATTTGTTTTGTCTTGTTTCTGACCCACCCCCATGAGGTGAAGAAGGGCGTGAAAGAGTAATTTGTGTGCAATAAATACTAGTTAAGGGGGAATATATCAGGTGCCAGGTCAAGTATGTATGTTCCAACTTAACTGGAATTAGGCTTTTGGATTGGGGTCCTAATCCTAATGGTTTTGTTTGGATAGATTTGGACCTATTAGGACAGGGGCCCATTTGACAAGCAACTAATATATCTAACAAATATCTGCAGTAGTTTTAAGAAGAGTGACCGAGGATAAAAAATACCCTAATGAGAAGATGCCCAACAATGTCTTGCTATTCTATTCACTTATGCTAGGACTGCTTTATGATCCAAACAGTAGTACAGTTTAATATTATGATCACATATAAGGGCATATAATTAGATAACATGAAGGCCCCTGAGTTGAGCACTAATGACTTTAACTGTAACAAGTGATTTGACTTAATAAATACTGAGGGTAATTCATTAATACACAATTGATATATATTTGGAACAGTAGTGTGAAGTCTCATTTATTATCATTATATATTTCCTGAGGTTATTTTCTCTAGTTGTTTAGTCTTCAGATTCATATCCAGTAAAATATATACATTTATCTCCATAATTCTTTACTTTTGTCTCCGTGTATCAGTACTGTAGTCATTGTCTAAAAATATCTAGTAAATGTATTGATTGATTTACATTTTAAAAGGTAACATGATAGTGATATTGTTGCCATACTTGTGCAGGTTCTTCTTAACTTCCTTGGTATTATTGTGGTGATCGCCTCTGTCAACATATGGGTCATCCTCCCTACCCTGGGTCTTGGCATTATCTTCGTCTTTCTTCGCCGTTTTTACCTCTGCACAGCGCGTGATGTAAAACGTCTTGAAGGCATCAGTGAGTATCATATTTGTGTGATTTTGATGGCTCTTCATTCTTTGTTTTTATTTCTATTTTAATCATTTCTATAAAAAAAATTTAATGTGGTCATGTGAGATGAAACCTTGAATAACTCTTTAATTCATGCCCTGGAGTTTATTTTTATTGTAACTAATATTTTCTATTAGTTCAGTTTGTAGTGATTGGTGACCCATAAGGGAGAGTAGAAGGCATTTATTCATACTAATAAATAATATGTTAGGACAATGCCTTAATGGAAATATATCTTGTATGTCAAATTAACCAATTAGCATATTTAAGGAAGTGGTGAAGGGGTAAAACTGTGGTAGAAGGAAGATACAGTCATAGACAAAATTCTCTGGAAACTTGGCACTTTTTTTGTGTGTGGTTCTGACATGTGTGAAGAAAAGAAGCGTTATTAGATACAAAGTAATCACATATAAGGCCCAGAAGTAGATGCCAGATATTGCCAAGTGTTCACAGAATTTTGTCTACAACTGTACATATAATTTTGAGAATTGCAAAATAATGTTTATTAGGGGATATTTTGGAGTTTTGAAAAGTACAGTAAAATAAATTTGAATGCATTGTATGATTAGAGGCTTTGAAAAATATAAGGGTACTCCTTAAAGTGAGTCTTATGATGAGACCTATACAGTACATGTATTTTGATGGCAGGGAGTGTAGCCTTCATGATCCATAGCCTTAATGTACGTATGTGCACTCAACAGCTCGCAGTCCTGTGTTTTCCCACCTGAGTGCATCTTTACAAGGACTCACCACCATCAGAGCATTTGAAGCCCAGCAGATTTTCAGGGATGACTTTGATAATCACCAGGTGAGATTTTTATTTAATTTACCAATTTGGGTGAAGGGAAACAGTGAGTGACAGTAGTGATAGGCTGACAATGAAGGTACGTGATTGGCTACTTTAAATTCACGCACTTTACCTCGGATATTGGTTGCCTGAACTGTGGAAATTTCTCAAGTGATTGGGAAAAATACATTTTACTTTACAAACTTTACTAAAAATGGACTCCCATAAAATTAAAACATTTGTTTTAAAATGTACAGGGGGTCCCCGAGTTACAAACACTCGCCGATACGAACGAGGTCCCATAAGGTCAATTACTTTAAAATTCTGACATAGGTACAACTGGTTCGTAGTATTAACGTAGGGGAACTAGTTTGTGTGGCGGAGCGGTGGGTGGGGAGTAATGAGTCACCCAGCCACATGCCTTGAGGGAGCGTCAGTACATCTTACCCTCTTCACCTCAATAGTGCATTTGATCAAGTGCAAAATTTTTTCTGCTCGCATCATGACTTCCAAATGCAAACCTGATGCAAGTGATAGTAGTCCATCCAAGAAAGGGAAAAAATTTTCAATGGAATGGAAAGTGATGTAATTAAACGTTATGAAAAAGGCAAAACACCCTCAGTTATTAGTAAAGTGTTGGGCTTCAGTTGGTCAATGATCAGAACAATTTTGAAAGAATACAAAATTCTTAAACATGTAAAAGGATCTACACCAATGCACTCCACTGTGATAATAAAACAAAGAAGTGGATTGTTAATTTAAATGTAAAGATTGTTAGTGATATGGGTGGAAGATCAGCCAGCCCAAGGTTTAAATATAAGTGTTAAACTTTAAGTTTTACTTTCCTTTACTGTATTTTGTCATTCAATTCCTTCTTTTCTCTTAAATTAAGTGATTCTAGATGTATAAAAGGACTTAGGCTATAGTATAATGCACATAGGGTATGTGTTCCGACTTGCACATTTTCAGCTTAAGAACGTCCTTAGGAATGGAACTCGTTCGTAACTCGGGGACCCCCTGTACTGAAGTTACGGTATACAGTGTATTCATTTACAAATACTAGTAAATGTTCTGGAAGGTAAATCCTGAAAAAGGCTACTTCAGTGCAGGGACTGTACTTCACTACCACACACACCTCTGTGTACCACCACCACCCTGGTTGTACCACCCAAATTTATGATCTCTCTGTATGATTACAGGGTGTCTACTGGTCTGGAAAACCTGGAAAAGGCAGGGAATTTTATTTGGAGCTGAAAAACTAGGGAATTTGGTGAATAAACCTGGAATTTTATGTGAATTCAGTTCAACTTCAAAATTTTGCTATTTTGACAGCAATCTTGCCATAAATTAATGATGTACTATATAATAGGTACCTAAATAATTAAACTTTTAGGACAAATTCCAGTAAATAGTTCACTCCAGTAACTGAATTGTCTGTGTATCTATGATACTGTATTTCATGTAAACGATCAAATAACCAAATATTACAGGTTATACCTACCAACTCTGCAACGGATGAATAGTTATAATTAAGTGACTTTATTTAAGTGGATAATTCCATATATTATTCATGAGTCATATACCTAAGTGGATCTGGAGTGTGATTTTCAGTTTTTGCCGGATTTCTGGCTCTTTTTTTTTTTAAATGTCCAGGTCGACCCACTAGAATTGCACAAATTTGAGGAGAAATATATGAATGGTTGTGGGGGGGGAGGGGGGTGTCAAGGTCTTTGCTGATATTCATCGCTAGGTGTGGGGTGGGTCACGAAAGGGTCTTCAATTCTTGAGTAAAATCATTTATATCATCTTTATATCTCCCAATAGTGTACGTATACATATTTAAAACCTATGATTTTGTTCTTCTGTAATATTAATACCGAATTAATGTACCCGGAATTTTTCAGTTTTACATCTAGACACCCTGGAAAAGCCAGGGAATTTTGTTTTGTCTGGCAAGTAGACTCCCTGGATTAACCTGATCTTAAGCCATTTTCTTTTCCATAACATGAAAAGTAAAGTTCTCCTGACACACATTTCTTTTTTATAAAAATTATACTGTTGTAGGTCTCAAGAATATACAGTACAGTATATGTATTGTTACTAAGTTGCAGTGTAGAGTTGTTCATGACTTGGAAGGAATGTATTAGTCTGTATATTATTAATTATAATTGGCACATGTTGCAGGATCTGCATTCCTCAGCCTGGTTCCTGTTCTTATGCACCACTCGATGGTTCGGCATTTGTCTTGACTGGATCTCTGGATTGTACATCGGTATTGTCACTTTCAGCTTCATGGGCATGTCAAGTGAGTAAAGTGTAGATATTTTCCCTAAGGTAGTTGACACCTTGCTTGAGATGAAACTGTTGTTGATGATCATCCTATAAGAGGTTTGTTAATATTAAAGGTAGTACAATCTGGTATCAGACAAAATTTTTACGTGCACTTATTAACAACTGGCTCGAAGGCGGGCAGCAATGAGTGGTAATAAATGGAGTACGTTCTGAATGGTAAAAGGTTCTCAGTGGGGTATCTCGAGGCTCTATCCTTGGACCCACCTTGTTTGTGATCTATATAAACTACACAGATGAAAATATATCGAGCCACATTGTCAAGTTTGAGGACGACACGAAGATATTTGGGAAGGTAACAACCCTAATCACAACTATTCTGTTAACACTTTCCTGGATACTGTCAATAAGGAGAAAGATCTTGGTGGTGTGATAGATTATTCACTGAAGCGGTGCAACAAGTGGGGGCAGCAGTGAGAAAAGCAAATTGAGATTTGGGATTTATAAAGTGTATTTTTAAATACAAGTACAGTACAGTACAGTACAGTGATATCTGTGTTAGCTGGGGATTCAGATAACTGAGTTTTGGGGACTGTTGAGAGAGTTCATCCTGTATAATAAAACTTACTGTATATTACCTATAAGTAAACATAATAATACTGTATATCTGTTACAGTATATAAAAAATACAATATACAGTAATTACTTAAAGAAAACATTATATAGTAAAATATTTACTGTCCATGTCCATTATTTTTTAATTCAATTTTATTTATGCAATACACTAGTTACACAGGTACAGTACAGTACAGTACAGTACAGTACAGTAATAATCTTGATTTATCCTTTATACTTTATCTGTACGATGAACCGTTCTTACACAGATAGAATATCTTACAAACTTGTTTATAATTTCATTTTGTTTAAGTCTGATGACTTAAATTAATCAAGATACTGTACTGTAATCACGGGAAACAATGGTGACACTAAATGTACACAATGGGTGAAAGAAGACCCATCTGGGTTATTGAGGCTTTATTGTATTACGATACAGGACAATAAAAGTGCAAGGTGCTGATACTAGATTTTTTAAGATTCTCAACTACTGTATAGCTCACCCAGAGACAGTGATTTACATAATTGGAAAAAATTAAATGGGTTTAAATATAATTGTCTTTAAAAACTAATTCCAAGCTACAAAATCATAAAGAATTGATGAATGTATTTTTGGGCAATGTCTTTTGCAGATGTCCTTGGTGGAGATATCGGTTTGGCCATCTCCTCTGCTATGATGCTGTCTGGAATGTTCCAGTGGGGAGTACGACAGTCTGCAGAAGTTGAAAATCAAATGACCTCTGTGGAGCGCGTGATTGAGTATTCACACTTGGAACCTGAAGCTCCTCTGGAAACTGAGAAAGGTTTTAATGTTATTCTTGACGAGTTTCTTTGTATTTTTTGCATCATACAGGTATGAAGGTTAGATTTACTGGAAATGTATTTATCCAACTTCTTTTCAAACACAAGTAACAGGGTGATTGTAAATTAATTATTAATTGTGACAAAAGTTATAGAACATTTCCTGATTTTTTTTTTTTTTAATAATTTCAGACAAACTCCCAAAACCCGGCTGGCCTGAGCATGGTATCATCACCTTTGAGGATGTTTCTTTACAATACAATGAGACAGAAGCTCCAGTACTTAAGAATCTACATTTTTGCATCCGGGCAAATGAAAAGGTAATAAATTTTTATTCTCTTGAAGGTATTGCATTTTAGTTTGAAATCTATTTACTGTATATCAGGGGGTATTGGTTCCTTCAAACTTTGTGTGATAATCTTTATAAATTATTTCAATTTCTACTTCTGACCATCTAGGACAGGGGTGGGAGAACTGTGGCCCCTGACCCATTGAGGGTCTCCATGGCCCATTACCACATTTGATTTCAGTGCTTTTCTTTCCTCTTTAACGGGGGACCAAGGGTGGGTATATAATTTATTGATAGATTTTGATGAAATTTACAGGATATTTACACTATTGTCAGACTAAATCAAAACGCATGATTCCGTTGCATAGTCGAGGAACTGCATTGTGGCAATGTTCCAGGGTATTGATGATGCCTATTAAATCTGCAAAGATTATTATTAGCATTGGAAATAATAGTTGGCCAAGAACCCCATTCCTGATATACAGTATTACCTGCTGAAGTACTGTACTGTACTGTCTGGTGTACTATAACAGCTTTTTTTGTTTATTAAATACAGTATTGTTATTTACTTTAACCAGGACTTAAGAAAATATGACAGAATCCTTGAGAAAACTGACCAAAAAATAAAGAATGAATATGTGAGCTTTTTTTCTTCATTTTCAGATTGGCATTGTTGGTAGAACAGGAGCAGGCAAGTCCTCCATGTTGACATCACTCTTCCGTCTAACTGAACCATCAGGTGCCATCCGCATTGATAGTGTGAACATAAAGGAGCTGGGCCTGCATGATGTACGTGGTAATATCTCAATAATACCTCAGGATCCTACTTTGTTCTCTGGTACTATGAGGAAAAATTTGGATCCATTTAATGAATACAACGATGAACAGCTCTGGAAAGCACTGGAAGAGGTAATTGTTTTTCCTTTACTGTGTGTGTGGTTTGCAGGCTGGGAGTCGGTGAAACCATTGTTAAGATGGAACCTTATATTTCATGGAACATCGGCGTCTTGATAATTCATGGTTTAGGTACCAGAAGACATCATGAATTGCCTATCCCAAAATATAGTTTCATCAATTTAAATGGAAATAATTACAGTAGAACCTCAATACACCGGAATTCACTTTTTTTCGGACTATCTGTGGTGCTGTGGGCCGCCCTGATGTTCACCAGAAATATTTAAAAACATCCGCAAAATCCAGCATCAGTCTCGACGGTTTGTATAAGTACGTGCGGTTGAACAAGTCAGTGGCGTGTTTATATATGCCATGCTTCTACTCGGCACGATACATGCATTAATATAGCTTAATGGCTAATGAGCCAATCAGTGGTGAAGAGGATAAAAGTAAAGTTGTTATATTGAAGTACAGTATCTAGTATGCCATACAAGGACGACTCCCTCCCCCCATCTCTAGCTGTTGCTGATAAGGGTAGCAGGCGTACCAACTTATGATGATGCACTGGGGATTATATCAAAGCATTTCGTCTAGCGTTTCAAATCGTAGCGATGGAAAATCTGTTATATACTTTTGGGGGACTGTACATAGTTTCTCAGTCACTCTATCTTTATTAATTTATATACAGTACTGTATTATGGAGCTTCAACACAAAGAACAATTGTTGTTCTTGTGTTTAATTCATTGATTGGTCATTATGATAACCCTAAGAACACTGATATAGTTGAAAAGATTTTATTTATTTATTTATTTATTTATTTATTTTTCCTAAAATCATGCAAAAAGCAATGAAACTTGGACATATTTATACAATCAAAAGTCATGCATGACAATTAAGTGCTCCATTTTCATGGTAAAATGGCTTTTGGCATGAGTCAGCTGGGCCATGCTGTTATGCTTGAAATTTGAATATCATAATTTTTCATTCAAAATACTGGACAGTTCAGTACAGTTGTCCTTTTCATGTACAATATTATACGTCTTGTACTTACACTTGCCACCACACACTGAACTACAGAATTGTGAATGAACAAAATTCTTCTTGCTATCTGAAATAAAGTGGTGGCTTCCTTCCTCTATTGAGCTTATAAATGTAGGCTTGGATTGCCAATTAGTAAGTATTCATGTCTACTTAGTTTCCTATCCCTTAGATGTTTTGCTAAGGTTATGTACAGGTACATTGTATAGGATAAACCCACCAACCATCACTTGGATAATCTGTTTATATATGTGATACTTTAATTTTATCCTCTTCACCACTGATCGTCTTGTTAGCTCTTGGGCGATTACGTCTGTTATGCACTGTTGGCAAGTACTGTACTGGGCATATTCTATGACCAGGTTAAAGAAAATAGACCTTGATAAGACTTCTCAAGAACAAGGGGGGAATTTACACAGGCCATTGGTCTCCTTTTCCTCTAAATTGGTTAACACATGTTAAAAGTGGAGTAAAGGTATTAGATAATGAAGATTGTCATGCAACAGTACTCTTGGTGAAAGGCGAGTGGCATGTATTAATTTGAATTTCATGTGTGTAATTAATGCTGGCATTGTAAGGAGAGTCTATGTTACTCTTGATTCTAGTCACTGTGCACCAAAGTGGAATGTATGGCTGTTGGTCACAATATTTAAAAATATTTCTGGATAAAATCTGCATCTTAGTTCTTGTGTTTTGTCTATAATGGAATGAGTATTAGAGGATGTTCTCTTGAGACAGTTGAGATGAAGGTGATGAGGTAGATACATTACAAGGGGTGAAGCTTATTTTATTGGGCGACGGTTGAAGAGGAAATGACTGGTACACGATTACATGACAGACATTAAAACAGAAGAGAAAAGAAGTGATATGCAAGGATACTTGATTTCTTAGTTTGTGTGATTGATCTGAACTGTGATACATGAAACTTGAAATGGTTTAGAAAGAAGCCATTTGTCAGATTAATGCTCCTGCACATAAATCTTGCTCCCAGAAATGTTAAGTTACAATAAGTGTATTTTTTATACTTGAGTTGAAGCTAGCTAGTTACTCGGTACAGGGGGCCCCCCAAATTCGCAGGGGGTTAGGTTCTCAAAATGGCCGTGAATCACTGAACCCACGAATAACATTTGCGAACCGTGGGTGGGTGGGTGTACATTTTTACTTGTGTACAAAGATATGTATATTCCCTTTGTGTTAGACCTTAGGACAATTATTTCTTTAATCTGTATTGTATATATGCATGTGTGTATAGACACACACACACACACACACACAAAGCACATACAAATAAATAATAATGAGAAAATATTCTCACAAATAATCGGAAACAAGTTTATTAAAAATGTGACAGTCTACCCTGAAGTCCTTGCTCTTATTAATAAAGCACGGACTTGGGGGTAGACTGTCAAATTTTTAACAAACTTGTTTCTGATTATATGTGAGTATTTTACAATAATTATTTATTTGTACAGTATGTGTTTTGTGTGTGTGTGTCTTCACACACACACACACACACATTTACAATACAGGTAAAGGAAACTACTGTCTCTAGAACGAATGGCTCCCTGTCCCAGCCACGAAAATGCCGGCAACTTTAAAACTACCCTTTATAAATTCTTGGGTACATCCAGGGTGTCATCCACAAATAATATTGGACCGCAAAATAGAAATTCGCGAACTTAAGGGGCCCCCTGTAGTTGTGATGTTATATTTTCTGTTACAAGAAAAATCCAACGTAGGTACAATTGAATATGGCCTCCCATGTGTAATTACATCCTTGGGAAACATCATTCTATTTGGTTATCACTTGGACAGGTTCAACTAAAGGAAGCTGTGTCTGACCTAGTGGGAGGTCTCGAAGCAGAGATGTCGGAGGGCGGCAGTAACCTCAGTGTCGGGCAGCGACAACTTGTGTGTTTGGCTCGGGCCATCCTTAAGCACAACATGATCCTCGTACTTGATGAAGCAACAGCCAATGTTGATCCAAGGTTTGTATAGCAAAATTTTCAAATGTTGTACTGTAGATAAAGTTCTGTTGATCCGTTCCAGAGATGGACAAAACTAACCACAGTAGTTATATCTTCTGTTCAGATCTGTTAGTTCCTTTATTGTAAACTTTATGTACAGTATAATGATTGATGACACTGATAAATGATATATGAACACTTAGTTTTCTCTATGTACCTTTTTATTAATTTTCCCCCGATCAATAGCTGTGCCACACATTCATGCAGTTGAAGTGCTTTATATATTTTTTTTATTATTATTCTATTTTAACCACTGTTTTCAGAACTGATGGGCTAATTCAGCAGACAATTAGATCAAAGTTTAAAGACTGCACTGTGCTTACCATTGCTCATCGCTTACACACAATCATGGACTCTGATCGTGTGATGGTTCTTCAAGCTGGTATGATTGAGGTGAGATCATGTTATTACATGAAATTATAAAATATATATATATATATATATATATATATATATATATATATATATATATATATATATATATATATATATATATATATATATATATATATATATATATATATATATATATACTGTATAAACTAAGAAACTTATCACCTAGTAGTGGATTAGGTGAGTTACCATATATACTCGAGTATAGTGAATTTTTATGCAATAAGTAGGGGGTCAAACTGCATATGCATAGTAAGTTTGAAGGGTTAAAATTCATGTACTGTACAATATTTCTGTGGGTCCTTTACAATGACTGATAGCTGCCCGATACGTGCTCACAATGGACTAACCTTACCAATTACCTCCTTTTTCCTGGGCTTGCCTACCATACTCCTTCATTCTTTCTTTATGTTGCTACAGGAAGAGCAAAACCTCATTCACTATATATACCACATTAAATCTACAAATAACACACACACACACACACACACACACTAGGAGCATGAGGAATACCAACATTATGAGAGAGAGGAATTTCTCAACTTAATATAGTATCTAAAAAATACATACGTTGATTAAAGAGGGTATAGCATTTGAAGGATGTCTTTCATCTTATCTGAGGTGCCATATTGTACATTTTTGTGAGTTTAGTAATTACTTGGATTCATCATTATCAAGCACAGATTCCTCAACACTGCTATTGTAAGTAGCTCAACCTGTCATAAAAAAAAGAAGAAAATAAATAAATACTCTAAGACAACTATAGTATTTCCATGCTAACCTGGCCCATAAGCCACACTCCTCTTCTATACTAAAAGCTGATTGGTTCACAGAAGATTCAAACTAAATGTGTTCACAACTGGTTAGCAGACCTGTTATTATCTAAAATAATGTTAAGTATCTCGACTATCAAAATGCAATGATTTCAACACTTCAGAGAGGGAAGAAATGTTAAATATATATCATAAAAGGTCGATATAAATTTGTGCTTATATACGCGCAGTCTGGGGGGGTGGTAGAACGCTCAGGGGAGCCAATCGGCTATTTGTAGCTATAGACGAGGGGCGGGGCTTATGGGCCAGGTTAGCGTGAAAAGGGTATGGACATGTGAACTAGGGTGTAGGGAGAGGCATTGGTACTCATTAAAGGAATAAGAAGATAATTTATTGGTTGGGAACAAAGGATAGGTTCAGCCTTAAGTATGGCCATCATGAAGTACTGTACAGTACTTAACTACCATAAATTACTCAGGTATTACTCACCAGAGCTCTTAAGTTCAAGGATGTTGTGCAAGTTTAGACAGATGTATGAATTGCAAAATATTTACTTAAATATTAACCAATATCAAAATTTATAATTGTTAGTGATTTTTCAAATCTTCAACTTCATTGTTTTTTCTTGAAAAACTTATGTTGTCTTTGTCTTGAAATGTAATGTATTTTGGTAATATTTCCACAGGAATTTGAGGAACCACACATCCTTTTGAAAAAGGATAACTCTATGTTCACGGCACTTGTTCAACAATGCGGCGCAGCAGCAGCAGAACAGTTGCGTCAGATTGCAGAAAAGGTAAACATAAATACAATTAACACAGTCCTGTTTCAACCAACAGTCCTCCACCAATGGTGTACTTGTTAATTTCTTACTTTTGTCAAGTCTTTCCTCTACATTTTGTCCAAGTCTAAAAGTTTGTCTTATAAAGTTCATCAGTCACTTTCCTGTATAAACTTACATATTCACTTACATATTCTTTCATGAATACTGTATGTTGTGAATGTTTAAATATACATATTGTGTACTGTACATGTTGAAGGAAGAAATTTTCTTGTGGCTGGAATGTCAATCCTACTTGAAAACAGTTGATCAAACTTAACCCAGTTGTTAACACCACAGACATACTATACTGTACAATATTAGGTGCTTAATACTGCATTGTGGCTTTTTTGTAAAGAAAAAAGCTGTTGAAAGTTTAAAATTGTATTAATGACTTTAATCTGTAAACATAAATAGGGAGTCCTTATTATTTGTCTGGAACATCCCTGGTGACTACAACGAAAGGAAGAATAATGGGACCGACCAACCATTGACTTAACATGTTATGTATGAAAGATGTTATAACTGCATAATACAAGTATAATTTTCATATTATCTTACAAAATGCATTAATGCACAGTAGCCAAAACAAATATCTATGCATACTTTGTGGGAAACCATAAGAGACCATGAACAATAAATTTTGGTATATGATGGCTGTCACTAGTCACACGTAAAATTTTGGAGCATATTGACCCCCACCTGGACAGATAGTTGTTTTAGCTACTGTACAGTACAGGTATTAATTAACAGTGAACCATTGAATAATTGATATCATTCCCCGCCTGGGAACTACACTTTCTTTTTTTTTGTCTACAAAAATATTTCATCAACCTGGCACCAAAGCAACACATACTGTAATGTCCTTTCCACCTTGTTTTTCTTATTTTATACTTCCTCTATAGTACAGGATATTGTATGATTTTATTGTTTTATTAAAGTTTTCACCGTTGTACGTGTGTTTAAGGAAAACGTACTGAAATACACGGTTGTGTATATCGGTAACTCGACTATCTCAAACACACAATACTGTGGCTGCTAATACAGTTTGCAGGAACCTAACCCCAGCTAATACCAAGGGTCAATTGTATTTAATAATTAATATCAATTATCTCTACTCTTTCCAATGGCAAATTAACAAAACAATGAACAAAGAGTTAATGAACAACACGGACTCTTGTATGTTGTGGCTCTTAACATATAGTACTAGAGAGTGTAAACAGCATATGATTACTTCTGTATATAACTGAATCATAAATATGTTGATAGATTTTGCCAAGTTTACTGGAGGTAGGTTTCTTGTCTATCAGGGTGATCAATTTACTTGCATTAATCTATATTTGTACTCTAGTATTTATCTTTTTTCAGGCTTATATTGAACGACACGGGCTCAATGCTTCAGTAGAGACAACGAATGGTGAAAATAAAGTTGGAAGATGTGATAATTTGTCGCTCGAAGACACTGACTTAAGAACTGAAACCAACAGTGAAAATAAGTTGGAGAGCACGAAAAAAAATAGCTGAGATGTGATTTATCTGATGTCTTGGTTTTGATAAAAGTAAACAAGACTGATGAACAACATGGAAAAAGTGACATCAGTGTATTAGTTCAGATTGAAAAGTTCCTGTGATGAGAATCTGGACTGTATGTCAAAGTGTTGTTGGATAAAATATTTTCGTGGTGACTACTGTACCTAATAGCAGGGATAAAAGCACTTATTGTTGTATATATAAGAGGAGCTTCCATTTTCATTTGTTGCATTTTACTGTATGCAGGAATCCAGTATATAGTTAGGATTTAATTCACAAATCATGGATGGTTTTCAGTGCCACAGAACAGTGTTGAGGTCAATCCCAGTCAACTACGAGTGGGGCAATGTTGTCAAGTTACCAGAGAGGCTTATTATTTTACGGGTTTTTTAATAATTATGTGTTCAAATTAACTGACGGTGAATAGGGACCAATTGTTTGTGCATGCAGTACAGCATCTGAAATATATTGTACAGTTGCCTTCACTACATCTACACCATACCTAAGATAGTCTCACTGAATCTCTTATTTAAAATGCAGTACAGTATGAACTCACTTTGGTGTAAGACAGGAGTTATAATGATGTTTTATGTCCCCTCTTGATCCTTCTGTTGTTGTGTAACCAGTGTAGGCAGCTTACATGTACAAGTTAATATGTTTAGTTAAAAGTAAGATTAAGGTAAATTTTCAATTTATACATCTAGAGTCCTAGACTGTGATTCCAAAACTATGTTCCATGGAACAGCGCATGATTGTTATGCATTTAGAATCTTGACAAATCCTGTATTAAGATGCACACCTAAGGATAGGGTTATGAGTCTCTGGCCATAATAAAGATTTGACCAATAATTGTGAAATGATGTGAGTAAATAATTTAAAAGCAGTTTTGTTGGTTTTACCATTCAACTTGAGTCAACTGATGTTGCAGGGTTAGCTATGCTGCTCAGGGGCAGGTCCATGGGGGGTTCAGACCCCCCACCCTTTTTATCATAAAATTCCAATACTTTTTCTTTAATGCAGTATTGTACTCGGGCATTTTTTTATAGTAAAATGTAATTAATAATGACTTCAGAATATCTAATATCAAATGCACATGGCTTCATAATGCCAAGGATATAAGTTGGATTTCAAAACATTTTCTAGGTGGGCTTCCAGTGAACCCCCCCCAGCTAGGTGCTCACCATGTTTCCCCACAAGTTCTTGGGTCTGCCCCTGCTGCTTGTATTGTATTTGTACATGACATTTTTGAGGAGTTGTTGATGTGGCAATTTAGTGTAACCACTATAAAAAATCAGGATATACTTCCAATTAATCCTGGACTCTTTTTATGCAAAACAAATTATCTTGGCTGTGATCTCTGCACAAATATTTGCACTGACATTACAAATAAATTATTAGGTCTTGTAAGGTCTTTCAGATATCTAGACAGTTCGTCCCTCGTAACGATCTTCAAGAGTGAAGTGCTTCCCCCATCTGGAGTACTGGTCCCCGAGAAATGCTAGGTTGGTTGAAAATGTCCAAAGGAGGGCCACCAGACTGGTGCCTGCACTACGGCACCAACTACCCTGAGAGATTGGAGCGCCTGAACCTGCCTAGCTTATACTACAGATGGGCAAGAGGCGACCTAATTGAGGTGTACAGTACAGTAGAACGTCAATTTAAAACGATTCAATTTAAGATTATTAATTTAAATCAACACCCACAATTAAGGACAATGTTTTAATTTAAAGCGAATCTTTCCTATTTTGCGCGAGTCAATCTGGGGCATCATATTTTAAAATTCGCTCCTAGTGTTTCTCTGGGCACGCTACACTGTCGTAAGGGCAAAGTTGTACTGTACATGTACTAAAAATAATATACTAAATGTACCCAAAGGTACATTCTGGAGCTGGTGCATGCCCAGTACTTGCCAACAGTGCAATTGCCCAAGTGGCTAATGAGCCGATCAGTGGTGAAGAGGATAAAAGTAAAAAACTAGGCCAGACCCAGTAAAAGGTGTATTGCCTCATCAGAAATTTATCACATGTAGTGGAAAGGAGGCACTAATGTCTTCCTGGAAATGCTCTGGCCACATGTACAGTACTGTATATGAATTGTAAAATTAATTTAGACTATTTTCTATGGAACTTTTTTTTCTGTCATCCATGTTCACTGAAGAAACTGGCCTATCTTTCATATATATTATAAAAATTAAATAAGGTGAACTTGTGATTGCAAGTCCTGAATATCAAACATTTTGAATATTAAAGATGAAATTGAATTATTCTACAAGATTGGTTTCTCAAATAAAAACTGCAGTGAATGTTTATCAAATCTTTCTGACTTCTTGAATGAGACTTGACATTGGATGAAAAAAAAAATAGAGGCTACATATCATAATTCAACACCTTAAAAAAAAAGGAGGGAATACTTTCAGAATATGTTTTTCCAAGGAGCCAGACCCTCCAACAAGGTTGTGCAATCCATTTATTGATTCAGAGGCTGTGATTGAGCAAAATCATTAATTTCAACAGACCTCATCCTCAAAACAATGTTTGATGAGAATTCGCTGTTTTATTTTTGGATAGGCCACTTATTTCAATAACCTGATATTATGAAATGAGCTTTGAAACCTTTGTATGTGAGGCCGGTTACTCACGCTACATTGATGCCAAGAACTAAAACAGAAATAAATTGATATGTGCCTAAAACTAAAAGACTTTACTCCAGATTTTCAAGTCTTCTGCAGCAACAAACAAGCCCATCCATCATTAACAATGGTAAGCATTATGTTTTTACTTAGCATATATATATTGGAAACATATCGGTTACCAATATATATATATATATATATACATATATATATACATATATACTGGTCCCTCGGTTAACGAGCACAATTCGTTCCAGAAGGTTGCTCGTTAACCGAAGCCATTGTTTCAATGGGTTTTTGGGTAATTGGTTCCAGCTCGCTGAAAATTGCCTAAAGTCAACAAAAAAGGTAGTTAAGTACACTTACTTTTAGGTGTGTATGTAGAAGGCTCCTGGATGATGATGATGGGAATTAGAATGGGGGTGGAGGAGAAGGGAGAAGAGAAGGCATTGGGGTGGAAGAGAAGTCACCCCATGGTGCCATTTCACCCATAAAATTTTAGTTCACTTGCTGTAATTCAAGATTATTTTCTTTAAATCAACACTGCACTGCATTATATATTGTCAATATGTAAATAAATTTCAAAATGACCAATCATTTGCTTGGAAACAGAAAAAAGCATTTATGTTGAGAGTCTGAAGCAAGATGTTACCTCCACTGAACAGAGAGACTGACGCCTGTATGGTGTGTTGACAGGCTGTTTGGCACGCAAAAAACTAGCTTCCTATACTTCAATTATGTTCAATAATTGTTTAAAATGACTAAAAATTTTAATATAAAACTTAAAATTATTGAATAGTACAAACTACTTGATGTTTACTAATATAGTAAGGAATTTAAGCCCTAGAACTGATTACTGTATTGGCGGACTAATACTACAGCTGGTGGACCGCAAGCGAAAACATGTGGAGGGGCGCTCATAAGAAATTTGTTAATCGAGGGATTGCTTGTTAACCGAAGTTAAGAATCTTGTGGAAGGTAATTCGTTAACCGAAGGATCACTGTATATATATATATATATATATATATATGTGCTACTGTGTCATTTTGGTGTCTTAAGCTATACAGTACAATATATATTACACAGCCACTGTACTGTACAGGTATTTCATTTTTCATCACATTTATTCGAAATTACCATTAATTTAACATTACTTAACTTATTTTGTTTGTAATTTGGGGACTGTTTCCCTGTCATTTAACAGGTTCCTTATGTATCTCCAGTATTACAAACAAATTGTCACAAACTGTGATAATGTCTGTCATTCAATCAATTAAAAACAACTTTAGAATTTTCAAACCTCTATTGTACAGCGAACATTATGGTCATTAAAATTTTGTGAAGAAAGTCAATGAAGTTTATTATGTCTACCATGGTCAGTGGTTCATGCTCAGAGTACCCCCAGTTCACAGTTTGGGAAGTGAAGGCAGTCGAGTGTAGTGCCAGCAATACTGCCTCCTTGTACTGTATACAATACTGAAAAAATGCTAGTCTCCAGTGTGCTGTACCCACCATTCCTAAGAGATACACTGTTACTGTGTTTGTGATATTTTAATATTTGAGTACTGTACTGCATATATCCTTGAGATCAGCAAAATGAAATTCATTCATTGTTAAGTGATTAATTTTGTCATTATGAAAAATTATACCTTATTAATCTCATAAAATAAATCTTTAATTATCAGACACTTCCAATAAAATTTTTGCATTATGAAACTTCTCATTATCATAGTGTACATGTACTATAATAAATCTTGACACACACTAAGACTAATTAGAAAAGTTTGTCTTAATTTGCGCAGTCACTCGGAAGACTGTGGCGCTCTCCTGCAAGATGACGTGAATAATACATCGATAACCAAAGATTCTTTAAGAGGTTCATTAATGGCTTGGATTCTAAAAGGTTCCTCGTGGTGAATTTTTCCCTAATTAATATAAGAGGTGGATTCATAAAGGTTTGTATAAGATAATTTTCGTTAATTATTTTATGCTTTGGTGAGCCATTTGCCTGAATGATGCCGTGAGGGAAGTTTGTGTTGCTACTCCTCTGCAGTGAGTAAATTGTTACTATTTTTATTTTCATATTAAGTTAGACATGTTGACTAAATGGTTCCCTAGTTATTGCAAGTGATGTTAGAAAGGTGTCGACCACTGCCAGGGTATTTCGTCGACCCAAAAAGTACAGTAGTTAACAAGAGTTTTATTTCATCATCAAGTGGAAATTTAAATGATGATGCTTTGACTCACCCAATTGAGAACGGTGAATAGTCATCTACTTTACTGAATCGACTTCTATCAAATTCTCAGATGCACACAAAAACTAATTCTAATAATAATAAATGTGCTCCCTCCTCATTTGATGTTACAGCACACACACATGCCATATGGTATCGTAGGTTTAATATCTGTGTGTGTTTGTACATTTAAGGTTTTTGAATGGAACTATAGGGTAAATTAATGCCAAGGTGTCCTCTCTAGCACTAGTTGTGACCATCTCTCAAGCATTCGGAGACAGTTTTTCTTTACTGGTGAATTTTACTGCAATCATGGCCCCTAAGAGGAAAATTAGAGGCAGTGCTCATGGTAGTGAGAGTGAAAAAAATGCATACAGGACTGAGAGAACCCATTTTCTGATATAAATTTCTCAGTGTCTATGATAAGTTTTCCAGATTCTATGACTAGTTTCCCATTTTCTATGATACAAAATTTCAATTTTCTACAACCAATTTTCTGATGAAAATTTTCAATTTTGTATGATGGTTTCCCATTTTCTATCATAATTTAATATTTTCTATGATAATGAGAGTTTGTATATGTGATTTAATTATTATTATTATTATTTTACTTTTATCCTCTTCACCACCGATCCACTAGTTAGCCACTTGGGTGGTCATTCATGTCTCTGTTATGCAATGCTGGCAAGTACTGGGCATGCACTAGCTCCTGAATATATCAGAACCTGCTCCAGTGTTGGTCAATTCTGACCTTGAATGAGTTCACAATTGCCATATGGCATCACGAAAATTGTGACCAAGTCTCAGGTTGCTGACTTTCTGTCTCCTTTACACACAGTTGCAGGGTCTCAACTGTTTCTCTTACTATTGACAACACAACTTACATATATTGTTTCTCACTTTTTATCTTTTTTCATTTTTGTATTTATGGTTCTTTTATTATTATTATTATTACTACATTTATTATTATTATTATTACAGTTATTATTATTATAATCATTATTATTTTATTATTTTTATTATAAATTTTATTTGCTGTGAATTATTATTATTATTATTAATTATTTACGCCCCCCAGGCCCCGATGTGGGTCAGTGACCTGTGCCCGGGTGGGCTAATACCCGTAAAGAAAAAAAAACTTGAGCTGTGACTCCTTGTGGGGCGAGCATCTGCCAGCTCCAGGTAAGGGCACTTGACTGAGTAAGTGCCCTTTGAGATGTTTATACACCTCAATTAGGTTCCCCCTTGCTCGTCTGTTCAATGTAGTATAAGCTAGGCAATTGCAGGCGCTCTAATCTCTCAAGGTACCTCAGGTGCCATAGTACAGGCACCAGTCTGGTGGCCCTCCTTTGGACATTTTCAGTCAAATGACAGTCCCTGGCATACCTTTGGGACCAGGCGGGGTGACAGTACTCCAAAAGGGCAAGGACTTCACTCCTGAACACCGTTACGAGGGATGGACCGTCTAGATACCTGAATGAACTTATAAGACCTAATAATTAGACCTAATAATTTAGTTGCCTAATCCACATACACACCTGGGTCCTTTTCTTTTTCACAGTTAGTCTCAATTACTGCAGTTATAAGATGAATAAAGTCTAGTTATGTACTGGCAAACTCTTATTTCATTACAATTTATTTTTCTTTACTCACGAGTCACCAAGGAGAAGTTTGTGCAGAGACATTTGTCTTCTGCTCCTAACTCGCCTGGTGCAGCTGAGTGGCGTCACTGGTACCACACATCCTGTAGCTTCCTAGAGTCCATTGCATCCCACACACCGGACAAATTGAACACCCTCATTAACTTCGTGTCTCCTAGTGTATACAAATACATAACCAATAGTAACACGAGGCTGCTATAAATATTCTTCAGGATCTCTATGTAAAGCCCAAGAATAAATTAATTCGCTCAGCATCTGGCCACAAGAAGGCAATGTCTTGGTGAAACATTGGATGAATACCTACAAGAACTTCACCAGCTCAGTAAGGAGTGCAACTTCAAGGCTCCTACAGCAGAAAAGAGCCGGGGTATAAGAGGCCTTAATGTTGAGTGACTATTGATGGTGTTTGGTCCAGGAGTGAAGTGTTGAACAAAACAGCTTCTACCTTTACTTAACATTATCTTTCTCACTGACTACATCAGGTGGGTTTACTCATTATGTTTCTGAATGTTTATTGGGATATTAGGTAAATCTCCCCTTTATTGTGTACCTACATTTTCTGTATTGTTTGTATACCTACAGTGCACATTGTATACCTACAGTATCTGTGTACATTATTTGTATACCTACACTACATTGTATACCTACACTGTGTATTTGTTTAGGTAAATCCAGGAAAAAAGTCACAAGATGGAAAAGCCTAACCTAACTTTTTTTCTCTAACTTTATTTCCGTTCACCGTTCAGGCAGGGGTGAATTTTTACTTTAGTGCATGAGCCCCTAGGGGTTAACCAATTTGTTTTTTCAGTGTTTCTGGTGTTTTATAAGCGAATCTGACCTTCGTTTTTGGCGGAAATTGCTCGTTTTTGCCCCCCCATGACAATAATGGGGGAGAGCCTGGGAAATCGGGGTTTTTGGGTGGGAGAGAAAACGAAAATGAGTCCTCTAACCTAACCCCTAGCCCCTGGAACCCTGGTAGGCCTAGCTTGACCAACACTGGAGCGGGTTCAGGTACATTCAGGAGCCGGTGCATGCCCAATACTTGCCAACAGTGCGTAACAGAGACTTGACCGATCTCCCAAGCGGCTAACGAGTCACTCAGCTGTGAAGAGGATAAAAGTAAAAGTAAAGTAAAAGTACACTGTGTATATTGTGTACCTACACTGTGTCCATTTTTTGTGTGATTGTGTGTACAATCAAAGACAAAAGTCATGTCGCGGTTTTGTCCGAAGATTAAATATAACCCGTGAAACATTATGAGAGCCCCTACCACAAGGCAGAGCACACTAAAAGTTTAGCCCTTCTGCATATTTTTCACCAAGTTTCACGACACGACTTTTGTCTTTCATTGTACTGTACATTGTTTGTATACTTAAACTGCATGCAGCATTGTTTGTATATCTACCTTACCTTGATACCTTGTTTGTGGTAATGTATGAGAACAGCACTACCACAAGGAGTCCGATTTTGTTAATTTTTTCCACAGATGTTCTCATCATTATAATAAGGGGACATTACTAGAACCTAACAGAACCAACCAAAGAAACCTTTCTAACCTAACCTAACTTAACCTTTCTAGCCAGGGTACTCCTCCTGGTACTCCCTGTCATATTAAACAGAAAGTACTTTTTTAATATCTGGTAACAATGAAGGCAACTTTGTTGAAGCTTCATTGTGTAATTTTTCGTTTTTTTTGTGGACAGGAGAGTACACTTGGATGAAGTGAGTTCTGATATGAACAAACGGAGCAGATGATATTGGAACATAAGAATGGAGGGAACTTATTTACTCATACTGGGCAGTCCCATTTACACCCAACCCCTATCGCCCATATGTTTGAAGCTATCCAGTGTGTTCCAGTTAATGATGATGTTTGGTAACTTGTTCCACTCATCCACTACTCTATTTCCAAACCCGAGCTTACCTATCTCACTCCTAAATCATAATATGTCTGATTTAAAACCATTGCTACGAGTTCTCCTGGTTTGTTAGTTAAAGTACCTTTGTTGGCCAATATTGACGACTAACCCACCAATGCATTATTTGTTTTCATATTTATTTTCCTGCTATATTTTCATCAGTGAGTTTTGATATGATAATAATTTCTTGGGAATATGATTCGCTTGGTAGATAATTAGGTGTCTAGACGTGCACTACTTTGTCTTCTTGGCATAAATACGTCAGTGATGCTGTATCCCTGAATGTAAACGGCCAATCATATTTACATATTTAAAAACACTCCGTCATGCTCTGATTAACGGAAGTCACCAGTGTATGTTTATGAGCCACACGGTCTGGACGGCTGCTCTCATGTCCACAAAAAATGTAAAATAACACCATATAGTAATTCTCTCTGTTTAATATGCTGGGTGGACCCTCATGTCTAGGAAGTTAGGTAAGGTAAGGTTAGGTTGGTAGGGCCTTCTAACAATGCTTCTGCTGCTTGTTTTTCTTATCAAATAAACTTAGGTTAGGTATAATTTAGAAATACAATAACCACTTTTTAACACATTTGCCAAAACTACAACAGTGTCCATTATAAAACACAATGAAATTGCCACCTCGCTAGTCATGTAATGGAGGGACAAGTTTTTTATGCTGTTATCTTTTCTTGTGTATATATAATTAATTTAATTGTTAGATTATTTCTGAATTTTCTGTCTATAAGTATATATCTTATACTTGTTTGCTTATATTTTCTAAGTTAATATTCTTTTCTATGTGTTATTTCTCCTGTCATATATATTATGGTCCTTTCTAGAGTTTATATCTTCTTCTTTCTCTCAATAGATTAGTCTGGGGAAACCATGTCATTCTTCCACAACACTTATTTTACTTACAACGGTAGCCTGCCACCACCCAGACGTTTATTAGAATATAACACGCCTCCTTGAACTGTTAGGTAGCGTGATAGATTCCAGCTCATGGGCACGTGAATTACAATAGATATTTTCTGAGGACCAAATGTTAGAAGGGATAGAGTGGTGATACTCGTAGTTTACTAATTCAATATTTAGTAGCATAAGGAGTGAACAAGATGTTAATTAAGTACACTCGGGCAAGACTGGACCACTTAGATCTTACTTTACAATTCATAAAAGAGATCTTCAATTACTTATTACATCATTAAACAACTGTTATATTATTTCTTTGTCAATGCAGATGGTTGTTTGACACACTTGACAATATCCCAAATTAACATATTATTTATAACATCATGTCATTTCGAAATGAACAACATGACACTTACTAGAACTCAGTTGGTATTACATATGAATGATGTACTCACAACTCATATAACACATTATTACTGGTAATATAAATATTTATGGGTTCACTACTCAACATGGGATAACTATATTTCTGCTAATTATCCCTGCTCATGTACACCAATACTGCTTGGTACATATAACTGTGAGTAATCACTGATTCTACACGGTACACCAACAAATGGAGCACGCTGTTAGGGTCGGGTTGCAGTCCGACACACTGCGAGGGAGTTCGTCCCACGGGCTCGCACAATTCAATCGTGCTGAATTAACAACATCCTACAAGACAGCCAGCTGGTATGCAGTTACCGGGAGGTGCTGGGTATTCAGCTAACACCCAGTCTGTGCCTGGAGATGCAATGAGGGAGAGTCACAAGCGTGTTAAAATGTCTATCCTCAACTACACACAACATACGTCTGGCAACGACACAGACGATACTTACTTACTTTACAGGATAGTGATCAACACTAACCCTCCTTCAAGTTCACCCCTATGATCACACATGTTAACTGTGAATATATTTACAATATATATGGTATTTAAAATGTATGAGTTATACTTCTGGGTACATTTTCACCTAGTTGGAATATAGTGGACCAATTATACACACACGTACAAAATAAATGTCCTTTTCACACATTAAGTAATGTTGAATCGATTAAAGTGGTATACTGTGCTGTATATGCAAAGTAAGGTACGCCTCGTGCAAAGAATACAAACTCTACCAAAACTATTATATTTCAGACATAAAGGTGGGAGAGGGTGGATGTAACAAAGGGAAATCAGGAAGCCATCCCACACAAACATCTCACTACAACCTACAAAACAGGAGGCAGAACAAGTCAAGAATAGTCTCTCAAAACTGTGCAATAAGTCAGTACGACAATTAGTGAATACTGTATCTTCAGGAGAACTTTGTAAGCATGATTAATGTAAATTGACAACTGTGTAAATCATATGTTATAAATATGTGAAAGTCAAGTTGGTGCTCCAGGAAACTGAAGCTAAAAATAAGGTTCAAACAAGTGAATCTTTCTCCTGAAAATACTAGTCAAATGCTGCACTGTTAAATATTGTCTAAATACAACATGATGATTGTTGTAATGTTCTAACTTAAACTTGTGCTTGTGAACACTGGTGATGAAAGTTCCAATACAGTACAGTATATAATTGTGGCAATTGTTTGTCTGCACTGCTTCTGTACTGTTGAGACAAAGTTAACTTTTCGTAAATGTTTCTTGTGCAAGAGTAACCTCCATAACTAGCTACATGTGCAGACTTATTAATAGGAACCATTTACCTGTGACGACTGGGATTTATATTTTTATACAGTTTGATATATATCTCAAATGTCTGTCCATTGATGAAAAATTAAATTGTACAAAGTTTTCTTAAGTATAGTACAGTACAGTTGAGTCTGGATTTACGTGGTTTTTGTTTACGTGTTTGGTCATTTATGTGGTGCCTAGCCAGAATTGAAATACTTTAATTACGCGGTAAATTTGGTAATTCACGAGGGAAGCGGAGCGGGCAGGGTGCGCACAAGGTCGCCCAGTCATCAAAACATTACCGAGTTCTTCACCCGCCACCCACCACAGCCGGCCCAAGTCAGTGATAGTGATATTGATAGTGAGGATATGGACTTATATGGACTTTGAGGGGTTTGACAAAGAGGACCTGCAAGCCTATCTGGTGGATAGTGATACAATTGATACAGGTGAGGGCCAATAATCTGCCCTCTGCCTCGGACCAACCTCCCATCCCCGTGTGCCCAGCCATCTTTTCTACTAACGTAAGTGTTAAAAAACCTGATATTATTGATATTTCTCTTAAATATTAATTGTGTGTGCATACCATCATAAAATTAAGATGTTATTTTGACTACAAGGTACATATTGTGTCGGAAAAAGTGGACTTTGGGGGTCGGCCCAATCTCTATTTCAATTAATCCCATATGTTCTGTTATTTCATTTACGCGTTTCTCGTTTTATGCGGTACTCCACGGGTTCAATTGACCGTGTAAATGAAGACCCAACTGTACTCTACGGTACAGTATGTAAAAAATGGCTGATTTTGTGAGTCAAATGGCCAGACATGGTGATGAGGAAAAGTGTCTGTGTTTATACTGTGGTAAATTTGTTTGTAGTAATGATGCTTTACAAATGCATTCCTGTATGACTGAACACACTGATGTGATAGATATTAAATATGAAGACGTTGATGAAAGCTTTAAGAGTAACTGTGAAACAACTCAACATGTGGCTCTGCTTGCTGAGAAAGATATTAAGTGTGAAGAGTTTGATGAAAGTTTTAACAGTAACTCTGATGTGATATATGTGACTGTTGATGAGAAAGATATTAAGTGTGAAGAGTTTGATGAAAGTTTTAACAGTAACTTTGATGTGACATATGTGACTGTTGATGAGAAAGATATTAAGTGTGAAGAGTTTGATGAAAGTTTTAACAGTAACTCTGATGTGACACAACATGTGACTGTTGATGAGAAAGATATTAAGTGTGAAGAGTTTGATGAAAGTTTTAACAGTAACTCTGATGTGACACAACATGTGACTGTTGATAAGGAAAATGTAAAATGCCAAGGAAGTGGTAAATGTTATAACAGGGACAATCAGATGAAGGAACATATGGTACACAGAGAAAAAGATTTAGACTGTGGTAAAAGGTTTTATTCACAAAATTATGTAAATCAGCATTTGGATATACACACTGGTGAGAAACCTTTTAAGTGTGAAGAGTGTGGTAAATGTTTTTCCAGAAAGTATCACCTAAAGATCCATTTGGTTGTACACACTGGTGAGAAACCTTTTAAGTGTGAAGAGTGTGGTAAAAGTTTTAAAATAAAGGTTCAACTAATGAGCCATTTGGTTGTACACACTGGTGAGAAACCTTTTAAGTGTGAAGAGTGCGGTAAAAGTTTTTCCAGAAAGCAAGTTCTAAAGAGACATTTGGATTTGCACACTGCTGAGAAAACTTTTAAGTGTGTAGAGTGTGGTAAAAGTTATAAAACAAATGATCACCTAAAGAGCCATTTGGTTGTACACATTTCTAAGAAACCTTTTAAGTGTGAAGAGTGTGGTAAAAGTTTTTCAAGAAAGGATCACCTAAAGAGCCATTTGGTTGTACACACTGGTAAGAAACTTTTTAAGTGTGAAGAGTGTGGTAAAAGTTTCTCCAGAAAGCAAGTTCTAAAGAGACATTTGGATGTTCACACAGGCTGAGAAAACTTTTAAGTGTGAAGAGTGTGGTAAAAGTTTTTCCAGAAAGCAAGTTCTAAAGAGACATTTGGTTGTACACACTGCTGAGAAAACTTTTAATTGTGAAGTGTGAGATAATTTTTTTTCCAGAAAAGGTGATTTGAGGCAACATATGTGTAGGCTGCACACTGCTTAAAAAAAAAAAAATATATACAGTGGTCCCTCGGTTAACGAACACAATCCGTTCCAGCAGGTTGTTCGTTAACCGAAACCATTGTTTCAATGGGTTTTTGGGTAATTGGTTCCAGCTCACTGAAAATTGCCTAAATTCAACAAAAATGGTAGAAAAGTTCACTTACTTTGAGGTGTGTATGTAGAAGGCTCCTGGATGATGATGATGATGTGCATTTGAAGTGGGAGGTGGAGGAGGAGAAGGGAGAAGAGAAGGAAGTGGAGGTGGAGGAGAAGCATTTTACTGCTTCTTGGAAGGCGAGTCACCTTCCATGAAAATATCAGGAACCTCTGGACTGACAGATTCTCCACCATGAACATCCTCTCTCCTTCTTGAAATGGAAGGCTGATGGATGGCATCTTGTTCCCTCTGCCTTTTACTGAAGAAAGTGTCAATTGTGGTCTGTGGGGCATCTGTCCTCCTCACCATTAACTTATGTTTAAAGAAGGAGACCACTGAGTCCTCAACATGACACAAAGTTAGTTCAGTTTTTTCCACATCTGGGTGCTTTGAAGCCAGTTCCCTGAACTTCTCCCAGTAGTAAATCACATCTTTCAACTGTTTAGCTGACATATGGTCATCACTTTCAATTTCCTCCTCACCACTGTCAGCCTCTACCTGTAACATCTCATCCAGTTGCTTCAAGTCATCAGGAGTAAGTTCCTCCTCATGAGACATCACAAGCTCTTCCACATCCTCCTCCTCCACTTCAAGGCCCAATGACTGACCAATGGACACAATCTCCTTGTCCAACTCTGTTTCTTCCTCAAATCCCTCAAAATCATGGACTACTGATGGCCACAGTGCTTTCCATGAAGAATTGAGGGATCTAGTAGAGACTTCTTGCCATGATGACACAATCAATTTTACAGCCTCCAGGACGTTGAATTGTGTCTTCCAGAACTGTTTCAGTGTTAGTTCAGGATCATTGGAAGTTGCCTGATGACACCTCCTAAACATTTTCTTCATGTACAACTTCTTGAAGTTGCTGATCACATTCTGGTCCATTGGCTGTATGATTGATGTAGTGTTTGGAGGCAAAAACAACACTTTCACAAAGTCAAATTGATACTCCAAATTGCTGGCAAGGTCAGGGTCATGACCAGGAGCATTATCCATGAGGAGAAGAACCTTTAAAGGGAGTTTATTGGTGGTTAGGTAGCTCTTGACAGAAGGGCAAAACACATCAACAGCCCATTCATTAAAGAGCTGTCTTGTCACCCATGCCTTACGGTTGGACTTCCAATAAACTCCAAGCTTTGTTCTTACCACTTTCTGTTGCTTGAACACCCTGGGGTTTTCAGAGTGGTAGACAAGCATAGGCTTCAGTCGGAAATCCCCTGAAGCATTGGCACCAAGCAATAGAGTGAGACGGTCTTTCATGGGTTTATGCCCAGGTAAAGAGGCTTCATCTTTGGTGATGAATGTTCTTTTGGGCATCTTTTTCCAGAACAGCCCAGTTTCGTCCACATTGAACACTTGCTGTGGAAGATAATTTTCTTCTTCCATCAGTTTTTTAAATGCAACTAAAAACTTTGCTGCCCCTTCTTTATCAGCACTAGCAGCTTCACCATGCCTAACAACACTGAAAATGTCACTTCTTTTCTTAAATTTTTCGAGCCAGCCTTTGCTGGCCCGAAAATCTTCAAATTCTGTGCCTGAAGAACCAGGTTGATCTGCCTTTAAATGTTCGTAAATCTCCCTGGCTCTTTCACAAATGAATTCAGTAGAAACTGAATCACCTTTCATCTGTTTTTCCTTCATCCAGATGATAAGTAACCTCTCAGTTTCTGCGATTAGGGATCTACTTTTAAACACTCTTGTAGATTTGTCTCTCACTTTCACTTCTTTAAATTTGTCTTTCTGTGCAAGAATTGTCGACACAGTTGATGCCGACATGCCATATTCTTTGCTAAGCACATTTGATTTAATGCCTTGTTCATGTTTTTTTATGATTTCCTGCTTGGTTTAGATTGAAATAGCTTTTCTTGATCTCTTAGGCCCCATGCTGGATTCAAAAAATGTCAACACGTGTTTTTCAAAGTTAAACTTGTTGTAAATAAAGAATATTTTCTTTAAAATAACACTGCACTGCGCTATATATTGTCAATATGTAAAATAAATTTCAAATTGACCAATAATTTGCTTGGAAACAGAAAAAAAGCATTTAGTTGAAGAGAGTCTCAAGCAAGATGTTACCTCCAGTGAAAACAGAGAGAGACTAACGCCTGTTTGCTGTGTTAAGAGGCTGGATGCCGCGCATTAAACTAGTCACTTTACCTTCAATTATGTTCAATAATTGTTAAAATGACTAAAAAATTGAATATTAAACTTTTAAAATTATTGAATAGTATAAACTTCTTGATATTTACTAAAATAGTAAGGAATTTAAGCCCTAGAACCGATTACTGTATTGGTGGACTAATACTACAGCTGGTGGACTGCCAAATGCAAGCGAAAACATGTTGAGGTCGGTTCGTAAGAAATTCGTTAACCGAATTTTTGTTCGTTAACCGAATTTAAGAATCTTATGGGAGGCAGTTCGTTAACCGAAATTTCGTTAACCGAGGGACCACTGTATTGTGAAGAGCTTGGTACAGTAATAATTTTCCACAAGAAAGTGTGAGGACACACAGTTGTACATTGGTGAGAACAAAATGTAAGTGTGAAAATTGTGTTACCGATTTTCCATTAACCCGTTGAGCGTCAGCCAATATTAGACGTAATAGACACCCAAGTTGCGGCCAATTTTATTTTTTATTTTTTCCCTAAATCATCTAAAAATGGTCCAGGAAACATGAAAATCACAAGAATTCCTACGTCTGTGTGGTAACACTGCGTAGTGAATGATGGTGGAGGAGGTAGGGAGGGTCTCATGGCGCCCATCACCATGGCAATCGCCGAGTCATGCTCCTCCCCCACGCCACCCTGACAGCTCTCCACTTTCCTAACACCTCTTGTGTGTGTATTTCTTTTGTTTTATTTCTGGTTATTCCTCCCACATCAATCATTATTCAACATGTATGTTAAAAAAGGAATAAAACCGCTATGAGTTGATATGTTTATGTTGTTTGCTTATACAAGTCCCCCCAATTGGGTATTATCCGTGTCTGTGAATGGTAAAGGCTACGGAGGGTGTCATGGCAGCACTGCCACTGCCTGGTTCACATCATATAATTACACTAATAGTTCTGAAGAGTGTGATAGTCCTTGAACCATGGTTACTTTACACTCATTACAGCAGTAACGAGTATCCTTCCTCTTCTTTGCACTTCGTGACGTGTTGTAGCAGGCGTGACACTGCTTCTGTGCTTTATTCTTGCCGGGTGTTGGTGGTAAGGTGGAAGAAAAGTGGCGACCTCTGAGGTGGAGAGGTGTGTCACGAGCTGGATTACGAGGTGTTACGTGTTGTTCTTGCCAGTACCACTGAAACATCTCCTTCACCACTTCAACAAGAAGATGAAGTATTCTGATCATAGAGTGGGTCATTATCCGACTCGGAAAAATCATCTGGGGTAAGCTCTGATGTAGGCTCATACTCGACAGCGAGTTGCGAGTATTCCTCCTCAGTCCGCCTGGAAGCGAGAGCGGTGTGACGTGTTCACGCGTGGCTGGCGTGAGCGTGACTCACCGAGTGATGAACACTGTCGCCGCTGTGGCATGCAGAGCTTGGAGCAACGTGGCCCGGGAAGCAGTATACCAGTAGGCAAGGAGGGGGTGATAATGTAGCTCTAAGCGCATCTCACTACTACCACAAATATGAGTTCAGGGATTAGCGCTGATCGTGGCTGGTCACCCAACCCGTATAAGTACGGGATTAGCGCTCGACGGGTTAAGGAGAATCTGAAGAGACATATACTCGGGTAGTTGTTCACACTGGTGAGAAAAATTGTAGTTATGAAGAGTGTGGTAAAAGTTTTCCTTAAAGGGTTATCTGAACCAACACATGTTTGTTTATACACACTGATCAGAAAAAAAAATTAAAGTGTGAAGGTTGTGGGAATAAGAGTTTTGTAGCAGGGAACTTCTCAAGTAACATACTGTATGGTTATATACACTCTCTTTATCTCTTCCACCACACTCGGTGTTCTCCCTTTATATCTTCCACCACACTCGGTGTTCTCCCTTTACATCTTCCACCACACTCGGTGTTCTCCCTTTATGTCTTCCACCACACTCAGTGTTCTCCCTTTATATCTTCCACCACACTCGGTGTTCTCCCTTTACATCTTCCACCACACTCGGTGTTCTCCCTTTATATCTTCCACCACACTCGGTGTTCTCCCTTCCCACCACACTCAGTGTTCTCCCTTTATCTCTTACCACTACATTAAACCTTATCCTTCCCTTCCAAAATATATCTACAGTATACAGAACAGTATTTAATTACATTTAGAGAGAGAGTTAATAGAGTTGAGGTTATTCCACACCTTAGTGGTGTAGTGATAAAATGGAAAGTTTATGTGTGACATTAACATAGTTGTGACAGACCACTGAAACTGATGTTATTGGAAAATTACCGCCTAATGATTTACAACTCGGTAATGCCACCATACTTTTCAACACATGACACACCTCAACATTGTCCTTACTCCAAGAACAATAAAATAATGTAGGTGCTACTATAGTGTGCAGTCTACAAAGATATCTTTTGTCTAACTTAATCTAAATATCTTGTAGACTGCACACTATAGTAGAACCATAATTTACACATGAAGTCTGATAATTTTATATAAAAAAAATAGTGTACAATATTTATCGATTTTTAAACTTAAATTCATAATACATTGTTTGATGTTTCATTATACCAATGACTGCTGGAGAAATTCGAAAATATATTTAGTGGATTAATAATGAACCATTGACTGAAACAGACATTGGAGTGCAGTACAGTACTTGAGTATACTGTAATGGAAAACAAAACTGGTACTGTATTACAAAAGGTTTAAAGAAAGGATATTTTTAATGATTGTAATTGTGTATGTAATTCACCATTGATAGGAAGATCAAAAGTGTGGTGAGGGATACTTTAAAACAAGCACACAGTGGTGCCAAAAGATGCTGACGAAAGATGAATAAAAATGGGAGAAAGGAAAGAGTGAACTTTTTCAAGAAGCAACACTAGACGAGTGAAGGGTCCCAATGAGGTCAAACAATAGTAGGAAAGTGAAGCTGACCTTTAAATATTTGTTACGACCCTCCTTTCACCTCTTACCCAGCTTGCACCACTGGTTACCAGCAGCTATGGTCGTATGTATAGAAGCAGTAGACAATTTCCTGATGTTCGGTATCAGTGTACAAACAAACAACAGGCTGGTAGATTTCCACCAGGTCACAGAAACACACTTGTGCACTGTGGTCTCCTTTAATAATCAATGCTCACAGGGTAAGTTATTACCACTGGACTTCTCACTTCCACTATGTAATCAGCACACTACCAGTGTACAATTCCTTAGTCTTTTCACTTTATATCACTCACAACAATTCCACAATGCTTGCCCAACAATTATCTTCAGTTGTTCTACTTGGCTTATTCTTGACACTGAGCAGAAACCGTTCACTGACTTCCTAGGCAGCTCCCGAGTTTTTATATACAGTACATCTTGTAGGAGTTCGTGGTATAATGTTGTCTAGCACTCAGGATGGATGGAAACTCTAAGGTGGTTTTCTTGTATAATATAAGTTATATGATAGACAGTCTGGTGCTGGAGGTGCCGTGTGGTGAGTAGCTGCTCAGTAGAGACGTTCGGTGAGTAGCGTGATGAAGGAGGTAGAAGTGCAGGAGCTTCGTTAGAGAAGATGTTGCCTGTTGCTGGCCTCCTGGTTGAATGAATGCTGACAGCGTGGAGCTTGCTGGAGGAGGTGTTGCTTGTTCAAGAAGAGAGACCAGAATGAGAAAGCTGGTTGGTGAGGAAGCTCAGAGAAGGACAGCCGGTGGGTCGCCATGCTCGCTGGCGGGAGCGAGGACCGCCAGGCAGGCGAGGAGGAGCGAGGGCCGCCAGGCAGCGGCGGAGGAGGAGGTGTTGCGTGTTGTAGAAGTGAGGCTAGAATGAATCTCAATGGAGAGACAGAGCTTATGTACCCAGCAGCCGCGAGTCCTCTATGAGTCATGTTGGGAAAACCCGAGAAAGTCGCTGGTCTTTTGGTTCCGTTGCGAGGTTACCGTACCATCTGGTGTCGCCGCTCGCTTGGTTGCTAAGGAAAGCGTCGCAGGTGGGATGCAGCTACGCAGTTTGTAGGGGAGACGTCCACTACAATCTCATCAGACGCCTAGAGCATTCTAACGACATCCAGACACTACACATTGGAACAGAATAGCTTGTAGAGTTCTAGAATGATCTAGGCTTACAGTACATAAGTATATCATAACAAAAATGATGCAACACAATCTAGAAAATTCTTACATAGGTAATACATCAATGTACAGTTTACAAGAAAATCTTCCTAAACTTGTCAAAATAACTTGCTTGGAAAAGAAAATAATCAGAACACCTAGTTCACAAAATTATAATAATAAATTATGCCTCGGCATGACACTACCCACTCCCTATTCCTCGTGTCGTCCCGACACACTCATTCACTATGAACAGGTGGACCCCCAAGTTCACGGATTTTTACTTCGCAGTTCTCGATTATTCGCGGATGACACCTTGGATGTACCCAGGAATGTCTGTGGATAGTTTTAAAGTTGCCGGCACTTTCGCGGCTAGGACAGGGAGCCATTCGTTCTAGACAGTAATTTCCTTTACCTGTATTGTATACAGTATATGTGTGTGTATGTGTGTAGACACACACACACACACATACAATACTACAGGTAAAAGAAATAATTTTCCTAAGGGCAAACACAAAGAAAATATACATGTCTTTGAACACAGTAAAAATGCACCCCCCGTCTGCAAATGTTATTCGCGGATTTGGCGATTCGCGGCCATTTTGAGAACCTAACCCCCGCGAATTTGGGGGGGGGCCTGTACATGATAATCATGAAACGGAGCAGGTCTCCTTTTCTTCCACTGCTGCCGCCAACGTACAGGGATGTCTTCAGAGTCCTCCCTTGGCGCAACAACCTCAGTCATTATCAGAGTGGCCCCCCTCTCCTGTCACGTCCAATTCCACCAAGAGGGAACAGTGCTCCTCTTCCATGTTCATGGTCGGGTTCTCCAGATTCTCATGGCCCTGATTGCTTCCAGGATCTCCGGTCTGGTCCTCGTCGGTGGCAGGTGACAGCTCCTCAGAGTCTTCCCAGGTGTACTGCCCTGGCCCATGATACTGCCACAGACGATTGATGTGGACTACCTTTGGTTGAGCCTTTCTTCTTCCCCTGATCTGGTAGGTCATATATGAAAGGCATTCCACTACAGTGTATGGTCCTTCCCATGGACTCTGCAACATCAGTGACTAACCTTTCTTCTGCAGAAGGTTATACTGTACAGCCAGATCTTATCACCGTCCTTGTAGCAGACCTGGTTTGCTTTGACGTCATGGTTGCGCTTCATCACTTCACCTGATAACTCCAGAGCTTCTTGGACTTGATGGTGGACCTCTGTCAACCATTCTTGGAGGCTTTTGATGTAACTGGTGGTTTTGTTGGGAAGTTCTTCATCAGGTGGTCTTCCTGTCAGCAGGTCCACTGGCAGCCACAGTTCGTGACCCAGAGTCAGTTTTGCCGGTGTGTATCCAGTTGACTCTTGGGCAGCTTACCAATATGCCATCAGCAGAGCAGGCAGCTTCTGGTCCCATTCTGTCTGCCCCTCAACACAGTACTTGGCCAGTTCTTGTCTCAAGGTCTAATTAAACTTTTCTACCATTCCATCTGACTGGTCAAAGGAGAATGGTCCTAGTCTTCCTTATGCCCAATAGTTTCCCGAAATTACAGCATTCGCTGAACACAGCTGACTCAAAATTTCTGCCCTGGTTCGAGTGCAACTCGTGGGGCACACGAAACCTGCAGAAGAACTGGTCCACCAGCACCCTGGCAACAGTCGTGGCTTCCTGATTTGGGATGGCATATGCTTCTGGTCATTTAGTGAAGTAATCCATAGCCACACAGATGTACCCCATCTGCAGTGAGTGGCAGGGGTTCTGCAGTATCCACTGAGACCCTCTCCATCAGTGCACCTGCATGGTACAACTGCAGTGGGCACACGCATGAAGCTTTGGTCCTTTCTCTACGCATGCCAACCCAGTAAAATCTTTGCCACGGGCGACTCAGGGTCTTCTCCACTCCCAGATGTCCACTGGTTAGAATGTTGTGCATCTCCCTCAAGATCTCTGACCTTGTCTACCAGTACCTGTTGAGGCCATTGGTAGTCACCCACTGGCACGGCAGCAGGCCATCCTTCAGCCGAAGAACATCCCACTGCACCCAATAGTTTTAAGTCATCGGACTTGCTCCAGAGATCATCTCCCATGCTGTCCTCACTGAGCTCTGTTTTAGCCACTTGACCATTAGTCGCAGGTCTTGGTCTTCCAGTTGCAGCTTCTCAAGGCCTTCCCTGGCAACGACTGGATCCTCTTCCACTGTAGTGGGACTAGTACACTTCTTGGGAACTGCCCCTCTCCTGCAACACTGTTGACAATCAGAATCACATGGTCGTCGGCTCAGACTGTCAGCATTCCCACGTTTCTACCCAGGCCTGTACTGGATGATATAGTTGTGCTGATCTACCTTCCCAATCCACCGTGCCAGTTGTCCTTCTGGATTCTTCTTGTAGTTGTTTCTGTTCTCGTTGTGATTGTAGGAATTGCATCAGATCAGCCATGGAAATCTCCCCTTGCCAGGCCTGGCTTCTGGTCTGGACACCGTCACCTTCCATCTTGACTAATATCTCACTGCTAGGCTATTCCTACTCCTGACACCAGTGTTACAACTCTCCTCCTTTCACCGCTTAACCAGCTTCCCCCACTGGTTACCAGCGGCTAGGGTCGTATGTACAGAAGCAGTAGATATCTCACAAGAGTTGTCGAATTACCACTGGCTGTCCTGCCAGTCTCCAGTAATTTCCTGATGATCAGTATCAGAGTACAGGCAAACAACAGACAGGTAGATTACCACCGGGTCAGAAACACACTTGTGCACTGTAGTCTTCTTTAATAAACATTAATTCTTCACAACACTGTTAACAGGGTAATGTTTTCACAGCTTGACTCCACACTTCGAGTATATAGTCAGCACACTACTAGTATCCAACTCCTTGGTCTTCTCCCTTTATATTAATCACAACAATTCCACAGTACTTGCACAACAATTGTCTTCAGTTGTTCTGCTGGGCTTATTCTCTACACTAAGAACAGAAGTGATCGACTGACCTCACTGATGATGAGATGGAGAGAAGAGATCTTTTTGCTCTGAAGATGGAAGGCGGTGAAGGAGGAAGGTAAAGTTAGGAAGTGGGAGATTTGATAGCAGGTGGGCTATCCACATTGACCTCACCAGGCAGCCAGCGGCCACTTATATACGCCTCTTCAGACGCCTATCGAACATCCTAGAATCACCCAGAGACGCCTGGGAGATTCTAGAACGTTTTACTGTGATCGAGGCTTACAATAATAAGTAATTCATAACTAAAATGATACAATACATTTTAGAATATTCCTAAATAAGTAATACATCAATATATACAGGAAAATTTTACAAAATTTGCCATAATAACTGCTGCATTGGGACAGAAAACAATCAAGACCCCAAGTTTACAAAATTATAAAGCAAAATTATGCCTCGGCATAACACTGCTTTTCCAGAGGGAGACCACTACAGTTCATTTGCTCTATGAAACCATAAGGCAATTATATAAGAATTTACTAGGTTATTTTTGCCGCCCAGAGTTGGTGCAAAAGGCAGACATTACGACCTTTAGTAATGAAAACAACCACCTACCAATTAATCAGATTTTCTTGGCCTCAGCTATGCATGGGTTGCTTCAAAATGAGGAGCATCAAAATCATGGCGTAGTAGATGATGTGCGACATAGATATCGCATAGATGGTTAATATGTGCATGCAGTTGAAGAAAATATTTTATTTCATTGATAAAATATGGTATATGTGCTCATTTTTATCTCAAAAGAAAGTTTTAGACTTCAGTTCCGGGGTCGGCTACTCAGTGACAAACAGCGTTTATTGGGGAGAAATCCACTAAAGTATATATATATATATATATATATATATATATATATATATATATATATATATATATATATATATATATATATATATATATATATATATATATATACTGTTAAAGAATATGATGTATTTATTTGTGTATGAACCTCTGTACTCCAAGCTTTGTCAATTAATTTGCTAAACTAAAGTAACCTAAAGCCCAAGCTGCTAACGAGCCGGTCAGTGGTGAACAGGATAAAGTACAGTCAGTATAAAGTAAGACCTCTGTAACAGCTCGGGTTGATTGATCATGACAACTAATTAATTTTTTTACAGTATTGATTTATTTTTAGTTGTGCATATGTATTATTATATATCTTATATCAATAACTTTCATTTTTATTTGTACTGTTCATCAAGGCTGTACGTTTGATGTATTATAGTAATGTGTATCCAACTTGTTTTATCCTACAACTATACCAAACTAATATTTAAATAGTTACCTAAAGAAACCCACTTCCCCTAATGACCTCTGCTAATAGAGAAAACGTGTGGTAAAGACTGTACGGTATGTTGTAAGCCGTGGTAAGGTTGTCCTCTTCATGTGGGTGGTACAGTAGGTCTAATAACTCTATTTCATTAATTTTTACACATGTTCTTTTCTTTATATTATTTTAAAATGATAATTTTTTGAGGGAAAATTTGTAGTTTGGACCAACCATGTCTCTTGAGTTGAGCAATGTGTTATTCTGATGGTATAGACAATATTAAGACACTTTTCTTCTATAACTTTTCTCTTGCAAATCACCTGAAATTATCCCCAGGTATAGTTAAGTAATTTGTAAGGGAAAGGTCATAAATAGTCTTTGGTGAATATAGGACTAACCAAAGGGCGAAATTGATTGAAAATAATTACAAAAATGCCGAATTTTCATTGTTATATTATAGTGGACACTGTTGTAGTTTGTGGAAATATGATAAAAAACTGATATTATTAAAATTAAAGCTACTTAACAGTTGTGGTTATGAAGAACAGACCTAACCAACCAAACCAAACCTACCTAACCTAACCTAACCTAACACCAAGAGATAGAATTGTGCACTAATACAAAGAGACCCGGATATTATATAGGACTAACCCGCCGGGCTGCATAGCGCCTCAAAATTCACCATATCATAGTAAGTTCTTTCTGTTTAATATACCGGGGAAGTTTGGTAAGGTTAGGTAGGTTAGGTTAGGTTAGGTTAGGTCTGTTCTTCATAACCACAACTGTTAAGTAGCTTTAATTTTAAAAATATCAGTTTTTTATCATATTTCCACAAACTACAACAGTGTCCACTATAATATAACAATGAAAATCCAGCATTTTTATAATTGTTTTCAATCAATTTCGCCTGCGGGTTAGTCCTATATAATTACCGATTTTTTTCCGAATGTTTAGATAATTCTAAGACATTTTTCTTGTATGATATTTTGGGGGGGAGTAAATTTATAGAGAGGCACCTTTCTTTCTTTGGATATTAAAATATTTTTCTTGTGGTTTTTCAAGAGTTTCCAACGAATTTGTTATTCATTTCTGCCGGAAATCACTTGTTTTTTAAATACCCCTCCACCAAGGGAAGATGTTAGGAAATTGGAGTATTAGGTTGGGTAAATCACAGAACAGGTGATTTACACTGGAGAACAAGGCAAAAATCGTTCAAAACTCATCAAAACAATAGGAAAAAAAAACATACTTCTAATGCTGAAAGATATGTAACCTAACTTAACCTACCCCTTTTGTCTTTGTAAAAACCCATAAAAAATCAACAAAAACCAACCAGCCAACCAAACCTAAACTGACTTAACCTAACCCCTTTATTCAAGCCCCTGTATCTTACCTTAATCTGAAGAAGAATCAGGCCAAATGTGTTGTTCTTCACCCAGTGTACACTGATTATTACACTTTGGACAAGTAAAGTTGTTTGGTAATACAACCGTGTTATCTAAAAAAATGAAATGGCCTCACTATTTTTCAGATGAAGCTTGTCAATTGTCTTAAAATAATCTCCATCACAAAGTCGGCACAGCTCTGCCACCTCTTCAGCTATATCTGGTACTGAAAGTTCAAATCTCCGCTCCCGGCGCACCCAAGGATTGTTCATTGGCTAAGACAAAAAAAAACTCTTGCCCAATAATAAGTCTCCTCACTGTAGCCAATAAGAAACTCCTACCTGCCCCCGCACATGCGCTCCGTTACCTCCAACACGGAGGTAACGGAGCCCTGGATGAGGGGGGGGACAGAGCTTCTCCGCAAGACGTAAACAACAAATGGCGACACTTGTGACTGACCAAATACAATAATTGAAAATTATTTACTCCGTAATTTCTGGCAGAAATATCATAGAAGAAAAATGTCTTGGAAATGTCTAAGCATAACGAAATACATATTAATAACAGCGAGAGAAAGATCGGTGCTTTACTATAAATTCACCATTGTTGGAAATTAATGTTAGATTATGTTTGGTCGTTTTTTTTGGTGGTTTTCTATGTTTTTTTATTTTTTTTGTTTTTTGTTTTTACACATAAAAGGGATTAGGTTAAGTTAGGTTATATTTCTTTCGGTATTAGAGATATAGATGACTTACCCGCCACCAATTTTTCATAGGAAACGATTTTTAAAATGCTTTAGTTTGTGGAAATGTGTTAAAAAGTGGTTATTTTTTATTTAACTTAACCTAACCATATTACAGGTATATAAGAAAAACAAGCAACAGAAGCATTGCTAGAAGTCTGCACCAACCTAACCAAAAAACCTACCTAACCTTACATAACTTCCTAGCCATGGGGCTCTACCCCCGAGACCTCCCCCCCCGTATATTAAACAAAAAGAACTTATTTGATATGGTGTAATTTTACGTTTTTGTAGATGTGAGAATAGCCTCCCGGACCGTGCAGCTCATAAACATAACACTGGCATCGATTGGAGTGTGGCAGAGAGAGAGAGAGCAACGGAGTGTTTTGAAATACGTCAATGTGATTGGGTGTTTACATCCGGAAATACGGCATTACTGCCGAGAAAATAAAATACGACACACCTAGGTGCCTAATTATTCAGAATTCACTAATGAAAATATACTACAGTATAGTAAGAATATAAACATCAAAACAAATAACATATTGGCAGGTTACTCATCAATATTAACCTGATTTTCTTTAGTTTTTCTCTATCTATGATCATATATCACCAGTAGTGACGCCCAAGCACATGATAACAAGGGACAAGTCACACCCATATGAGCAAGGAATAATATTCCTTGCATAGGAGTAATAAAAGTGAGTTCTGTTATAACTCGTGTTTTGATAACGCGAATTGGCTCTAACGCGATTTATGAATAGAGGAACGATATTTGTATAACGCGAACGCTTGTTTGCTGTAACGCGATTTTTGCTTACTATTTCTCCAATTTTGTGGTATTAACTGTGAATATGGTGAAGAAGAATATCTCCAAGAAGCGTTCTGGTGATCGCATTCCGGTGATGATCGTAAAAGAAAGGATATAACACTTGAAGAGAAGCTCGATGTTATCAACCTCAAAATCACCCTTCTCCCCCATCAAGTTATATTCATATTTTTTCAAGGTAAAGTGTTACATTTACTGTATGATTTCATTATTAGATATGAATGTAACATTAGACTGTGCTATCCTTTGTGTTAGGCTAACTACTAATTTTTTTTCAATTTCGAGTAGTAATCTGCACCTAACCCTATTTTCTCCATAAGCCCTGTTATTTCTATTACGCGATTTTCTATAACACGATATTTTACAAGAACACAACTATCGCGTTATAGCAGAACTGACTGTAATGAGGCGGCACCGACCGCCCTACCACGATGAGTCCACCGCAACCCGTGACTCCCAAACACAGCAACAGCGACCTGGTAATAAGACGTGACCCTGAACTCTCCAATAAAAGGGGACCTATAGGGGAATTTATGAGTCAGTTGTAACCGTAAAGGTACCAGCCAACACTCGCTGCCTGTCGTCCCACCCCTAGAGATCAGCACGTCATACCACCAGCCGTACTAGAGAAGTCCAATAATAGCACAACAAAGTGTCAGTCCAGGCCTTTAACGATGCGCTGACTATTCATCGAATCCACATAAGTACTGGCCACGTAGCAGGTAGTGGTGCGACAGTCCTGAACCATCCCCAGTCGACATAATTTGGAGTGCCCAACCCAGTGGTTAGGTTTAGTAAAGAAAATCTGCAAGCTACATCAAATGCATCATAGCAGAGCTCATTATTAATACAGTCCAAGTTGTAACCCTGTTAGCTGGAATAATTGGTGCAAAGCTCTTCCCGGATTGAGTAATTTCCATATACGGTACTGGGACAAATTTGTTATCCTTGAAATTTTTCTGGGTACTGCGGATACAGACACTACCGCACATCCCCGAAATGTTTCCGGTTGCTGGGAAAAGTTTTCCAAGAGTCTCAAGGAATTCTAATTATACATTTTATCTCGCACGGACAAACACTTTCCTATTACAATCAGGCCTTGGTCATGAGCAAAATTATTTACAAGTAGAGAAAAAGTATACTACATAGCTTCTTTTTTCAGGTAAGACTATTATTTTTAAGAGTCAATAATCACAGCGAAGTTAAATGCACATAGCATGATGAAGATAGAATATGTTTCATGGTAAAGTGTACAATAGTTAATAAAAGTTTGTTTTCTGGGTACAAGTCCACTCCTTATTTGTTATTACAGGTACAGGTAATGATATGCTTCATGCTCAAAACTCTAATAAGTGAAATGTTTTTCAGTGAAAATCATATCCCATTTACAAATACTGTATGCTTAAACCTTCGCGTGGACAACAATACTGACTGGCAACTGACCCCCTGCATGAGAGGGGGACTGACTCTGGGCTTCACGCTGTGCATTAAAGTGTTAACGTCCAAGGTTTTGGTTTGCCCAGACAGTACTTCCTAGCTCTCGGTGCCACACTGCCCACAAGCATGGGGGGCAATGTGGTTGGACCTTTAGATGAAGATCCAACAGGAATGTCTCCAAAAATTTTATTGTCTTTCCATGGTTGTTCAAGGGCAAGAGATAAAATTAATGAGAATGGATGCCCCAAACCTTTCCTCATCAATATACAGTACTAATTATAGTATAATAGAATAGATAAAGTTGAGAATGAGTAGATGTCTCATATCTAACTCTGGCAAAGAACCAGCCCATCACCATAATTTTTACAAAAAAGAAAATAACCTTACAGGGTATTTGACACAAATATAAAGTACAGTTTATATTTGTGTTGAATACTGTCTGTACCTTTCTCCTTTTACAATGAAACCATGAGGCTTTGTCATGAAATTTTAAATTACAAATGCAAATTCAATAACTTTTTAACCTCAAAACATGAATATTAACCCTCTGGTACTCCTGGGTCCTGCCCTTATTTGGAAACTTCACTCCCTCGCAGTCTTTCAATGCAGGTTGTGTCGGTAACAGGAACGTCTTTTTCATTTTAATAAACATTGGGTAAAGTGATCCAGATCCAAATTACACCCTTAGAGATGCATCTGCCAGCCCATGAGGCTATTGGGAGGAACACAGGTGGTTAACAGGGCTGGTCGACTGTTCCCGTGTTTATGCTTATGGGAGGGGCGCTCTCTATGGCTGAACGGGAGGGGTTGTGCCAGCACAGGAGTGCTCAGTGATGCAATTTGTGTTGAAAAACCATGAGATGGTTAAGATTAGTCGGGTCTCTTGATGGTGATTTAGTTCATTTTCACGTTTAAGGAGAAGCTGTCAAAGTTGACTCACTCATCATCAGGCCTACAGTAGCTACCTGGAAACAGGCAAACCAAAGTCAACTACCTGTACCTGTATGTGTTTCAGAAAGAGATGTAATATATGGGCCATTATTATGAATTTAATAGTGTAACATTCTTATTTCAGGATACTTCTATGATGGGCAATAGCATCGAACTTTCAGAAGGTAAGGTTAATGGTGATGTAGGTGCTCTTTTTCTTTTTGTTAATAATTATATTATAGATTAATCACTGCAAAGAAATTCATGTAAAAAAAGAACCATTTATGACTTAAAATAATGGCATTTGTAAACATCTGCTCACGGCTAAGTGACAACATTTTGTACAGAGAACGGCCAGAATTTTAAAATGACCAGTAATTTAAGTTTTATTCCTACAGATATTTTATAAATACCCTGTACAGTACTGTACCCACTTCCAGTTGTTACTGATATAGGGAGCAGGCATCCCAAAACTGTACACAGTGCTGTATAACAATGTGCTGAAGAATACAGGTTACCCCTGAGTTATGATGTCTTGTGTTATGATCATTTGCTTTAATGTTGTAGTCATACTTATACCCAAAATCCTTGAGCTACAATTGATCAGTCACTCCAGGTTTAGTGATTGCCCGTACAGTACAATCAACCGTCCCAACCTTTTTTACATAGGAAGGCATCATTTGAATAAATATTTGACAGTATCGTAGCCACGAATAGTGCTTGGGGAAAAATATTTTCTCCGTGATTTCTGGTCATTTTACGCTCTCAAAGGTGGCCCTGACACAGGCTCGTTAAATATATTTGGCTGATCCCGAGAGTGTTAATAATACAGTAATAATAATTAACGATTTATTGAAAGAAGTTCAGCAGCCCGAAGGCTGAAGAAATACATTGGACAGAAATGACTCATTACATACAACACAACACAGAGATGGATGGGTCGTTAACAAAAGCTTTCATTACTGAGAGGAGAAGTTGATGACCCGGGCTGGTCTCTCACTCTTCTGTGTGAGGTCACGGAGGCCACGTGGTGCAGTAACTCGTTTATAGATTTTGACATGAAGGACCTCACGTGGTCATAGAAACACGGGGTGGTGTGGTGTTCACGTGGTGCAGTAACTCGTCCTCGGGTGTTGATATGAAGGACCCCACATGGTCATGGGGACACTGTGTGGTGTGGTGTCACAGTACCCCACTCTCTGTTAAATGGTGTTGTGTTATCTTATGGTCGGGTGTAAAGCCGGTCCACTGTTGTTCCCAGGGTGGACTGATTAACACTGCCTTGTCAGGAGATGGTGGTTGGTTCCCAAGGGTGCTTATACAGTATATGGGTGTGGACCTCACTGGTGGGTCACAGCTCTCACTGGTACTGTCTAGTGCTGAATTCACTGGCTTAAACACTGTAACACTGATCCCATTTCTTTCCGAAACAAAATTGTCACTTTTGATTATGTTGATATCCCGGTGGTGAGGATGGGTTGAGGAGGACTTAGGGAATGGGCCAACATTGGCTGGGGCAGCTCTGCAGGCACCTGATAGGTCTTGACCCTCCTGTGGTCAAGGATGTAGTGTGCGTGTGTGTGCGCGAGTATGCATGTGTGTGTGCGTGCGTACATACATGTCTTTAATAAGTAATGAACTTCCGCACAGAACAAAGAGTTTTGTTTATTGTAGAAATATGTGTAGAGTGTGTGTGATTATTGTTGAGTCCTTATCCAGTATTACTGTACAATAATTTTTGTGTGTAAATTTTGAGAATAGAATAAAGCATTAACCTCATTCATTTTACATTTAATTATAATTTCCAGATAATGGCAGTAGATTTTGTGGTAAAACTATCCCAGAAGAAATTGTGATTCATATATTCCTGTACGTGCCGGTCAAAGACCTGATAAGGTCGGCCACGCATGTCTGCAAGTACTGGCATCACTTGCTGACTCAGTACCACTTCTGGTTTACAAGGTAAGACGTACTAGTACACACAGTGCAGTAACCAATGTTGTTTAAAGTTCTCTAAATGACGATTGTGTGATCTGGAACTTAATCATTGTATTGTTGGTGCTACATTAAGTCTTGCTTGTTATATGTTCTTTCCTTGGGCTGGTCACATGTCTAGTGTGTACATGTAACTGAGTAAACATAAATGAAGAAATTTACGTATATTTACCAGTAAATACGAGATGAAAAATAACCATGACTCGCAGGTTTGTCCAATACCCTGGTGGTTACAGTGACGAGTCTAACCTGGCTACAATGTCATGATTAATCACTATTAAGCACTATAATATGAGTAACCACTAATAATAACAGTTAATCATTTATTTTCATATATGACTTGTGTACACAGGGAGCACCATCTGTAGCTAATATTAGACAATACGTATCAAGGCTCCTGTAGTAGTAGTTTAAAACTTTGTAGCCTGAGGGCGGACAGTCGGCTGTAGTTGAAAGGCTCGATCTGGGATTGAAAATTTTGAAGCGAGTTATCAAACTTTGTGGGCGACTTTAAAGTACATTACAGGTTCTGAATATTCATCAATTAAAAAAAAATCACATGAAAATTGGCAGCCACAGCAAACCTAAATTTGACTTAATTGGGTCTACCCTTAATTCCCAGGTAGTATTACAGTATTTAACCATTGGGGGAAATAAGCTAGATGCCTACTGTTCATATAATCCTAAAGAAGATTATAAAGTAATGGACATTATTAGTGAAATACTTTCTGTGTAATGGCAACAACTTAATGGTAGTTAGGATATATTGATCAGTCTTTGCTAACCATTGAATCAAGATCACTGGTCTAGCTTAATAGATAGATATGTACTACATTCAGTAAAAATATCTTACAAGTTTACATTGATTCGTTATGTATGCAGTATAGGCAGTGCAGGTGATGTCAGCATTAAACTTGCATTCCTTAGAACCAGGTGCAATTTTACTCGACATAAAGTTCAATCCTCATCAGTCTATCTGTTTAATATGTGTACTGTGATGCTTGTATTGTTCTTTTATAACACCAGGATGCAGGTTGAAGGTTATAAGCTGTCAGAAACTACCAAGCAGAGGCTTCTGGAAGAGACGAATGAGACTTTGGTTCTGCGTGCTCTCCAGAGTGTATGTGGAAATTACCTGCACTTGAACAAAAACCTTATCCTCAATCCAAGTGGAATTGGTAAGATATTATATTCTGTGTGAACACAAACATTTCCGCTCACTCCTTAGACTCTGTTGCCACTTTTTTATGTACATTATTTTGATTGTTCACCCCATGTTTACTGTTTATTCTGTCATTGTGTCAGTTCCACCATTAATTTTTTTTCCACATCTCGATTAGAGTCTCGTATTCAAATGTTTATCAGTATCCATTTCTTCCAGGTCCTTTCTTTGCATTCATACATGCAGTTATTGACCCAGTAATTAATATCATAAATATTATCATAGGCAAATACTTATTTACTCTACACTTGCTGTCATCTGTGGCTCAGTAAATTTTTTACCTTTAATATGAATGGTGGCAGGCACACCATTTAGTGTGCTGCTAGAGGTGGAATAACCCAACTACAGGTATTGTACCTGTGATTGCTAAAGGCGTGTTTACACTATGGATATGTTGGCCGATAAAGTCGTAGACTTGTGACAGGTTTATCTCGGAAACAATTGACAGCCTAGTTTATGACTTGTTGGTTGTTTACATTGTATGATTTGTTGTGAATAAATTCATAGTCATTCTAGATTCAGATGAAGAATTACTACATCTTTTTGCTGCAGCAAATGTAATTTTACAGAATTAAATCATACTTAAAAAAAAGATGGAGTTGGTGGGTTAGAAACCTTTTATATAGTACAGTAAAGTTATGGAGGATATTATTATGTAATGAATGATTTGTCGGCGCCTTTAACTGTAGAATGCACCGTAGAGGGAGCCAAGCCGTGCACGCACCCAATCACCGACGTTCCTTTTCCGTGTTCGTGTCTTTTAACGATATCCAATTTCACGTCCAACGTAACTGCCACACGTGATCTCTTAGCAACATTGCTGGGAGTTTTAGTAGCTGGTCGCTTTGGCATTGCGAGATCACACAAAACACACTCCAGCACGTGTGAGACTGAGGTGAGTGGGAGTGTGTGGAGGAGGAATACGTACACACGCTGTCCTACGCTACGGTTGAGGCGCGCGATTCAAAATTTTTGCTGGTAAGAATTTGCGAATAAACGGGACAACCGTTGCAAATAGTAGAAATGGGTAACAATAAATTGATTGCGGATAAATGGGGTTACGAATACCGAGGCTATGAATAACGGGGTTTGCCTGTATCACACTGCACAATACAACATTCAGAGATGCAATTTCACCATCACAACAACTAGCTGTAACAATGATATTTCTTGCCACAGGAGATTCATACTCAAGGCTCATGTACTTGCACCAAATTTTCAAAGCAAAAATCTGGGTGTTTATCTCAAGAGGGATAGAAGACCTGACTGCATCAGAAGGTCAATAATATGAGACCACTAATCTCCCATCCCACCTCCACTGAAAATGAGAGAAGAGTTCATATACAATGGGTGGACCCCTACCACACCTCCATCACAAGTGTTAAAAAACGTAAAAAGTGATTACTGTGACGTATTACCAGAGTTGTAAAGTAACAAAATATATTTACTTGAGTACTGTGGAGGCGGATGTCGGGAGCGGGGGAGGGTGGGAGAGGAGGGGTGTGGTGAGCCTCTAAGACTCTGCGGTTGTTTCCTCCTCCTCCTGTTCTGACTGGGGCTCCTCCTCAGCTGCCGGCCTTTGTGAAGAAGCTGCTTCTGCTGTCCTGTGACAAAAAAATTAATCCAGTGTTGACTGCTTGATGCTACTCTTCTCCATTTAGATCTCAGTGTAACAACCAAGACTGTCATCAATGCTGCATTGAACCTTTCAGCTACGTTTTCTCTTTGGGACGTTATCTATAAGGATTTGCATTCCGTGCTGGATCATGTTGAACACTTCTGCCATCCTCTTGGTAGTTAATGTTTGTTGTTGAGGTTCTTCTTTGTCATCGTCATCTTCAACGGGACTGTGTTCTGTTAACAGTTGCAGATCTTCGTTGGTGAGCTCTTCTGTGTGGGATGCTTGGCCGTCCTCAATATCCTCTGATTCCAGCTCATCAAAGCCTGCCTGTCTAGCCAAGCTGAGGATATCCCTATTCACAGCTGGGATTAAGTCCGTGAATCCTGTAAATCTTTTGACGCACTCGGGCCACAATTTACGCCACACACCATTCAGGCAACTTTCTGAAACCTCTTCCCATGCCTTGCCAATGTTGTCAATTGCATGAAGAATGTTGAATCCACGCCAATATTCTCAGATTGTAGGTTTATTTTCTCCATCTGTAGCCTTGAGCAGCTGGGCCATGGTGCGCCATAAATAATGCGCCTTGAATGCGGCGATAACGCCTTGGTCCATAGACTGCATCAGTGCTGTCGTGTTGGGAGGCAGGAAGACAACTTTTACACTGTCATGTAAGTCATCGAGATTGGGAGAATGAGCTGGAAATTTGCAATGATCAGAAGAATTTTGAAGTCAAGGTTCTCCTTTGCACAGTATTCCTTCATTTCAAGGACGGCGTACACGTTTAACCATTGGCTAAATGTGGCACCAGTTATCTATGCCTTCTTTTTTGCCATGAAGATCACAGGAAGTTGATCCTGAGAGTAATCTTTCAGGGCCCGTGGGTTGGCAGTGCGAGAAATCAACATCTGCTTCAGCTTGAAGTCGCTGGCAGCGTTCGCGCCAAGCAGCAGCATTAGTAAGCAGTCTTTTGCTGCTTTAAAACCTGGTGCTCTTTTCTCCTCCTTGGAGATATAGGTCTTCTCAGGGATCCTCTTCCAAAAGTGACCAGTCTCATCCACATTGTAGACTTGCTTCAATGAGTGGCCTCCTTCCTGGATAATCTGCTTGAATTAAGGCGGGAATGTCTCGGCAGCAACCGTATACGAACTAGCAGCTTCACCGGTCATCTTGATGTTGTGGAAGTTATACCTGGCTTAAATCGTTGAAACCAGCCTCAGCTGGCCGTCAAAATCTCTTCCTTTGATCCTTCACCCTCTGTTTCCTTCATTTTGTCAAACAAGGATTTGGCCTAATGCTGGATAACCATAAGGCTCACAGGCGCATTGCATTGGTTCTGGTCCTCCATCCACGTAGCCAGAATCTTTTCCACTTTTTCTATCACAGTACTTCTAGTACGAGTTGTTTTAGTTGCTCTGAGAGTAGTACCACTTCCAGCACTAACATTAATCTTGTCAGCGTTGGTCCTGATAGTATGCACCGTTGTGAGGGTTACATCAAGCACAGCGGCTGTGTCTGCAACACGTTCCCCTTTTTCAAAGCGGATTAATAAATCCATTTCTGTAGCAAGGGTAATGGCCTTACATTACCTCTTCACTACACTAGTATCAGTAGCACTTGATGGGCGCTTAGAAGCCATTTCGAATGGTGTAAAGTACAGTTTTAGAGCAAAAACACTTAAACACGTAAGAACGCTGTGAAAGCCTAACAAAGACTGCTGTGGCGTCGCTTGGGGACGCTGTGATGTTCCGCGAGTGAGGGTAGCGTGCCGAGCCAAGAGAACGTAGTGTGGCCAGACGAGAGAAGGTAAAAAGTCGTCTGTAACGACGCAAAACGACGTTGTACCAAGTCACTGGGACGATAAAAAAATTTTGGTCTCTAAAGTTTAGCGACGTAGTACGGAAACAATGTTAAGCGGGCAGACGTTAAGCGAGGGCTTACTGTAATCTAGAAGCGGAAACTTGGGTGACATTATCCACCACAACCTTCACTTCCGGTGCCTTTTTAATGATGGTAGATGCTGTTGACTGGACCACGCCAAGTGAGCACGCTCCTTCACCCATCTCATGCCACTTCACAATGTCAAGCTTCACCTCCAGAGACACAGTTTTCCTGGGTGTTTTGGCCTTCACTAAGGCAGGGGTCTCAGCAATACAGTTGCGAGCCATTTTCACTACGTGTAACTGTACAGGTAGTAAAGGTACACATCTCACTTCTCAGTCAATAAAACCGAGCAAAAGTATTACTGTAATTTATAGTATTAACTGAAATATTACTGTAATTTATAGTATTAACTGAAATATTACTGTAATGTACAGCATTAACCTGTAATGTACTCCACTGTATCTGCACTGCACTGTATCCTTCATTGTTCCATTAACTGTGCCAAAATATTACTGTAATGTTCAGTATTAACTTGTAGTGTTTAGTTAACTGTAAGAAAAACCGGGTATGACAACGTAAACACAGCGATATCGGCCAGCACGCACAGAACTCATGTTCACGAAAACAGAGTCATCACACTTTACAATCACTAAAACACAGAAAATATCACTTCACAGTTCAATCTACCTAGATGTTAGTGCTGACCTTTCACTATATAAGTAAAAAAACAAAACACCAATGATAAGTACAATGTACGATGCTGGCCAATAATCATGGAGCCATGTGATGGTTGGTTTTACGATCAACAAAGAACTAGACATGGCTGTAGTGCACGTGTTGGCCGTGTGGAAGCACATGGGTAGGCTGACAAGTGAAGGTAGAGATGCATGGTGCATAGGGTTAAATAATGTTTCCTTATAAAATATGACTGACTTGACATAGAAAATATAACTTGCATTGCTGGAATCCTTGCAAGATGGCAATTCTTTTGATTATAAACATCCCATACCCTGCACGAGAGAAAAAATCCAACCAATGGCTATCGATGGCTATTCAGTGTACAGTATACCGTAAAAGCGAGTTGGATCGTATATAGGGAGATTGTTTTAATTTATAACCATCGTTAAAGTGAAATATCGCATCTTGGGGTTTACCTGTATGCCATCACAGATATTTACTTTAGTTTTTTATATACTGTACGGTACTTCTCATTTACATAAGGTACGCTAACATTTCCATAGTACTGTTATTTAAAATATGTACATATAAATGTTAAAGGAAAGCAAAAATGATTTAGGGTTTTATTTATATAAATAGATGGATTTCAACATTGGATGGTAAGACATGGAGGAGATAAGATGATAGTAGAAGACACTCCTACTGGTAGTGATCTCATCCCTGAGGAAGCTGGACTACCCACCCAACATTGCTTTGTTACCTCATATATCGCAAGCTCCCGGTGCCAAGTTGTAAACCTGGAGCATCTCGGCCTTGATCCTTGTGTTATTGACATCTTAAGACCAGAGATCCACATTTCAGAATGGTAAGTGCAACACCTTGATTTATGACATAATTTTCTCCAATGCAGTAAAACCTCGATAAATCGGACTTCAATGTATCGGAATTCGCTTTTTTCGGACTCTGAGATGCTGTGGTCACCAGAAATACTAAAAATGTGGGGGGGATTGTAAAAAAAATCTTATGACATGAACAACACTTACTGAATACTGTACAGTGGTCTAATCAGATTTGCTATAGGCCTACTGAAAACTAAGGCACTTGAGTATGTAAGCAGACTGGGGCTGATCAGGTGTTGCCACATTCGTCAGGTTTATTTATTTATTGATTCACTATTAAATTCTCATATGATTGGCCTCTTATGGTTTATATTTCATCATGATAAATATAACATCTTCGGTAATAGAGAAAAAATACAATACTGTATGTAATTTGACTTGAAAATAAAAGGATAAGCTGTGTCAGAAGGTTGTTTACTCAAGATGCGTTCGTGTGAGAGCTTTCAGTAGACCAGCTTACAACAAGGGTCACTATAACACACTGTACAGTATTTGATATGATGATACCTTCTTAACAATGTTATTTACTACCTTTGAGTGTAATATGATGACTCAGTTTGGCTACTTGTACACTTAGACAAATGATTAATTAATAAACCAGGGTATATGCAGGTACATAATACTTTGCACTACAATATTACTTATTAAGTGATGATAAATACACAACTGTACTGTACTAATTTATTAAGTGTTGAAGACAGACATTGTGGTAAGCCAATCAGCTGTTTGCTTTTTGTAAACAAATGAGTATGAAATGACTCATGTTCAGTGTGGGATTCTTTTTTCAGGAAAGTTGATTCTGATAGGATGATATATTATCAACCTGATACTAAATGATCCTAAATTATATGAGAATTGTGGTGGAATTGCATAAAGAAGTGAAAGGAATTTTGTGGGAGAGAAAGGGGAGGGAGCCACCCACCCATTTTTATCTTTATAGTACTGTACAGTACAGTAAGTCCTCACTTAAAGTCATGATTTCGTTCCTGAAAACCGCGACGTTAACAGAAACAACATTAACGGAATAAATTTTCCCTATAAGAAATAGATAAAATACTGGAGTTATGTTTCCCAGCCTCCCTTTGCCCCATAAAATACCTGTACATTACATATACAAAAATTCAATGGCATTTTTATAGAAAATAGTATATACTGTATATATAAATAAACTAAATCATTTTGTATTGTACTGTACTCACTAATGGATGGAGGTGGTGGAGCGAGTGTGTGCTGGTCCGGATAGTACACACTGTTGTGGGGTTAGACCTAGCACAGCAGCAATGTCCACCGCACCTTCACCTTTCTTCACAACACTAGCATCAGTAGCACTTGATGGGTGCTTGGAAGCCATTTTGAATGGTTAGAGTACAGTATTAAGAGCAAAAATACTTAAACACTCACGAACGCTGTGGAAGTTTAACAAAGACTGGGGACACTTGGGGACGCTGTGACGCTCTGTGAGTGAGAGCGTAGCGCGCCAAGATGAGAGAGGGTGATGCTCCGTACAAAGTAGTCCGTGACGACGTTATACTGAATCGGCGGGACGTTATCCGAATCATGGGTATCTAAAGAATAGCTACGTTATAACGAAACAACGTTATTGGGGGCAGCGTTAAACGAGGACTTACTCTATACAGTTTTCTCTTTATTCAGAAGACAAATTCTGTGGTTACTTACATATAACACTTTACAGTAAATAACAATCATCTCGGTGACAACCAGACTTACAAGTCTGATTTTCAACCCTGAGAGTTCTGTTTCATATTTAGTTTTTTTTTTTTTTAATATTCTTTTAATAACTTTGTTATACACTTCAAGACCTTAGTTGTTGAAGTGCAGTAATAACATAACAAATGATTTTCTTTAAACAGTTCAGATAGGCCGGGTTATTCCCCTGCCCCATATACAGTACAGTATTCGTTTTTCTCGAACTTTCGCATTTTTCGGACTGGGGTCTGCCCCAATTAGTCCGATTTATCGAGGTTCTACTGTACTGTAAGTATTTTTGTGTTGTATGGTTTTGGTGTTATTATGTATTTTGTTCAATGTTCATAGCAATTACATGACCCAATGATTAATTTCTGTGGCAGACCACAGAGTGTTGCTCTTGTAGTCCTTACAGCTGCAATGTTAAAGTGAAAGGCATTAGTATGCAGTGCTGGCCATGCTGTCTCCTTTTGTACCAAACACAGTTTTCAGTGTGCTGTATATTTAAAAAACTGTTTACATGATACATACAATTGGTTTAGTTATCTTTTGAGTTACAGATTGAGTTACAGGATGGTGGGGAGTAATACTGTGCTCTACATCATATTTTTCTCCTTTTTACTTTACTGTACCTCAGCAGTAATGGTGTGTTGGCCATACTGAATTGAGTTATTCCATCTTACCTCACACCTTTCAGAGAATTTTCCTTCATCTCAGTGTAACAATTTCTCATAGATTAAAGATGTGTTTAAGTTATTATTTTGCACTAAGTGTAGTAGGTGGTGGGCAGCTACCAAACAGGGAGGTACTACCGCCTGGGAAGATATTGGAAGTATAATGTGATGTATAATGGTAGACCCTGCTGCCATATGGCACCACAAAAATTGTGACCAAGTCCCAAGTTGCTGATCTGACATTCTCTCTCATTTACACACAATTGCAGGGTCTCAACTGTTTTTCTTACTTTGACAACACAACAAACATACTGTATATCGTTTTTCACTTTTTTTTTTCATTTTTTATTTATTTATATACTGTACAGTGGTCCCTCAATTAACGAACACAATTGGTTCCACAGAATCGTTCGTTAACCGAAAATTTCATTAACTGAATCATTATTTCAATGGGATATTGAGTAATTGGTTCCAACTCACAGAAAAAGTACAGAATGACCAATGATTTTAATATAAAAAAATGCAAAATTATTCAAGAGACCAACTTTCTTGATATGTACTCCACTGGAAACGAATGTAAACAGAACCAATTACTGTACTGGCAGACTAGCCCATTAGCTGATGCACACAACAAAGCGTGTTTCTCGTAAGGCTTTCGTGAATCAAATTTTTGTTTGTTAATGGAATTGAAAATCCTTATGGGAGCTAATTCGTTAACCGAAATTTCATTAATTGGACTGTTCGTTAATCGAGGGACCACTGTATTATTATTATTATTATTATTATTATTATTATTATTATTATTATTATAATAATAATAATATTTTCATCCCCCAGGCCCTGATGTGGGTCAGTGACCAGTGCCTGGGTGGGCTAATGCCCATTTAAAATTGTTTTTGTTTTTGTCATGTTTTGAACTTAGTCACACCGAGGGCATTAATGTCATCTTCATTAGCAGTTATTTGTTAGTTAAATTTTAAAATATATACAGCAACTGCCCGACTTACGACCTACTCTACTTACGTCTCCCCGCACTTACGACCTGCCTCAGTCGTACCAAAATTTGGTCAAATTACGTATTTTCAAGTTCCAAAGTCAGTACACAGACAAAATTTTCATCTGTAATTCACTTTAAAATGGCTGGCAAGCTTAAAAGTGAGTGTTTTGTGGTGCTGAGAAGAAAAAGAGACCCCCATTTTCGATTTTCTATGTTTTATTTAAGCATTTCCGACTTACGACCATTTCGACTTACGACTTGGATGTCGGTCCCTAACCCTGTTGTAAGTCGGGGAGCAGCTGTATATATATATTTTTTTTACATTTTAGGGTGAGTGCAAGGTGGGATTGTCACTCTAAGAGCACAATAGCGGTTTTGTTGAAAGGGGCAGATGACACACAGCAGGTGGATATTACCTGGAACTCACGTACTGATGATGTGATCTGCAGACAATGGTACAAGGTTAGTAATGCTATAGAACACTCACTGGTGCTATTTATGATTTTATTTATAATTTACACCATTTGTCAGCTTATTAGCTGCTTGGGCAGTCAGTTTGTTTTATGTTTTTAACTTCATTGTTCAGTGTATGTATGGGAGGAAACCTAACCTAACCTGCCATGTTTTTTTGGGTCACTGTGGATAACACCCTTCTCACATGTGACCCAGGGATTGAACATAGGACATTGCACTGTACCACCCATCCTTTTGTTTTGACAACAACTAAAGCGTCCTCTTGAAGTAAGCACAAGATTATTGACTTGTTGAAAATGTTGAGCAGATTAATTATTAATGGTTATTAGACTTGTTTGGCTCACTCAAAATTTTTCTCCTTATTTCATGTGCTTGTCTAAGTAGACTCACCTCTTAACAGACTGTGCTAGACCAAGTGGAAATCTGACTGTGTTTATCCCATTAGAAAACTCCTTAACTTGCTGTGTTTATCTCATTAGAAAACTCAACTTGCTGTGTTTATCTCATTAGAAAACTCCTTAACTTGCTGTGTTTATCTCATTAGAACTTTGCTCTATGTTGAGAACTGAACCCTATATTTCCCATTTGTTCTGTTATTTGAGATACAAAAATGCACCTAATGAATGGTTTTCCAGGAACCTAACCCTTCCATTAAACAAGGGACACCTGTACTGTACTGCTGGACACCATAAAGGAGTGTGTGTTACATTTTTGTTCAGTAATATCATCATACAAGTTTACATTGATTCAGCATGCAGTATATAAGGACAGTGAAGGTATACAATTTACTGTACAAAGAGAGTGCAGGTATTCAAACAATGTATCTAGACAGTGCAGGTATATAGTACTGTACAAACAATGTATCTGGACAGTGCAAGTAAACAGTAAGTCAATTTGACCAAGGAGAGTGAACAAAGCCAATCAGATGCTTATAGTTTTTTCTTTGTCTTCAGATGCAGAAAGTAGTGGCGGATTACCCAACAGGATTAAAACAAATTACATTTACCAACATTGGAAAGGACCTTCAGTTTTGGGCTGGTCACTATGGAGCCAAAACTGCTGGCTCATCAGTGAAATTTGTGCTTTGAAGTGCCTTAATGATTAAAACAGTGTTATGTGTTGTTGTTATATGAAATCATTTAAAGTTTACGTTTGTAGAAGAAGTTTGAAGTGATATACCTCTTTTGTGTGTGTGTTTTACTACTGCAGTGCAGGTTGAACCTCACTAATCCGGCACCCTTTGGACCTGACCGGTGCCGGACTAGAGAATTTTCCGAACCACAGGTGGTCTGTAAAATACATAGTATTATTGATGTCACACAGTTTTAATGTAAATGATATAAATAAATATGCATGCAAAAGAATAAAGAAAGAAATATGAAAATGAAATACCTGTACAGGTAATGTATTTCACATACAGTAACATAATACAGTACAGTGTAATTGTAATACAAAAAAATAGATACCGGTAAACAATAATTCTCATTCTGCACTTAAAATGACAAAATAGTTACGGTACCTGTACATAAATTGGTGATGTTCACCTGTAAAGAAGAAAAAAATATCTGTACAGTAAATTAAATAATAAAATAAAGAACAAATAAGGAGAAATTATAAACCATAGAAATAAAATAATTACAGAAAAAACATAAATGTAATAAGTTTACTGACTTAAAATTAAATAAGCAAGTTATGAAAATAAAGTAAAAATACAGGAAAAAATAAGATAAAATGAAGAAATAAAGAAAACCAATTAACTTACATAAAGTGATTACTGATTCTGCACCCAAATTTATGTACAGTACAGGTATGTACACACATATCCAATCCACACTACATTGGAGTTACATCTGGGGTCTTGGCTGGGGTGACATTTGGGGCCTTGGCTGGGGTGACATCTGGGGCCTTGGCTGGGGTGACTTCTGGGGTCTCAGCTGGGGTGACTTCTGGGTACTCTAAGTCATTGTCTGGGTCCTCGTGTCAGGTGACATCTGGGGTAGCAGAAGTAGATGCAATAGGATGTTCAGTTGAAGAGAGTTGCTTACTGGTCTCTGTTGCTTTTTTGAATCAATTATCCCAAGTTTTTTGTTTCATGTATTTGGGCTTTTCTTTAATGAGACTGTCTTTCATTAGGTAGAGATGCACGATTTCTTGAACGGTAAATATGTTTCTCTGCTCCAGGTCTTCTGTTAAATCTGTGGTCAGCTGAATGCATTTGTCAATAGATATTCTTTCTTGAGCTTTCTCCAACTCTTCTTTACTGTCTGTACCTGTACCTGTACTTTGTCCTTTCTGTACCATCTGCACAATTTCTGCATTTGTCGGTTGATTCACAGTTGGTACATCTCGATCGACATCCAGCCACTCCAGTAAACCTTCTTCCCCCATTTCCCTGACCATTGCACGTGCTGCTGGGTTGATCAAACTGTTGGCATACTCCATTAAATCACGCGCAGTTATTTTATTTTGCAGCATTTGAAATCCAGCGAAATCACTCTCCTCGCTGACATCGGAACTGTCCTGAAACATTAGTGTTGGCCATAAATTATGCCAAGCGTTCATCAGAGCAGATGGTGTTACTGTATCCCAGACTTTAGCTACTGTCCAGATCATATCCCTAAGAGTGAATTCTTTTCGAGCTGTTCCAATATCTTTGCCATTATTAATGGCTAACAGCAAATGGTGCATAAACACTGATCCGTATTTACTCTTCTTGGAGTGTAAAATACCCTGATCACATGGCTGAATTAAGGAAGTACAGTTAGGAGGTAAATACAGCCCCATAACATTATCATCTTTAACAAGTAGTTCTGCATTAGGGGGGACTGATCAGTTATCAAGCAGGAGGACAATTTTGCACTTAGGATCCAGACCAACTGATGTACAGTGAGCTCTAGCCTCCCGTACGAAATATTTCTCGAACCATTCAAGAAATATTTTACTGGTCATCCAGCCCTTTTTGTTTGCATGGTAAATAACTGGGAAAATTTTCACCCCCTGAAAACACCAAGGGTTCAGACTTTTTCCAATAATCAACAGCTTGGCCTTGTGTGTGCCTGCAGCATTACTTCAACCAAGCACAGAAACCCTGTCCTTAACATCCTTCGTGCCGACACATGCCACTTCTGTTTCTTGCGCCAAAGTTTTGCCGGGGTTATGACGCTCAGTTTCGTCAGCATTATATATCTGCTCGGGAGATAAATTATCATGTGCATCATACTGTGCATTATCTCAAAGAACTTAGCAGCTGCTTCAGTATCTGCACTTCCCTTTTCCCCACATATACGGTGTAAACTAATACCTTGCCTTTTTTAAAATTTTTGCAACCATCCCTGCAGGTTAAGTTCTTCGTGAAATATTTTTTCCTGTGCAAGTAACATCTCGCCCGACAAAGGAAAACGTTCACTGTGCCTAAGTTTGAATCACTGTATAAGAGCACTGTCTAAATCACTGTTTTTCCCTTCCTTCAGTGTTTTACGCATATCCATATATTTCTTAGTGTTAGATTCACTATAAAACTTAAGGATTTTAAGTTTTTGCTTCTTGACATCATACACTGTAGGTGATCCAACATTGTAAATTTCACATAACGCACGGACCAATATGCCACTGTCCAGTTTCTTCAACAGTTCCACCTTCTGTTGTATCGATATAGATACTACGTGTTTGCGGCGTTTGGAAGCATTTCCTGCTCCAGTATCACCTGCTGGTCACTTAGGAGGCATATTAAGGGTATATAACAAGTGAAATATTACAGAAACACTTGAAATACCTAGGAACACACCAAACTCCATGAGGACCAGATATAAACAAAGGGTATGCTGAACCATGGATACTAGCGCCGGTGGGTACTAGCGGCCGTCCGGCAAACTAAAATTTTGCCGGACGGCGGGAGGTGCAGGACAATAGAATACCGGATTAGGGAAGTTCAACCTGTACCTGTATCATTTTATCATCAACATAATTTAACAACCATTTTCCATGCTTAGGTGGGTTAGCTGCAGTTACCTCATTACAGCTCTCTAAGCAGCACAGTTACTTGCACCCTCTTTTGTAAGGTTCTTTACTCTTAATGTTATTTCTTACAACCTCTCCCCATGTCATTATTGGCTTGTTCCTGGCTCCCCTCCCCTCGATGCCCACATTTCATTGCTATACGGGTTACTTATTATACGCTGTACTGATATATGTCATTTTATATATATGTCACTAACAAATATAGGAAGAAACTTTCATTATACTGTACGTCCCATCACGTATCACACATCTAACAAATAATGTTGTTCGGAATGCATCTCCACATCAACTACTATCCACAACAACATGTTATCCTGACCCCATTGTAAACTGATATGCTGAGGTTTCAAGGGGTGTTACTGTATATGTTGGAATGCATATACTGTACCCCTAATTACGTTAATTTTTATGGGAAAAATTCCTAATTATAAAACATTTCTTTTTGAGTCACTTTTCTCTGGAACACATCCCAACATAATGAACACTGCCTGTACAGGTACAACATTACTCATCTCATGCCAGTTGCATACAGGTACATCTTTCCTTTCACATGGAGGAAAGGTCCTCTGGTCACAGTGCTTGCACATTTTGAAATTCAATTTTCTTGATTGGGTTGTTAAATTTCCTTAGATTTTCGTATAAAAGAATATTAAATTTCCCTTTGATGAAAAACTACCAGTGAAAAGAAAACCGGATTATTTCTGTAGAGCAAAGGATCAAAATTTTTATTAGAGTAGTAATATGTATTACTTTTTAACCTGTCTGTTAACAGGTATATGGTGTTAACATCCATCATCTATGTCACAAAGTTAAAGAAAATGAGGCGAGAAGTGAAAGTTAGACACTGGGAGACAAAGTTCACAAGTTTATTATCATTATGTACTTGTCTGTTTATTCTGTTGTTCTTGTATCATATTTTCAAGAAACAGTTTTCATGGTATGGCAGTTTTATTATCATCTGCATTTGATGTAATTTTAGAATGGAGCCGAATCATGTCTTTTGCCAGGTCTAAGTTTGCAGCTTGATCTTTTCATGCCCATTGATATGTAAGTCTTATTGTTAACAATCCAAGTAAATTTTCTTGCTTAAGACCAGTTCTGTGAAAAAAAATTATCAATTTTAATTTACTAAAAATTCGTTCAACCATTGTATTTGAATAGGGAAATGACAATAACACTGCTAGAACCTTGCATAGGTGTGGATATGGAGGACTTCTATGCCAAAACTCTTTAAAATCCTTACATGCATTAAGACTGGGACATAGTGCCAGCTGCCTCTGTTATAGATCAGCTGTGTGAACATCAACAATCTCTTTCAGATAAAAGTTATTTGAAAGTGACGTGTGTGTGTGTGTGTGTGTGAGAAGGAAGTGTGCATGGACAAGTGTACAACAACACCTCACTGGATAGCAGATAGATTTGTTTATTGATTATACATTTTGTACATACATATACACCTAGTACAATACAGTACTTAATAAACTAGAAGGTCTGAGAATGTTCATAAGGTGTAATCACCAGAGATGAACTTTGATAAATTTGTGTCAACTTAAGAAGTAGTTACAGTATACAGGTACAGTCACTCAGAAAACTATCTGTACTTTGTGTAATATTGTCTCAGCACAATTTTGTACAGATATTTCTTTTGTGACTGTACATATAACTCACTGACGGAGTAAAAATGTTGAAGCCAAAGAGAATCATTTTTATTATTATAGCGTAGGCCAGTATGAGCATTATCTGTGATTTATATTATGACTGCATTTTAAGATGAGATTATCCTTGTGTGTGAGCGTTACATCACGTGTCGGATAGCTGTAATATTTCTTAACCTGCATTTAATTTCCATGTTTGTGAAATGTTAGCAACTTAATGTGCAACTGTTTAAAAATAAAGTAAGGTTGCTGCTCTATATATAAGTCTTCTTTTTAACACATGTATACAAGTTGAAATTGTTTTGATACTTCAGGGATGTGCATCTTTCTCTTATGATGAGCTGCCTTGGTAACTTTAACTTACAACAAACTTTGTAAGAAATAGGGATAAGAACTGGCACTCAAGGGAAAGTTAGCTGCTTAAATGATTGGCACAATTTGCCTGAGCACATTTAAATGAGTACTGTATTGTTATCAAAATATCATAGTTAAAACCAAAAAAGTACATTGCTAATGAAGCCACAGCAAGAGAGCAGAGTGAATGTCTGTACAGTTTGACTAACAAAAAAATGCAATGCTCGTTATATTCATCTACAAATTATCACTTTTATTCCTGTAGATTTACTATCACTAATCAGTACCAAACGTAAGTAAAGAATTCTACTAGAAATAAACATCTGATGGCTTTGTTGGCTATCTATGGTTGAACACTGTTTAATCACACTGTCTAGGTACTGTACATTGGTTGTACAGTATACCTTCATGGTCTCTATATATACTGCACATGCATTGTCCACCATATACAGTATACATGCTGAATCATTTGTTAATGTGTATGATATTCTACAGTACTGAATAATACTGTATCTTTACCTATCAAGTGAAGTACAGTTGTGTCGCTCTTATGCTGGGGTTTTGAAGAACCCAAAATGCAAATAGTCAAAATTACCCTTAAATCACTCATAAAGTTCATTGCAGCTCAGCTCGGATGTGCTGCCTCTGCTGACCAACCCTTAGTGACTGTTGGTAAGGGTCAGTCGGCAGAGACACGGGTGGAAGTACGTATTTCCTCAGCCATACTCTCCTACACTCACTGTGTCGTTCTTTTTTTTCTTGAGCCAAGTTCGTGAAGTTAAATGCTCGTAAGATGCGTCACGACTGTACTGTAGTTGTCTTTTACTGGCACAGTATTGATCTCATTTCATGAATAGTTGTTAAGAATTATCACCTAAAGGTAAAGTATCAGCTTCAAGTTACTACTGTATCTGGTTGTTATAAATTCCAGAAAGTATTGAATGTACAGTGTAGTGTTGGCTTTATTTTGTGTCTCACCAAGATGCTCCTCTCTACCCAAACTGAACAAGTTCTTGTACGGAGCAAATTTTTATTGAATACTTTTATGGACTTTCTTCTGAGTATTTATAATTTCACTTCTGCTTGTTTCATTCTTACATGTCTTACAATCTGTTGCATTATGAAATGATAAAGAAAAATGGGTGAAATACATTACTGTACAGCTATCCCATGAGTTATGGACCAGTTTTCAGGAACGTAACCTCTCCCTGACTTGAGGGATGTTTTACTGTGTATTTTATGTAAGTGATAGAAAACACAACACTTATTTATACTGTATATGGATCTGACCAAGAAGTTTTTGGTGTTGTATGGGAAAATCTTGGCACACCTACCATGCCTCTGTGTCCCCTGCCGTACCTGTGTCACCTACCATGCCTCTGTGTCACCTACCATGCCTCTGTGTCACCTACCATGCCTCTGTGTCACCTACCATACCTGTGTCACCTACCATACCTGTGTCACCTGCCATGCCTCTGTGTCACCTACCATGCCTCTGTGTCACCTACCATGCCTCTGTGTCACCTGCCATGCCTCTGTGTCACCTACCATGCCTCTGTGTCACCTGCCATGCCACTGTGTCACCTACCATGCCTCTGTGTCATGTACTATGGTGCTTCATTCTTCGCCTGCAGTGCTGGTAAGTTACCTTTTTACATTTAGTAATTATATGTGCTCATATATGGGTCGATAATTTTTTATTGTATTTTTGTAGGAGGGGGGAAGTGCCTCGATAAGTAGGAATTTGGGAAAACTCGACGAAGCCTGAGCCCCATATGTGCTGCGCTATCGAGGGTTTACTGTATACTGTACATATATGACGCACATGTCACCTTGGGATGCGACCGCCTGTCTCAGTGTAAACAATGTACAGGTACTATATGCATCATGTGTCGTTCTGCCGTGCAAGCCTTTTTCCACTTTTTCCATCATTGCCCAGTGTTTGAGCCATTACATCTGATAACCATGGACCCAGCACCTACATCTGGTATAAAGGTGCTATGCTTAGAAACATTTAAGTTTTGCTTGGGGCAGATAATGGAAAAGTATATATTTTTATTTTATTTATTTTTTTCCCTTCAGTAGGTGTCCTTCATATTTCATAAAATTCGTAAAGGCTAGAGCCCCTATTATTTTGAATTATAGGGTTTTTATGTATCTCAATACAGTCGTGTCACATCTTAGCGCATTTAACATAAATGCATTCAACTTTATGCGCTTGGCTTAGGGGAAAAAACCCAGTGAGGGTAGGGACTTATGGCTGGGAGAGATACCTCCAGCCGTGCTTCTCGGCCTCAATTACCGCTTGTACTGAGCAGGGGAGGGGCTTTGGGTTGTGTGCCTCTGCTGACTGACCCTTGGCAACAGTTGCTAAAGGTTGGTCAGTAGAGGCAGCACATCTCAGCTGAGATGCAATGCAGTGTGTGCACTATCTTATACAGTCTCTCCTCGACTTACGACAACCCAGACATACGACGGCCATGGTCGTATAAAATATTTTTCACATTACGTATTTTCGAGTCCCGACGTTAGTGATCGCGCTGTGGACTGACAAAATTTTTGTTTGTAATTCCCTTTAAAATGGCTGGCAAGCGTAAAAGTAAGAGTTCTCGTGGTCCTGAGAAGAAAAAGAGACACCCATTTTAGAATTTCTATGTATTATTTTCGCCTTTTCGACTTACGACCTGGTTGTCGGGAAGGAACCCCGTCGTAAGTCGAGGAGAGACTATATAAATTTTGCTTTTTTATGCTTTCATGATTTTTCTTAAATATTCTTTGTTGAAATGAACTTAATAATCAGTGGCAAAGAGGATAAAGTATTTAAACTGAAATAGGCCTAACCAGCCGAGTTGACAGATGCACTATTGACATACTGCCACACTTACAATCACCTCCCACATAATGCACACCCATGCTCTTCATATTTCTTGTTTTATAGTTTTTATATTATATTTTCTTTATTTCTTAGTCACATTAGAGTATTGAAATGATTTTTCCACAACTTCTATAGTTTCATTATATGTACTAATGGCAACATGCATTACCATCTCTCACAGGCCACAGCTGACTGACATGTCAGCCAGCTTACTCCCGGCGTGTGTGTCATAGTGCTGGTACCCTCTCCCGATGAATTGTTCTAATGATCCCAATAAGAAACCTGATCCACCGGGACTGCCTTTGGGTCTGTTGGCCTCTCTGAATAACCACACATGATGGTGAATATGGCCCCTTAGTGGGGAAATATTTAAGAAAAAATACTGTATAAAGAGTATTTGCAACCTGTGTAATGGTTTGGTAATACAGTACGCCCAGATAATTTGCTGATTTTTATTTTGCGGTTCTCATTATTCGCGGATGACACTGGATGTACCCAGGAATGTCTGCGAGTAGTTTTAAAGTTGCCGGCCATTTTGCGGCTGGGACAGGGAGCCATTCGTTCTAGAGACAGTAATTTCCATTATCTGTAGTGCATTGTATATATATGTGTGTGTATGTGTGTAGACACACACACACACAAAACACATACAGTAAATAATAATGGGAAAATCCTCACAAATAATCAGAAACAAATGTAGTATTAAAAATGTTGAGTCTGCCTTCAAATTCACTCTGTGCTTTGTTATTAATAAAGCACGGAGTAGACTTAACATTTTTAATACATTTTTTTCTGATCATTTGTTCTGATTTTCCCTTTATTATTTATTTGTATGTGTTTTGTGTGTGTGTGTGCGTCTACACACACACACACACATATATACAACACAGGTAAAAGAAATAATTGTCCAAAGGGCAAACACATAAAGGGAATATACATTTCTTTGTACACAAATAAGAATGTAACAACCCCCCCGGTCCGCAAATGTTATTCGCTGCCATTTTGAGAACCTAACCCCCGTGAATTTGAAGGGCCTACTGTATAATCATTTGCCTAACTGTTAGAAGGCTCAATTTGCAAAAACACATTTCTGGATTTGGATCATATTTGGGGGCGGGACCAGACAGTTTTATATCACCCTTAGAAATAAATAAAACAAAAAACTACAGTCCAGGAGCCATTTTTCACTACTGTACTTCAGGAGTAATGAAAGTAATATTTTACAGAATCTTGTATTTTGTGAAATAATTATACAAAAGAGGTACTGTATAGTTTTGTGAGGTAACAGACCTTAGTACAGTACAAGTTTCATTTTTTTTTAATTAACAGAGAACAAAAGTCCTGTGCACTGAGAAACAATGGACTAAAATATGAATTCGCTTTAAAAAAAAATTATCTACGTAACACTAAATAAAAGAAAGTCTTGTTGAATCATGAAACCAGAATAATATACAAGACTGTAAATCTGTTCATTATTATCAACATTTAATGTATAGAGCATTAAAACAGGAGAACACAGCTTGCCTAGCTGGGGCAACAGCTGGTAACCTCACCTAACTTAGTACTGTATAGTATACTGTAAAACCCTATTTTTTTTTTTTTAAGGACATAATTATTTCATAACTCCAATTACTTTTTTATTATGGGTACAGTACCTCGTTATACAAGCTCTAACATTAAATAGCCAAGGTACCCGGCTATGGAAGTACTGTACTGTATTCAAAGGTGGGCAGTTGTGCCACAGAAAGTTGCGGCTCAACTTGTGCCGCAACTTTTATTGGTTGCGCGTGCAGTTGCGCCGCACATTTTCCAGAGAGTTGCGGCACAACTTTTACAAGCATTTTCAAATGCAAGGCGCAAAATTTTTCGGCAATAATTCAAATTGGAATACGACCACATAAACAAACGGGCATCCCTAGAGCCGCACATTACGAAAATTTCTGTTTCTGATGGAATAATTCAGCATACACATGATACAGGTCAGGCAGCATATTTCTGAACTGTAAACCAGATGAGACCCCCTCCCTCGCTGTAGTTGCCAGATTTTACCTTTCACATAAACTCTAGAAACTAGAGTTAATGTGAAAGATGAAATCTGGCAACTACAGCAAGGGAAGAGGAGGGAGGAATGATTCATATCATAACCAGTCAGGCAGTCAATAGCACTGCAGTTAAGGCGTCAGTTTCTTGTTATTACTAGTATTATGGATCGTTGTGTGACGAGGAGGAGTCTGTGGCCGGCATCAGTAATCCTGCCGACCAGGACATGGGAGTTGAAGTGACTGAGACTGTTGACAGCCAGTCGACTAAGGCCAGTGGCAGTGAGGCATTTTTTGGTAATTTTGTAATAAAATATTGATATTAACTTTTTTTATCAATTATATTTTGTTTTACTTGTAAATAGGCATTTTTTTTTTAGTATTTGTTTATTTATTTTTTAAGTTGCGGTTGCGCTTGCGGCGAAACTTTTTGAAAATGGTTGCGGCGCAACTATTTCAGCAGTTATGGTTGCAGCGCAAAAAAAAAAAGTTGCACGTCCCCACCCGGCTATGGAAGTACTGTACTGAACTCCATAAAAAATTTATCAATAATGCAAAATACACAATCATGTACTGTATGTCCCCCCCTGTACTGTATATACATGTCTACATACAACTGCATACATAGAGAGAGAGAAATAGACACAGACTTCACATACAGTACAGTACTATAATTAAAGGCAATGGAAAGGTAATTTAGATTTAATGTGTACTGTATCTGTTTCTCTACTCCAGCATTATGCATGCAAAGGATACATCCTAATTCCACCTTTACCACAACTGATAAAGTATTATTATGAACGAAATGATTCTTAAGGTCAATAGTCCCATAACTTAAAGTCACCATCTCACCTACAGAGAAAAGTTTGTAGAGTTGATATATAATCTAAGGGTACAGAAATCCGTAAAAAAAAATTATTTGACATATTTCTCCATGAAACGCTTATGAAAATCAGACCGTAAGGAGTCATTAATAAAAGCTTTTTCTGACTTATCAGGTTCTGATGCAGCACAATTTTTGAACACCACGTCATCATCCCATCGCCTCTTTACTTTCATGTCAGATTTGGGGACGGCAGCAAGATTCAAAAGAGGATTGCCCGATATAATGTTTTCCATGCGAATACGCTCTTCTTGTTCCTGGCGCTCCTGTTGTTTTCTTGCCTCTTCTTCAAGACGCTCTCGTCGTATACGCTCAAGTTCGCCAAACAATACTGCTTCATCGTCAGAATCGTCAGTGTCGGATGCATCGTCATCGTCGTCTTGAGGATCATCAGCATCTAAATTGGCAGGAGCAATCTGGTCCAGTCGTGGCTTTTTTGAGGAGGAGGATGAAGACGAAATTCCCGATTCTCGTGTAGCACTGCTGCTGCTACCCCCACTGCTGCTTCCGCTGGTACGCTTGTCTCTAACGGCACGCTCGCGATCCTCCAACTCACGACGGAAATCACGGCTGCGGAGTTCCTCAGTGGTAGACTGTCCGTGGTCTCGGTATTTTAGCCGCGTGTGAGAGGGAAGATCACGTGCGGAATACTGTTTGGATAAGGCGCTCAGATCGCGCTCTCCACGGCCCATGCCACCCTTGGCTGGTTCAAATGTTGGCCGTGCTGCTGTGGTCATTGTGCACAGGTGATGTCTGAAATGGAATTAGATAATTTGAAATCTCAGAAGATTTTATTAAAATAACTGCACATCCCGTTTAATACGGTACATACAGGTATATCCTTTTTTCCAAGGGTTATAAAACAGTAAACCTATGAATACAAGCAGTACTGTACCATATGTCTGCTTTTAGAATAATTTGAGTACAGTAGTTTATTTTGGGGAAGAAAAATGATGGAAAGAACAAAAATATGAATACTGAAATCCCAATTCTCAATTTGTTGTTTTCTCAAGGTAAGAAAGAAATTATCTCTAAAACAAGTACAAAATTAGTTGAACAGGTTCTGGAATAGTAAATTAACACATGTAATGGGTTTATTGGCACCAGTTTAAGCCTTACTGGGAGTAGTGTCCATTGGTACTGTGTGTGCCTGCTAAAATGAGGGTTATTATATAGGACTAACCCGCCGGGCTGCATAGCGCCTCAAAATTCACCATATCATAGTAAGTTCTTTCTGTTTAATATACCGGGGAAGTTTGGTAAGGTTAGGTAGGTTTGGTTGGTTAGGTAGGTTTGGTTGGTTAGGTTAGGTTAGGTTAGGTTAGGTTAGGGTAGGTTAGGTTAGGTTAGGTCTGTTCTTCATAACCACAACTGTTAAGTAGCTTTAATTTTAATAATATCAGTTTTTTGTCATATTTCCACTATAATATAACAATGAAAATTCGGCATTTTTATAATTGTTTTCAATCAATTTCGCCCTTTGGTTAGTCCTATATAATAAACAAATTTTCTATAGAAGAAAATTAAAATTAGTTCAACAACACTGACTAACCCTTGGTAAATACTGTACTGTGTGTGTCACCTGGACTGGTAAGCCATGTTTTTCCTCTTTTTGACAATAAATACCTGCCAACAGAGACGTTAACGACCTCCCAAGCGGTTAACGAGGTAATCAGTGGTGAAAAGGATAAAGGATAAAGGTTAAAGTATCTGTACCACACTAAACTGTTACCTGCAGTACTGGAAAGGTTACGCCTGTGTCTCCTTTAGTCTCCCGTGGTAGGAATTATTAACAAAAAACTCTACCTTACTCAGTCCAGGTGTCAATACGAGTGAAAAATAGTAATTACTTGACCTAAAATACGAATTAACCGACAAATACTGACACGAGTAGTACTAACTTACTGTTGTTATTGTTTACCAAGACCAACTAACGACCCTAGTGATAAATTACCAAAGAAATACTATAATAACTCTACCTTCATTATTAAACTTAGTACAATAAGGTTATTTCACTATAAATCCTATAAGATATAACGATTTATACCAGAAATAGAGTAAATAATTATTGTTTTATTCTGATAACATTACTCCTTTTAATATAACTAGTTGTTGTACATTTATAAATCTTAACTATACCGTATAAACTATATTTCCAACGAGAAAATAAAGTGAATTTGCTTAAAAAAAATTTGAGGATTATATAGGAAAGTATAGTACAGTATAAAAGGCTGTAACATATATCTGGTTGGCCCTTGATGTGGCAGAAAGAGCTATCAGTACATTGCTTCCGTTTGTGTCGATATATCTTTGTGAGTCAGGCTTTAAAACTCTGTTGTAAATTAAAACGAAGTAATGTAGTAGATTAGAGGTAGAAAATGACCTGTGTTGTGCCCTTTCAAGAACTCCTCAGCCTACCCCAGAAAAAATAATCACAGGTTTCTCATTGACTGTAATTTTCATCTGAATAAAATTAATTATAAATTTACAATATCCTGGTATTCTATTGAACTTTTTTATTGCATTATGCTTCAGTTTGGTCTGTTAAGTAATTCATTATAAATATATAAAAAAAACTTACTTTTATTCAAGTTTTATAAATCCATCAACATTTTCAATTGGAATTTAATTTGTAAAACTCCACTATAAAAATAATCCATGTAAAATTGTAAATTTATATGTACTAATATGGAAAAAATAAAGGATTTTCAGATCATCATATACCTAGAGTGATTTACTTACATATATATATTAAAAGAGTAACTTATAAACCCGGATTCCTCTTACTACAACGAGTGTGTTTTGTTGTTAAGGGACAAATGGTGTAACATAGTTGCTTGTTGAGTTTATATTAGTGTGTTAGTGACCAGTATGAACTATGTCCTCCAACGAGAAGATAATACAATATTTATCGAAATATTTTAAACATAGTTCATTTAAGAGTGACTTACAGAAGAGAGCTGTGGAGACAGTTGTTAAAGGTACAGCGGCTGTTAGTGGGTCGTGTTTATGATTGTTAGTTTTCCAGGTCAGGTTTTAATACGTATATTATTTAACACCATTTTATGTAGATGGAAATATACAATGTGAATAAATGGATTACAAAAGTTACTGTAATCTTTTTATACAATATATTAATGGGCATAAACTCATGACACTGGACAAGACTGGGGGTGCTCTCAAGTCCCTGATAATGCTGCTTTGATTATTTGTAAAATGAACCTAACCAATGCAACCTAACCTAACTTATTGTAACCTAACCTAGCCAACCCAACCAACCCTAGCCAGTGAACCCCCCAGAAACTAGAATCTAACCTAATTGGGTGGGGTGGGGGGGGGGGTTAAATGGTTAAATTCCTAAGATTCCCCAAATGATCAAAAATAAAATACCATTAGTTTTGCTTTTATTGTCTTCTATTGGGGAAATGCCTTTTTTAAGACAATAAAAGCAAATATGTCGGAATAGTGAACAGACTATAAAGAGTAATGTTAACCCTAACCTAACCTAACCTAATCTACATAAACTTGAACTTCACGTAAACTTTGAGACTGTGTATGATTTAGGTTATAGGTTACATAGGTTAGTGTGGTTCATTTTCTGAATTATTAATTACATCTGGGGCAGTACGTTGGAATGTGCCCATCTCACCGAATGTCAACAGAGGTGGTTACAATTTTGTGCCTGTTAAATACAAGATTACCAACATTATATTCAATACTCTTTAATTTATATTACCTGAGGATTCACCTCCCAGCTTATTTTACCTAAAGATTAAGCGACTAAACATGTGTTATTGTTACAGGTGAACAAGATGTGTTTGTGTCCATGCCAACTGGGTCAGGCAAGTCCCTCTGCTACCAGTTGCCTGCAGTCATGGCTGAGGGTCAGTTGGCTGTTGTTATCTCACCACTTATTGCTCTCATTAAGGTAAGCCTGTTGTTGTAGTTATTTTATGTAACTTTTGATCACCTGAGGATTAGCCCCTGGTTTATTTCACCTTAACCAGTAGCCGGTCGCCAGTCCTTCCCTTAAAAGCCCATCCCTTGGTTGGTCAAAATCGATTTTCAGAAACCAGCTAAAAAGTTTCCAACGTCCGTAAGAAATAGGGAAATCACAAAGAAATTCCATACTTGTGTCATTTAAATTATCCGCAGCGTGACGAAAAGTTGTGTAACATCAAATATCGCAGGAATTACCTCCAGCTGAGGGGGAGTAGAGTATTCACTGAGCCTCTACACTGCTACCATGTGTACCACTGTATGCTCGCTCTTATCTCCCAATCAGAATACATCCCTATACATTTTTTATTAATTTATAGTTTTATATTTGATTTTACTTATTTGTGTACTGCCGTATATACTGTATTGTATGTAATGAACATTGAAATAGTTTTTCCACAATTCTTATGGTTGTTTTTTGTAATGCAGTAGTAGCAATATGCACATTCTTCTCCCTGCTGCCTGGAGAGATGAAAGCACTTCAATATTAATAGCTAGATGGTTCTCAAACATTACAGAACAAATTTAAGGTGATTGGTGGGGGGGGGATCATTGTCTCCGGTGGTGGATTGGGGGATCATATTTGTCTCGCCCACAGGATTATTCTTATTGACGATAGTAATCATATAAGCCCTTTAAGGGTTAAGATTAAACACTCTAATCTGAGTCTAATGCTGTCCTACCCTACCCTACATTATATTTTAACCTACCCTACCCTACCCTACCTACACTCACCCTACCCTACCCCACCCTACCCTACCCTAATGAAGACTATTATATTTTAACCTACCCTACCCTACCCTACCCTACCCTACCCTATGTAGACTATTATATTCTAACCTAACCTACCCTACCCTACCCTACCCTAATGAAGACTATTATATTCTACCCTACCCTACCCTAATGTAGACTATTGTATTCTAACCTAACCTAATTTTTCCTAACCTAATCTAATCAAACTTAATCTAACCTATTTTGATTAAAAACAATTTACCCTAATTGAACCTAGGCTGACCAGACCTAATTTAATCTAAAATAACCTAACTTAACCTAATTGAACTTAACCAAACCAAAATTTAACCTAACCTAATCTAAACAATATTTACCTAACTTAACCTCCCAGGTAGCATAGTGGTGGTCAACCCATGAACTGTGGCTTTTGGAAATCGAGGGTACCTCATATATAGTGCAGTACAGTACGCAATGAAGCACGAAATATGAAAGTTAATTTTTTTTTTCTTAAGAAGTTGAAGATATCAAATTTAGAAGCCATAAGAATTATCTAATAATTTTGTACTCATCGTGGGTGGTGAGTTAAGAGTCTGTGAAGTGAGGTGGAATGTCACTAGCAGCTGCTGGTTGTTGTTGTGGTGACAGAAGTGGGTTTTTATGGGACAAAGTGGGTGGGAAGCCCTTATAGCCAGACTGTGGTGTTGTAGGTGTGGGTGAGGGGCCACTGTGGGCAGGAGGAGGGTGATCAGGCATAAATAATCCCAAAACATTCCAAGATGATGACAGTAAGTTGATTCTGAGTCTCCACCATCCTTGTGTCTCACTATAGAGCAAGGGTGTCAAACTCATTTGCCAAGGCAGGCCAGATTTAATATGAGTACACAGTATACAGGCCAAGTAACATAATTATGAGCACTTCGCAATCACCTCTTAGGTGAGTAGTACGACAAAATAGGAAAGGTGGATTTAGTCTGCCCTCGTGCGAAACCCTTAAAAACAAACAAATCAAGTGTTTACTTACCTTGGTCAATCTTATTGTTTGCTACTGCTGCTTCCTGATAATTGGCACCTCTTGGTATGGACCAGTGCATCAAAGTTTGGCACTAACGACTGAGCTGTAGCAACCTTCAGTATTGAATTAAGGAGCGCATCAGTAAGTTGAGACCGAAGTCGAGACTTGTTCAAGTTCATCACAGAAAAGAGTTGTTCACAGACATATGTACTTCCGAACATTGACATAATCTTTGAGGCAAAACATTTAATCCTGGGATAATTTGGTCCAAAATATTGATAAAATGTGCCAACATCAACACTCGTAAACTTGTTCCTCAACACAGAATCACACTGGAGCTCAATTAATTCTAACTGAAGATGTTCTGGTACCTCATTAACACCAACAGAGAATAGGTCCCGAAAAATGAAAAAATTCTTCTCAAGTCTTTTAAAGTCAGCAAATCTTTCTTGGAACTCATTCATTAATTTGGAAATCTTGATGCAGTACTTTTTTGTGTTGATATCAGCATGAAACTCAGGTGTGCCTTGCAGGGACTTCAGGGTCGGAAAGTGAGAAAGATTACTCTCTGATAGTTGCCGTTCAAAAAACTGATGTTGATTGAGTATTTTGTTCTAGGAAATAGCCGACTATTTTATTCAGCTGAGGGATACACTCACTATTTAGTTTTAGCTCCTCAAGGTAAGGCTGGAGCAGCAAATGGGCCGCAGGCCGCATGGAAGAGTGTGTCGTTCCGTATGTTTGACACCCTGCTATAGTGTCTACCAATCATCAACTTTCCACTCTTCGCATGACTTTTGGCACAGCTTTAAATTCATGGTGCCAAATATCTTAAGACAGTGATATAGTGCGATTTTGGTAAATCATCTGAAGGCGATGATAGCAGTTAAAAGGTTGCTCTTCAGGTGAATTATCCTGGGGGTAAAATCTTCAGGCAATCATTGTTTTCTTATGTAACTTTTGATCAAGGTTTAATTTATCCTATTTAGTTTGTATGTTCCATAAGACAATTTTTTTGTAATTCTTACAAGTCTCTTCCTTTTATGGTGGTGGGTGGCTGGGGTTAAAGACACACTCTTCTATCACTTCACTCTAACTGCTGTAACATCTCCATGAACCACATAATGCCATGTTCTCTTGTTGTGCTGCCTCCTGGATGTCCAACTCCATTCAGTACCTCCTTTCTCCTTGGTGTTCCCTTCTCTCTTTAACCTACTGTACCTCCTTTGATTTATGCACAATACGCATTGATTAATGTTTCACTTACTGGATATTGCGAGTGTTGGTGAAGTTTGGCATAGTGGTAGGCTAAGATATTTTTTGGGATGTGGAGAGAATGGAGGAATCCAATTGGGTCAAGAAATACGAAAATCTAAACGTAGAAGGGATGAGAGCTAGAGGCAGACCATGAATGACCCTGGGGACAGGTTGTAAGATATGACATCAGGGTGAAGAACCTGACAAGACAGACGGTGCAAGATGGAGAACTGTCAAAAGTAATCATGGATAACCCACATGAGCATGGGAAATGGCCATGAAACATTAATGATGATGACACCACCTTAGCAAACTCTCATTTCCACATCTCTGTCAAGTGTCTGCATCTCTTATTTGTTAAATGTCAAGCTTGATATTTTTTTATAATTTATAATGTGCTTCTTTGGGTTACAGTGACCCCTCCGTTAACGAACTCAATCCGTTCCAGAAGGTCGTTCGTTAACCGAAAAGTTCGTTAACCGAAACCATTGTTTCAATGGGTTTTTGGGTAATTGGTTCCAGCTCACCGAAAATTTCCTAAATTCAACAAAAATGGTAGAAAAGTTCACTTACTTTGAGGTGTGTATGTAGAAGGCTCCTGGATGATGATGATGATGGGATTTAGAATGGGGGTGGAGGAGAAGGACGAAGAGAAGGCATTGGGGTGGAAGAGAAGTCACCCCATGGTGCCATTTCACCCATAAAATTTTAGCTGTCTGGTGTAATTCAAGATTATTTTCTTTAAATCAACACTGCACTGCATTATATATTGTCAATATGTAAAATATATTTCAAAATGACCAATAATTTGCTTGGAAACACAGAAAAAAAGCGTTTAGTTGAAGAGAGTCTCAAGCAGGATGTTACCTCCAGTGAAAACAGAGAGAGACTAACTCCTGTTTGCTGTGTTAAGAGGCTGGATGCCGCGCATTAAACTAGTCACTTTACCTTCAATTATGTTCAATAATTGTTAAAATGACTAAAAAATTGAATATTAAACTTTTAAAATTATTGAATAGTATAAACTTCTTGATATTTACAAAAATAGTAAGGAATTTAAGCCCTAGAACCGATTAATGTATTGGCGGACTGATACTAAAGCTGGTTGCCCGGTCAGTGCAAGCGAAAACATGTTGAGGTCGGTTCGTAAGAACTTCGTTAACTGAATTGAAGATCCTTATGGAAGGCAGTTCGTTAATCGAAATTACGTTAACCGAGGTGTTCGTTAAACGAGGGGTCACTGTACTTGAAGATCAGTAGCCCCTTTGCTGATCTCACTTAATGATTAGTCACTGTAATGCTAACCTAACCATACCTCCCAGGTAGCATTAAAGTGTTTAATTATTAGGTAAGGTAAGCTAGTCTTCAGGTGATCCCCCCAAAAAACTACAGTTCTGGTGTAGAATTTCCATGTTTTAGAATTTAAGTAAGACTATAGCTAGGTGTCTTTCAATAAATCTGAATCCTCTGAGGTTGACAAAATAAGTGTATGTCCTATTTTGTAATCTTGGTAAATAAATTCTACTCTTCTAGGATCAATTGGAGTGTCTTCAAAAGATGGATATTGCTGCGGAGACTATCAACTCTAAGATGAGGGTCAAGGAACGTAAGAGAGTGATTGCAGATCTGTACTGCATGACTCCCAATACACGCCTGCTCTACGTTACACCAGAACAAGCCTCAACAAATTTTTTCAAGGTACTGTACTTTGCTTAAATATGTTCTGTTTGTCACTTAAGTTGCTGTGTAGATGTACAGTATGTTCTCATTCACTATCCTGTAATTGAATTCACATTAGCTCAGATGCTGCAATGTCAAGATCTTTTCCTGCAATACGATGAAAAGTACATATAGGTATCCCTCGCTTTAAAAATGTTTGAGATACGAAAATTTCTTAATTTCACACCTCGTTCTAATTTAACGAAAGCTTATATTTATTTTGATCCGAGCAAAAAATTCAAATTTACACGTCCCCGGGAGTTAGCTGGGGCGGCTATCTTGGAGAGATGTACACCCCCAAAAAATTATTGGGCACCCTTACGGCGTGATACAATATGACTCGGGTGCCGATTAATTTTTTAGTGGGTGTACAGAGACGTAAACTAGCTCAATGTTAGTTAGGTTTGGGTTATTTTTCAACTCTTAATTTTGTGTAGATGTGTGTAAGTTTATTCACATTTGTTTTTTTTACTCATTTATATGCACACACAATCCTACATACAGAATGTGAAAAAATAAACCTATCATAAGGTTTTAAACATTAACAAAATAAACTTTTCTTAATGCACCAGCAGAAGTTAGTTGGCTGAGCAGGGAAGCTATGTTATGGTTATTTTGTAACTTGTAATTTAAGGTAGAAACTACTGGTAGTTTCTGTGCTCTTATAGTGTACACCTTATTGTATTCCTCCAGGCAGAAGTTACGTCACTGTCCATAAACTTATATAATGTTTCATTTTCAACAATAAATGGCACTTTCATTGCATATTCATTTATTAATGCCCCAAATAATTAGGCTATTTATCCTCACATTTTTTCTGTTTTTTTTAATACACTTGACTGTGAATATTCATTTAGTCTGTTGATTGAATAATTCTATACATCACTATACTATATTCACTGACAACCCCCATAGGCTTTTCAAAGTGTGTTATTCATCAAACTTCAGTGTATGACCCAGTATCAGTTTAAGCTTATTTAGTGTGTAATTAATTCTGTATTTACCGATCCGTTAAAATTATATCAGCTTGATAATGATATGCTGAATCTCTTAGGACCATATGTAACACAGGTTTTAAATGTGAAATTGAAAGTTTCTCCAAAATAACTAACCTTAGCCAGCAGAGTTTTCAAGTTTAAATATTGTCAATACATTCTTGATTATATTGTCTTTTTGTAACTGAAAATTACCTAATGATAGTCACTTGTTATTTGTGTTTATAATGATAATGGTGTACTGTACCAGGGTCTACTTGACCGACTGTACAAGTATAAGAAGCTCTCATACTTCGTGGTGGACGAGGCTCACTGTGTCAGTCAGTGGGGTCACGACTTTCGACCCGATTTCCTACGTCTGGGATACCTGAGGAGCAAGATTCCGGAAACTCCCTGGATAGCTTTAACTGCTACAGCCACGGCCGCCGTAAGTAAAGCTTTAGGTACTTTGTGTTCTCAGGTCATTAGATTTTGATGTGTACACTGATAGCCAACATTTTTATCTTATATTTATTTTTAATCTGTTTATCTTTTTGTTCACACCACTTAAAGAAGCTATGGTTCCTTCTCTGTCTGCCATGTCTCTTATATCCAGTTCTCCATGTAATTGCTGTACTGTATTCCTTGTTTTATCTTTTCTAGACACTCCACAAGTTTCTCTCAAGTGTATAATTTCTGATACTTCTAATGTGTTGTTAGGGAGGGAGGGAGGGAGACAACTAACAGAACAAGACCACATACTCCAGCCTCCATTACATAAACTTAAGAGAAAGTGTCAAGGGTAGAGAGAAAGAAACCTAATCTGTTTCCTTGGTGATTAATCCAATAGCAGGTTCAGGCATCTAGATTTTTAATGGTAAAATTATTCAGGATTGGAGGAGCATCGTGTAGGCTGAGTTTGTCTCTGCTCAACACCATTAAAGCCAAACCTGACAACTTATCTTCCCCCGTAGTAATGCTCAACTATGATTTTAACCTTTGGAAATTAGAGAATATCCTCTCTAATGTTGCAGTTGTTGCAGACTGGGTGAGCAAAACCTGCAGCGGTCAATTTACAGTCTAAAAACAGTTGCTGTTGTATTTCTCCAGGGCAGAAATTGTAACTTTGGGTCTACTAGTGTAAGGTTTAGCTGTCCACACGGCAGCCCAAACATTCCAATCTCTTAAGACTTGTTAACTGTAACTGGTGGTATAATTTCTCTCCAATATGTGTGCACCTTTTCCAGTGACATATTTATATCTTGTATTCTCTTTACTGTACTACGGTATTAAAAAGCCTAATTCCATACTCTGTTGTGTTTATCAAATGTGCATTCAGTTGTTCTCATGAAATAGTGATAAAGATCCATGATGGCAATTCACTTTATCTTGTGTGGTGTGTAGCCCGGCGTGGCCTAGATAGCACTGCATTCAGAGTTGCCAAACTGACTCGCCCCCAATTTTGCCTTAACTACAAATCTCTATCACTATGAACCATTTTTTTTCAATAACTATGCAACACTATCATTTGAAACTCTTTTAATACACCATTGTCTGTTCACCAGCACCTTGCAGGTCTGTAAGCTTAATGCATAAATTAAAACATCTATTTGTAACATCTTTCTCTAACAAGTTCTAAAATGTCCAACTTGTAAGACTTCTTGAGTTGCTGATGATCGTATATGTTTTATAGCTCAAAGGGGAGTGGATTGCCCCCCTCCCTCCTCCTCCTTCTTTGGTACTCCCATGTGTATCCTCTGTTTCTGTTCCTATTGACCAAGTTTGCTCCACTGTCCTACTCCTGCTTTCACCTCTCGCTTAACCCCATCTGAGAAAATGTTGAAGTCATGACAATGTGTAATTTATTTAGGTTTGGTGTCAGTGTTATCAGTGGTCCATAGGGAATGTGTTCCTCTTGAAAGTTCTTGCCCAATCAATCAATCAATCAATCAATCCATCCTCTTGAAACTAAATCATTGTCCTGTTAGTGACTCCCTGAGACTCCAGTTTCAATACTCTAACAGTTTGGATAGCATTAAGTGACATTCTTAAAGTAAACTTCAACTGAAAGTGAGGATATTCTTAGACAAAACCCAAGCTATATATGATATAATATGGAGCCTTAAGAAAATGACATTATTTACATAGTGCTGCAGTTTTGTTTTATTCTGTAGGATTATGAGAAACCTGCACATGTATAGAAAATTATTTAAGTTTAGACAAATAATGTAGTTGTGGTGAGGAGCATCCTTGAAGAGCTTATTGTTTTCTTAAGATTTTAAAAGAAACAACAAATATCTCATTACTTAAGTCTTGCTGTACAGTAGTAGTTATATTATTTCCATTAAAAGAATAAACTGAGTTCTATATATTTTTTACATACCATATGTGTTATTGGTTGAAAAGGTTGTGAATTGTTTGTGTTAATTATATATTCATGGTTCCTCTAACCTCTCAAAGCCAAAGATGCTTTAAGCAAACAAAACAGTTCAGTTAGTGTGATGTAACATACTATCAACTGTAGTCAGGTGACATATTAACTAACTGAATGAAATTGCATTATTTGATTGGAGAAATTATCAGAGGGACTTTAGGTTTTTGTGTCATTGTACTTACAGAAAGAATGACTGATTTGAGATTGGGATTGAACATGGTTGTTTTAATTTGTAATACACTTCACAACTCACCAGTTAGTGCAGGATACATTATACCTTAATAATTTTAGTAACTTACATAGTAACCAAATCTGCAGGTTGTTGACGACATATATCTTCAGTTGAAACTCAATAAGCCGGTCGCAAAGTTCAAGGTTTCGTGTTTCCGCCCAAATTTGTTTTACGACATACGATTCAAGGAAGCCCTGAGTGACGCATTTGAGGAGTTGAAGACCTTTGTTGTTGCATCACTGGGAGATGGTTGGGAAGAAGGTAGAACAGTAAGTATATATGTTCTTACAATAAACTGTTATGTACAGGGCAGCCTTAGTTACAGTTTTCAGAACATTATACAGTTTATGTCAAGGGATTGGTTACTGATTGTGTCATGTGAGAGGGCCAACTTCTAGAGAAATTTCTCAAACTAACATAACGTCTTATTCTGTGGATAGTACAGAAGTTCAGTTGTTTTGTAAAGTGTTCGTCTGATTATTACTAAATGAAATTGAACCAGCTGTACCCTTAATGTTTAGTGGATGTTAAGGCATTACGTACACAGTTATATTAATTATTAGATGGTCATTTATTCATATAAAATTTATTAGTAAAGGTTCAGCACTGTACTGCATACTTCTTAGAACATATTTATTGAAACAGATATTGATATTGAAACAGTTTATTTAGCCAGAAGAACACAGATATAGAGTCGATTAAAAATCATAACATTAACATGGCTGAGCCAGTTGAGAGCCTGAGATATTTATCTTTCACATATTTTCCTGTTATTTTCAACATTGGAGAAATATAAAGATTTTACTATTCTTTTTCATGACTTGTCCTCAGGGTACAGCTTCTTTCAAACTAATGGTGACAACACTTTCATTGTTTTAATTGTCATGTTTTGTTTTAGAATAAAAGATTAGTATTTTCTTCTCTATTAACTCTGCAGGCAAAGTCTGGGTGTGGGATTATTTATTGTCGGACAAGAGCTGCTACAGCAGAGTTAGCTGCTCAGCTGTCCAAGAAAGGTATTCCTACCAAGGCGTATCATGCAGGTGCGTTAACACTAACTATGAAACTTGTGAATTTATTGTTTGGTGATATTTAGTGAGTATGGAAACCACTAATGTCAGAAACTTAGAGTGAACTGACTATTGTAGACATATTACATCAAGTTGTGTGGGTTTTCATTTAGTTTGTCTGATGTTTAATATAGGGCTGAAGGGTAAAGAGCGGTCCCAGGTACAAGAGGACTGGATGGATGGAATATTGCCAGTCATTACTGCCACTGTTTCCTTTGGTATGGGAGTTGACAAAGCTTCAGTCAGGTTAGTAAGATGTACTGACTGAGGTAAATAATCAGAAAGACATATTTTCTCCATTAATCAGAAAGATATAAATAGTTATTGAGAATATTGTAAATTGTGATGTATGATTAGGATGATGAAGGAGATATTCACTTTGAAGATTATTTTACATTGTCAGTTTTGTTTGATGTGATGACAGGTTTGTAGCGCACTGGGGTGTCCCTCAGTCCATGGCAGGATACTACCAAGAGTCCGGGCGAGCTGGGCGTGATGATAAACCATCAAGGTGTAGAATATATTACAGTAAGAAAGAGAGGGACGCTATAATGTTCCTGTTAAGGCAGGTAAGACAACTTTTGGCAGATTGTATAGTGTAGATGATCCTCTTGCTTGGCTTTTATAGTGTAGCAACTGTCTGGTGTAAACATTTTATTTTTATTTTATTTATCTTTTCATTGCTAGAACCAGAATTTAATTGATGTTTAAGTCAATAGATGTGATTACTACTTGGATGCAACAATTAAAAAAAAAAATTGCTAACCAGAAGTGAATATATTTCAATATATTAACTGCAGGACAAATACTACGGTAGTCACCTCCAAGTGAACAATCTTAGGAAACAATAAATTTAGTTTCTCTCCTTGGTCATATATTTTCTCATTTTTCTACTCCATGTTTGGCTGACAATGAGTTTGGTTGGCTAATTGCTTAAGAATTTATGGGAAATGTATGAAGATCTGAAGTTACAAAAAATAAAAATAAATTACTGATATGTCCCATGATTTGATTTACAATTGAAAATTTTTGCCGTCTTTGTAATTTTTTCTTGGTGATAATTATGAAAATAAGCTTAAATAATTTTTTGTTACCACCAATATTCTTATATCTTTAACTTAATTCAGTCTTCTCTAACAGTCACAATGTTATTACATCTACAAACAACTTTCAGTGGGCCATCACTCTCCTGTACACCCCTGTGATCACCATATACGGTACCTGTACAGTAACTTACTCCCTGGGGACAAGTAGACTCCTCTCTACCACAGTTACTCAGCCAGTTGCCTGATTGTCCAATTTCTTCTCATTAACTCTCTTGTAATATGTGGCAAATTAAAGCAAAGTAAATTATTTAGTAATCTTAAATTTCATAAATTTATTTTGTACAGTACAGTAAAGGTGTAGAGTTATAAGAGAAAGTGAGAAATTTAGAAGTGAACAACAGTTTGGAGGTGAAGTGTGGGTATTGTTGGCAACAATGAGAGAGGGCGAGTGTTAAGCAATAACTCATCAGGGGTCAAGCGTGGGATTGTTTTTGTAGAGAATGTACAGTATATCCAGTTATAGAATGGAATCAGTGAATTACTACAGTAATATATTGGCACTTTATACTTTATCCTCTTCACCACCAATTGGCTTCTTAGCCGCTTGAGCCTCAGTTATGTCTCTGTTATGCACTGTTGGCAAGTATTGGGCATGCACTGGTTTTAGAATATACTGTACAACATATGTACCTGCTCCATTGTTGGTCAAGTCTGGTCTTGAAAGAGCTCACACTCGGTGCCGTCACAACACTCTGGCAGATTGTTCCAAGGGTTCACAACCTTCACTCTGAAATAGTTTACCCTGACAATTTTTTGAACTTGTGGCTTCTCCAACTTAACCTGTGACCTCTAGTGGGATGGGCATCCATCAGCTCTAGATGTGGACATTCGACTGAGTAATGTCCTCCGAGGATGTTTATAGACTTCAATTAAGTCATCCTTTGCCACCTATAATATAAGCTCGGCAGTTGCAGGTGTTCTAATCTTTCTGGGTAACTTGGGTGCCATAGTGTAGGCACCAGTCTAGTAGCCCTTATTTGGACGTTTTTAATCAACTGATAGTCTCTAGCATATCTTGGGGACCAAACGGGGTGACAGTCCACCAAATGGAGAAGCATCTCACTTTTGAACAGTCACGAGGGAAGAATTGACTGTCTAAGTGTGTGAACAACCTTTTTAGGATTGTGTTATACTGTTCTCGTTTCAAATCTCATGCAGTTTCTCAACGGTACAGGTATAAAATTATTACTGTACAGTACTGTACTGCATGTACAGTATTTCACTCTTATATTTAGTAGTGGTGTTTAATCTTTGTGTTTACCAGAAATTTTCATGAAAAGAATGTTTTGTGGCATACTGTATTAAGATGTTTTGGGATGTTCTTTTTTCATAGGAATGTATCTCAGCTTTTATAATGGAAGTTTATGGGAAAATTTTTCTCCAATTTGTGGAAAATCAATTTTGAAAAGGTTTTCAGGAACAGAACCCTTTCATAAAATGGAGATGGATGTTCAGAGTAATTTGAAGGAGGTGCTGCATGAATCACTTTTGCTTTTAATTCCAAGGTCAAGAATAAGTATTGATGGGAATTTGTACTAGTTCTCTTAGCCTCTCTTGTTGCTGTCTACAGTACACTTGTTCACCCCACAGGATGCTGTACCTCTTGATCCATCCCAGACAAGAGGAATCAGAATAAAAATTATATAATAGAGAGAGAGATTGATAGATAAATAGTCTTAACTTTAATGAGAGTATTGATTGTGACTATAACACTCTATTAATGTTTAAAGGATGTATCAAAGGCTAAAGCTATGGGCAAACCACACAAAGAGGACCAAGCAAAGATGGCCATTAAAAGCTTTGAGCAAGTTGTCAAGTACTGTGAGGTCCCCATGTAAGTTGAAGTGTATTTTTGAGTTGTGTAGTTTAGAGATATGTTTCATATGTTGTTGTGTAGGGAAAGAAGTGTTTGTGGAGATGTGCATGTTGGTGTGTGTGTGGTGAGTATGTAGGCCTTGTAACCACGGTATATTTTGACCCTAAAGTGTGTGTATATAAACTGTCAAGAGGTACTAAGAGGAACATTGTAGGTGCTTTTCAACTGAACATAATGTTATAACATTTGAGTCATCATTATTCAAAATATTATTATATTATTAATCACATTGAGAGATATTTGAGGATTTGGAACAGTTGATCACCAGTTTATGAGATGAATTTATTTGATTTTTTTTTAAGATGGCGTGTTGTGTGATGAGAGGGAGAGCAATGTTGGATGGTGGTTCTTAGATTATAATTTATGATATGATTTATTTGTCATAGTTACTTTTTTTCTCTTTACTTCATTCAGTTTATTTCCAATGGGGCCATATAACAGACTCCCATCTCACCTGTGCCTACTGTAGCTCTCCAAGCATCTTTGTCACTGTGTCTGTCTACCTTGTTTACCTCCTACTTCTATCATTTCTTGGTTTCTTTGTTAGCTTCTCCTGTACATGTCCTCTTCTCTTCATGCTTCTATATTCCCTCTTTATCCTCTCATTTGTCACCTCTTTTTATTCTTCCTTTTTACTTCACGTATGTTTATAACTCAATACAATACAGTATATATGTAACAAATGTGTAGTGGACATAACTGAGTTAAACTTTGACAGATGGGGACACATGAATACAGTGCCTGCCTAATATTCTTATAATATGGGAGACAACTTTTGTAAGAGACAGCAGACAAAAAACTGTGCACAATAGCATATCAACTCTGCCTGGTCATAGGATCAATCATAGTCGAGCCTAAATTAGACCTTTTAATGTACACTTACTCTCCTGCACTGGTTTAGTTCCTGATCAGGCAGTAGTGAACATAAGTGGTAGGGAAAGGGAATTACAGTACAGTACAGTTTAGTACAGTATAATACGTATACAAGTAACACCATTATAATTTAACAATCGTTTGACTTTGCTGTTTCTGCCAGACTTTCTTCCTTCAGTTATATTATATCCATCTTTTCGTAATACATACTGTAGCTGTGTGCATTATGCTCTTCATCCATCAAAATCTTCTGCCTTGTTTATTTTGACAGCTGTCGGCATCATTCATTTACCAAATACTTTGGAGATAATAAACCTGACTGTAAGAAGAGATGTGACTACTGCACCAATCCTCGGTATGTTGATAAGCAGATACAAGAGTGGAATGCAGCTATTATAAGCAAATCTGTGTACAGGTTCAGACCAGTTGCAGCCTTTGAAGATGGTCCTGAAGACCCAGATCTATATGGTGGAGGAAGAAGGGGTGCAAAGAGGTAAGACTGATGTATCATTGAGAGGGAACTTTGGGTATTGTATTGATCATATGAAGCTAAATTAAGATATTAAAACCTGTTTTACAGTACAATACACTGCACTACACTTTGTATGTATGAAAGTTCAAAAGTAGAGGAAATGCTGTACATTAATTTATCTGTGTACATTACAGGTTCTGATATAAAGAATACCTGTATATATTTAATGTATAAACACAGATTAATTTTCCTAATTTCTATTATTTCAGAGAAGACGATGAATATAAGGGTGGTGAGGATGATTTAGTCTGGGAGGCACGACAATTAGAAAAGAAAGAACGTACTTCCTTGATAAAGGAACAGTTTGAGCTACGTCGTGGTAAAGTTGCGTCCAAGTCATCTTCATATGTAAAACAACAAAAGGAACAAAAAGAGAAGGAAAAGCAGGAGAAAGAGGAGCAGGATCGAGCTAAGAGATCGAAACTCACAAATGTAGAATTTACTTCAAAGATCACAGGACTTAATGTTGCTGTAAGTGTTATGGGGGTGAAGATATTGTGGTGTTTTGTTGAAGTGATGGTTATGAGCTGAGGCTGTTGCATAGAAGAAGGAATGGTTAGGCAGAGTGATAGATAAATAAATGGATAGAGTGAATTGATATTGGCCGGATCTCATGTAGTGGATTAGTTTTATAGAATACTAAAGCTTAGTTCGTGGCATGTCAAAGTACTCAAGCATTAATTTTTGGGGAGAATGTCACCATATTTAATAGTGGATGCTGTAGAGCAGACTGTAGCAGTTAATAGGCAATAATTATTTATTTCATTTTGTAGGTTATCAAAGCTCCAGTCTGTGTTGATCATATTTGTGACTCTTATTTGCTGTATTTTGGTTTAGCTGTTGCTCTGAAAAAAACAGAAATGTGAACTGTCTAAGTAAGACATCAATCACATTTCACAGTAAGTCAGGATGTGTAGGAAAAGTTAATCAAGTCATCAGTAAATTGACGTGAGTTGAAGTGATCTAATTGATAAGTTTTCCTTCCTATATATGGGTAAGAATATAAGTTGAATAACAGATATATATATAGTATATAGTAAGGAAAATTCTCTGATGATTTTGATGTCTGTAACTAAATATCTCATCTCTCCATCATTCATCATCATCGTTGTAGTCCATTTAAATTTTTATCTTCAGTATGACATTTACTTCTTACCGGTTTGCCATATACTTATCGCGAACTCCTTAACCAAGTGACCGTAATAAACATTCCAGTCACGAGAGAGTTACTTACAACTGGTGTCTCAAGCCCTTTCGAAAAACTACGAGGCGTGCCGTGACTTTGGTCCTGTTCTTACTACGTTGAAGGAGTCAGACATCGAGGACGTGGCGGTGAAGCTGGAGTACAGCATCTTCACCTCCACCAACGTCATTATGATGTATCGCAAGGGAATGATGTCACTGGTCAGTCACTACTCAATGTTATGCTGTTTTTTGTTAAGTCTCGCTCCCTGTGGTCTTTATAGAGGATGATGTAGAGTATTGATTGGTTATCTTACTCCTCTCTTTAGTGGTTACTCTTATGCCAATGATCATAACTATTTGCTTATTTATTTTTATCAATGTAAACAGCAAAAAATCCCTAACGCCCCTTGATTACTTCTCCCTCCCCAGCGTAGTTGTGTGTGTGTGTGTGTGTGTCTTGCTGTATTAGTGTCTTCAGTCTTCCTTACAACACAAAGTACAGACATATATTGGTTCTGTTTGTCTAGTTTTTTTGTTTCTTGTTCGTGTTTTCTCATTATGTCTTCATTTGTTAATTCATTCTGATCAGTATGCTCCAAGGAGTATTAGTTTGTCCACCTTTTCCATGTTCTCTCAGGTTTAAGTCTAATTGTACTCTACTTGCTTCTAATAAAATAAGAATTTCTTACATATGAAATTTTCCTAATAAAGAACAACTCTGCTTTTGTTGTCTTTTAGCTGTTTTTGTGATTAATAGCTATTACTATATTATACTGTATTATATTTTATATATCTGTACCTTCACTTTAAAGTATTATAGTTAACTGATGAATTAGTGTTATATAGTACTATACTCAATCATTACAATGTGTTCACTGTTGGAATAAATGTTCTTTGAGTTTAAAATGATGTGTTTCAGATGATGGCCGTCAGAAAAGACACAACTGCAATGACGTTACGGCCTGAACTAGCTGAGCACGAGCCAAAGCAGAGCCTTGGTCAGTTAGCCAAGCAGATTGAAAGTGACATCAAGAACCGAAACAAAGATTCACGTGTCGTCAAAAAGAAAGAAACTCCCAGTCTAAGCTCCAGACGTGGCTTTGCTATGAAGAGGTCACCGACCCACCAGACTTCATTGACTTCATATTTTAAAAAAATTGAGAATGTCAAGGATAAAAGTAAAGGTGATCATCAACTGTCAGAAAGTGAATCTGGTGATGAGGAAAAAGTTAATGGAGACAAAGAAGATGAAGAGAAGGGCAGTAACCTTGGCCAAGAAGGTGAAGGTTTTAAAGATGAGAATATGTCAGATGGTGAAAGCAATTATGATCCTCATGAAAACCAAGAATTTGGTGTGGAAGAAGTCTCTTTATCTGACCTTGAGTGTGATGATGATGAGGAAGAGGAGAGTGGTGAAGATGGTTGTGGTAAAAAAGAGAAGAACTTTAATAGATTTAGTAAGAAACATGATACTGGTGATAAAACTCTTGATGAATATGAGATGAAGAATGTTTGTAATGATGATGATGATGATGATGAACTCCCAGATGTAGAATTTAACTGTGAAGAAAATTATCAAAAGGGATCAAATGATTTAGAAGACAACAGCATCACGGATTATTTCACTGACCAGCCAATGGATGTTTCCCTGACCAAAGAAGAACAGAATACACTTTATTCATCAGTGAAAATCAATAGTGGGAATATATCTAACGAAGAGAAGGAAAGTAAAGATGAGACACAAAAAGCAGACAGTAGGGATAATCCTCGACCTTCCACTGTGTCTTCTGATGACAGCCTGCACTCAGAAGCTGGACCCCACAACACTAAAACTGAAGTTGTGACTCTGGATGTACAAGATGATATACTCATGGAGGAAACATCTCATAGGAAAAGGCATGAAATAAAAACTAAGAAGCCCAGAGGAAATAAGAGATTAACAGTAATTGATTTGTTTGGTGAGGCATGTGATAGTGACGACGTGGAACCTCGGAGCAAACGTAGGAAGTCTTCCACTCATGACGCTGAGCAGAACTGTATAGAGACTCAACATAATGATAAACATTCCAAGTCTTTAGAAAACAAATATAACAAAAGTGTTTTAGAAGAAAGGGAGAATAATCACATCAGACACGATGATAACAACTTTGATAATAAGAATAGTATAAAGGCAAAACACAAACATTATAATGAGGATTGTGACAATGAATCTAGTGGCACAGATAATAATAGATATATCTGTAGCAGGGAAGATAAAGATAATGTGAGAGGGGCTTCTGACAGACAAGGCAAAGAAAGACACAGATCAGAAGAAGGCTTAAAGGAAAATAATGAAAGAGACAAAAGAAGGGAAATTGGAATTGATTTTAAAAACATGAGTTTGCACAAAGATGACAATAAACAAAACCAGAGTAGTGATGATAGTAACCTAGGTGGAGAGAGAGAGAGACACCTGGAGGAGAGATATACCAGTAAGACTCTTGATGCATATGAGAGTGAAGTGAGTTCAAGTAGCAGTAAGTCAAGGAAAGAGTCACAGAAGACATCTAGGGAGTCAGGGAAAAGTAAGAAGGATTCAGAAAAACCTCGTAGGGATTCCGAGAAGTGCTCCAGAGATTCAGAGAAATTTCATAGGGATTCAGATAAATCTTCAAGGAGATCAGAAAAGTCTAGGAGAGATTCGGAGAGATCTCGAAGACACTCGGAGAAATCCACACGAGATTCAGAGAAGTTTCATAAGGACTTGAAAAGTTCAGTGAAGGAGTCGGAAAAATTTGAGAGGAATTCAGAGAAATTGACCAGCCCAAGAAGGGTCCAGGACCACAAGGAGAGAATGAGTGGCAGTAAAGAAAGAAGAGAATCACGGTCAAAAAGTAAATTAAATGATTTAGTTAGTGATTATGCAGCGAACCTTAACAGATCAGATATGACACCAGAAAAACATAAAATAACTGATATATCCAATACGGTACAAAACTTGAGGGACACTGAGAAATCATCTAACTTGTCTTCATCAAAATTTGCTTCAGAAAACAAACGCTGTATAAATTCATTACCGGTGTCAAGTGCGAGGGAAGTGCCGTCACCGATGGACAAGAAGAAAATAGCTGATTGGATAGTTAAGTACCTCATGCCACACTACAAGAACAACAACATCACTGGGAAGGACCTTTTCAAATCACTTGCCAGGAAGATGTCTCACAATTTTCTGCAGCAGGAACTTGGTAGAGGTAAGCCAAGATATTGTTGCTTCAAATAACTGTCTGGGAGCAGCAGTCAGCCAAGATAATGTTGCTACCTCAAATAATTATTCTATAGTAGGTGCTCCTCTACTTAAGAATGTTCAACTTACAAACTTTCAGAGATACAAACATCATCACTGAGGGGGGTTACCTGCCAGAACAGGTGTTTAATGTGGATGAGACTGGATTATTTTGAAGACATTTCCAGATAGAACAAACATTACCTAAGAGGAGAAGAGTGAGTCAGGTTTTAAGGCTGTATTAAAGGGTATAGCTGTACAGTGGTCCCTCGGTTAACGAACACAATTCATTCCACAGAGTCGTTCGTTAACCGAAAATTTTGTTAACCGAATCCATTATTTCAATGGGATATTGGGTAATTGGTTCCAGCTCACAGAAAAGAACATACAAAGTATAAACAAAATGCAGTAAAGTAAACTTACTTTGAGGTGTGTATGTAGAATGTTGCTGGTTGATGATGATGATGATGATGGGAATTAGAAATGGGGGGTGGAGAAGGAAATGGGGATGGAGGAGAAATCACCTTTCTTTGAACCCATGCTTGATGCAGTAATTTTACCAATAAAATTTTAAGTTCACTAGCTGTAATTACAGATTATTTTATTTAAATCAACACTGCACTGTGCTATATATTATCAGTATGTTAACTAAATTTCAGAATGACCAATACTGTAATTTGAATGTAAAAACATAAAAATACTCTGTATTCAAGAGAGCAACAAACATAATGTTTCCTCCTCTGTAAACAAAGTTAAACTGATGCTTTGGCAGGTGAGTCAAGTGGCTGATGGACGCACAAAAAACTAGTTCCCTGTACTGCATATATTATCAATATGTTAACTAAATTTTAAAATTAATAATAATTTTAATATAAAAAATGCAAATATATTAAAGAGCACAACCTTCTTGATATTTACTCCACTGGAAATGAATGTAAACATAGAACCGATTACTGTATTGGCGGACTAGCCGATCAGCTGATGCTCACAACAAAACGTGTTTGTCGTAACGATTTCGTTAATCGAAGTTTTGTTCGTTAACCGAATTGAATATCCTTATGGCAGCTAATTCGTTAACCAAAAGTTCGTTAATCGAGGGACCACTGTACTAAATATCCATAATCTTTTCATTTTTGACAATATGTTTGGTATCTACAGGAGTAAAGTTGGACTTACAAACAAGCCTCAGGAACGTAACTTGTTCCTAAGTAGAGGAGCACCTGTATACTAAATAACTGCCTTGATATACTAACCTATATATTTCATCTATGAAATACTACTGTAAATTTATTATAAACTTTCTATAGTGTGATATTGTTTGTACCGTTGCGTTCCTGAAAACCTTAACGTAAATCAAAATACTGTAATGTAAATCGGGCTCCTTTTAATATGGGTTTCAATGGGATTCATTCTTGGCCTGTACAACTCAGACATGTAACACACAAGAAATGATCCTACGCTAATTAAATAAATACAAAAATATTAAACAACTCGCCACAAAAATAATAACAAAACTTGCCGCTAAATAATGCCGAACTTTGTCTCCAGAGACACGGTCTTCCTCGAAGACTCAACTATCCCAGAGGTGGGAGAGTCACCAGGACGCTTGCTAGCCATTTTCAAAGGTTCAGGCTGACATCGCAAATTTATCTTAGAAGTACATTTTTTCTGCAAATCTGTGCATTTTCATGAGTGTTCCCCAGTTACAATGTTTTTCATTTGTAAATTCTTGTTTAAGAAAAAATAAAAAGAAGTTTTGAAATTTCTACGCTTGTGAAAATGAACGAATTTGTGAAAAAGGGACGTCATTAACACTTAAGCTACTCTATATAAATGATGTGGCTTAGAAATAAAGAAAATATAAAAAATTATAAAATAAGAAAAATGAAGATCATGGGTTAAGTGAACATGTGTGGAGGTATAACTGTGTTGCTGTGCTCTCCTTCCCCTGATGTTACGTTATGGCATACACACAGTACAGTGCAGCAGCCACACGTCTGTGAGTCAGCTGGTTGGCTGTCTGGCTGAAATGGGTTGTATTTCCCAGTGGATAGTTTGAGTGTGGAAGGAGCTTTTTTTTACATAAAATACATGCTATTGTATATTCTAATATGCCATGTATCAATTTTATTGTTTATCAGAAATTTTTCTTCATTTTTGATGTATGCAATATGAAATTTGTTCAAATTAGGCAAATATTTTGCTCATTAAGATGGATTTTGCCAAACGTAAATTGATCGTAAATGTTAAAACCTAATTACCGCTAACACAGAATAATGTAAAATGGATGATCATAAATAGGGAGAAACCTGTATAGTGTCACTTTTAATATGGCAAAATAAATTTGTTTTGTGGTTTACATATTTATGCACTGGGGCACAGGTACAGTATATTTGATCTAATAGATATAATCCTTCTTTGTTTGCAGAGGAGGATGACGCTAAGCAGTATGTTGAGGACTTTTTTGGGAAGGTCATCAAGGTTACTTGTGAAGCAGATATTGCTTTTCATTGACAGATCACATCATTTAACTCACCTGACATGACTCAGTTCACTGAACAGTTCCTAACTTAAAGGATAAAGAGGTTCTTAAAGAGGACTCAGCTGTGATAGTACTGTACAGTACAGTACAGATACACAGTGCACAGGTAAAATGCTGCTGCAGTAAGTTTAGAACCATATTTCCTTCTTGACTGGGAGCTGAATAGCTAGACTAGTGCACCAACATTCCTACTGTGTCTAGTTAGTAAACCATCATCAGTCTTTGAATATTAATTTTTTTTTTTATTATTACAGGTATTATATTTGGTTTTATTTAACACTAACAGTCAAAGAGTTTCCAGTTGTTTAAGATTTGGACTGTACCTCAACTTAGTTACTGTACAATACTATACAAACATTACATTGAATCTGAACATTTCACTTCCAGTTAAAATAATAGGAATTACAGTGTATTCTTTTTTTCAGGGAATTTCATGAATCTTTTTTTTTGTGATTCTGAAGTCATGGGGGGCAAAATAACCGCTGTTGTCTCACACATTATGAACCATGTGTAAATTACTTGTTAATCATTGTTCAGGAAATTTTTTAATTCGGAAAGATATTCTGTAAAATCATCACACTAGTTCACATGGTACATCAGCTATATAACAGTGCAGCTACACAAACAAATATATACATCAATTTCTTAATCTGCATGTCTCATATGTTGTGCTTTGGTATTGTGGAATTGCATTTAGGAGGGTATGATTTTTATTTTTATGCCCCTCCCCTCTTTTTCCCTATAGAAAACTGGGGGGTTACTGAGGTGATACTGTACATATATCACTTCATTCACACCTCCATACGACCCAAGGCCGATAGCAAGATTATAGTACCTAAAAAGGTATCCATCATAGAGCTATGAAATCCTGTAGGCATCTTTATTTACACCTTAGGAAGACTTAAATAAATGTACATGGGTGTTTGAAGCATAACTCTGATTTTAGTTCAAGTGACCAGGAAACAGAATGTGAATTTTGGTCTGTTTAAATGAACTGTGATGTGGATTACAGCACTGTAGGTTGAGCAATGTATCTCTCTCTCTCACGTAGGTTTTTTCTGGCATAGAGAAGGTTGGCAGGAATCAAGGGAACACAGACTCACTTTGCACTTTGTTATTTACTCTTTACAACAGCCTCAGAATAATTGAAGATGAGACACTCCTAAATTATATCACTTTATGATTATACACTGATGCTAACCTAACTTAACACCTCCAGGTAGTGTTAGGGTGTTTAATCGTCAGGTGAAATTAACCGAGGTGTCTCGTGTTTGGGTGATTTGCAGCCTCGTGTGATTATGTTCTACAGTCATGTCCCCTCTGCCTCAAAAAGGTCATGTGATAACTCATTAGGTTGCTCATACTGCAGTAACTATAAGTTTTACCATCCACCCCAGTAAGGCACAACTAGTACATTAAGGTTTTGTATTTTAGTAAATATGAATTTATGTATTTTATCCCTGGGTTTGTTATTGGAAGTACAGTACGGTACAGTATTAAACTTAAATACTCCTTAGTGAACATAATCCTTTATTAACAACTTACTGGTATAAGTTTGGTTGTGTTCAAGAAATTTAACTGAAGTGGTCAAGTAAATAAAACAGGATGGAAAAGAAAAAAGAAAGAACAAAGAACTTGGGTACTCTAATAGTAGAGACAAGTGATCGCAGGCCCTTCGTGCCCGGTGAAAGTTTGAATGCTCGTGACAGCGTACAGCGAATGAGGGTGCGCCAAGTCCGTAGACTTGCATCGTTTTCCAGCGTAAATAAAATGGTTAATTAATTCCTTCCTAAAGAAACCATCGACATGGGAACAGGTTTGTACCACTCTACAAATTTTTTGTGATTTTTCCACCAAGTTTGATGAAAAACGATTGTGCCATTTCGGCTGCCCAGAACAGACAGACACATGGCTATTCCTATAGTATATTAGATGCTTGGAGGATATTGTAGATACACAGGAACACACTACTGTACAGTCAACAACAAAAATTACTGCTCCTTTACGGTGTTGTACAATATGACACACCGGACCAAGAATTTTGAACAACACTTATGAGTTATGTATTCTTTTTTGTTTATCTGTATTAACTATACAGAATACATCACATTGGTTACGGTACACAATGTATGACACAATTAGAAGTACCAGCCTTACCAAATGAACATGGCCTCAGTCGGTGGTCGTTGTGAAGGCCATCAGACCCCAAGGGTGCAGAACAGTTATTGTTGTTGATTGTACAGTACTGTAGTTAGACTTGTATTGTGAGATGAGTGAGAAAAACCACTAGTCTAATTTCTTAAACATCAGTTAGTATTTTACAAACAAATAAAGATCTGGACACACAGGCATGAAGCCTTCACGCAGCGTACTCTTTAACTAATGTATTCCAGTGATGTTAAGGAAGGAAGATAGAAAATGAAAGTAACAGTTAAAGAGAGAGAGGAGTTGTTTATGTGTAACAGTCGTGTACTGTACAGTATGTATGCATGGACATATGCCTACACAGTACAGTATGCCCATGCATGCACACACACACACACATACAGTTAATAGCTGATGTTTTAGTCATATACAATATATAAAAAAAAAATTTCCCAAACCATCCAAGTTGACACTCCAGTCACAGGTCAACAAAATTTTAATGTACAGTACAGTACAGTACTACCATATTTTTCATTCCTTATTTCCATTTATCATCTGGATATCTCAAGTTTTTCATTTGCTGAGTGGATTAATTGTTAGTGTGAGTAAAATTTGTAAATTTTATTTTGTGTTGTAGTTTGTATGAAGAATTATTTTAGAAAACCTTAGGCATTATTTTGAACTTTTCGACAATGTTGTTGAATTGTTTTTGTTGAGTAGCCAGAGTGTTTTAGGATTAACCGTACAATTTTATTTAGTATTTACTGTGTAAGAAATATATCTTTGTATATTCACTGTGGATTGTCTCAAATTCTGTTTATTACTGTACAGTATTGAAAGTAGAATTTTTGAAATTATTGACATGTGTACTGTATGTTATGCACCCTGTCATTGCTGGAGGTTTTCTCTAGGCCAGAGTAATGTATAACCCTGTTCTATTATATTCATTAACAATCTGTTTAAAGTTACACCTAAATCATCTCTTCATATTCATAGTAAAAATAAATAATGAACAAAAACTTTGAACAGCCTTCATATTTATACATATCCTATACAGACTAGGAATTTGAAGAATACTGTATTTGTGTTTTAAGAAACTTCCCACCATTCCCTGCATATTACAGTGCATGTATACTGACAGTACAGTACAGTACATCACATTACAAGTACTGTACATGTACAGTACAGTATTATGATCTGCTTGAGAGACTGTATATAAAGGTTTACTGGAGATGTTCGCTCAAGTATACTGTATTGTGTCAATACAAATAAAAATTATTTTGCAAATGATTTTTAATTATGGAATTCAAATAAAACATGAAGGAATTACCTGTACTGTAGTGTGTGTAATCTCTTGCTATAATGAGAGACATTACAGTATACTGTTTGTTCTACAGTAAATATGACAATATGAGTGTGTGAACCTGTAGTGGCAGGTCAGCCATCACCACAAACTAACCTCTTCTGGTTATCAACAGTTTAACACACTCTTTCTAGTAGCCACCTGCAGCAATTATTACATGTATTAGGGTGCTGTTTGCACCTTTCACTAGCAGGTAGCACCTGGACCAATGGGATACCTATAGTATCCAAAGAAGTCCCTTTTGACCAATGGGAAGGCTGCTCAATTCCCACAAGTCCAAGCTGCCACTGTATACATGTAGCCTAGGCCAGGGCTCACACTCTACTTCAACAGTGCTCTTGTCATCCAAACCTCTGCTCTTCTCAAGATCCCATGGCTATGACTACAGCACTGGAGCCACCAGTGTCTTAATCTCTACATCCCCAATGTCTCACGACTTAAGATGCTTTACCGCCAACTCTTCTCTGGACTTCCCTGAGCCCTAAGACACCAAAGACAACAGTAATTCTTCACCGAGCTTCCCACAACCCCAGCACCACTGTTAACGTTACATCGGCACTGCCTAATCAACATCTCACAGCTCCTTGCTGGCCCTGCTGACATTCAATAACACTAATGCTTTCCTTCTGTTGTTCTACTGCTGGTGTAACACCACTCCTGCAGCTATAGCGCTGGACCTGCCGACGTCTCCATAATTGTATCTCTGTTGTCCCACGACTCTAGCGTTACACCTCTAACGTCCTATGATTTCCCCGTCGTCCTCTCAGGGCTCCTATCAAGATACCAATGACTTCTTCACCGAGTGTCCCACAAATCCAGCAACTCTGTTGATGTCTCACACTCCAACACTGCCTTACCAATGTCCTATGGCTCCTTGTTGCATTTACTGACCTTCCACAACTCCAGTGTTACTCTTCTGCTACTGTTGTAATCTTATTGCTGTTTATACATGCCATATTGTAATACAGTATAGGGTAAGCCTTTATTGCAACACTGTGTTCAGTGTTTGCCCTATTGCTCTTGCCCAACCTTATGAAAGAGAGAGACCGGATTACTAGCTGGTAATCCCTACAAGGAGTGTGGCGGTTGAGTGGATGCAGTATTTGCCTCCTGTTCCATGGGTCAGTGACTCCCAGTTCATCCAGCTGTAACTTGGTGAAGTGAATGTGGTTGAGTGCAACAATGTACTGGCTATGTTGCCTCCTTGTGTACCAAAGTTTAGTATACAGTGTGCTGTATCCACACTGTCCCTAACAGGCAGCCATACCTATGGGACCCACTTTCATTTTTGAATTCCTGCAAACATTTGCCCACCACAGGTGTGTTCCTCTGAAAGTATTACATGCAAAAAAAAAAAAAAACTATTGGGTATGTTAATGTGGTTAGAAAATACTAAATAGTCAACTTTCATGTCAACACAATTTTCACTGATACAGGTAATAATAAATGTCAGATCATGAATTTAGAAACATTAATGCTTCACAATACTGTATATCCTAAGACTTTCTATACTTTATTAAATATGTTGTCACTAACATTCCCATCCTACATCTTCGTTTTTTAAACAAATATATTGTTACAACCATCCCATCCTCCTTTCATCGCTTACTCAGCTTCCCCCACTGGTTATCAGCGGCTAGGGTCGTATGGAAGTACAGAGCAGTAGATATCTCAAGTGTAGTCGAATTACCACTGGCTGTCCCGCCAGTCTCTGGTAATTTCCCAACGATTGGTATCAGTGTACAGACAAACAACAGGCAGGTAGATTTCCACCAGGTCACAGAAACACGTCTGTGCACTGTGGTCTCCTTTAATAGTCACTAATTCTTCACAACACTGTTAACAGGTCCGTCTTCATAACTCACCTCGGTATTGGCGTCCAGTGAATGTTTTCAGGGGATTAAAATACTTAAATAAAGTACCCTAGTTGTAAAAGTTTAATAATACATTAAAACAACACAACAGGGGAGAGGTAAAACATTCCCACAACCACTATGGCAGGACCGGATATTTTCTTTGTGTGCAGTTAAATGATATACTAAAAATACCAATCACGTTTATATCATTGTTACTGTGTTAAATATGTTTTAACATATCTGATACTTCAAATATAAAAACACTTCATTTTGCACCTGCGGCGAGAAAATAAGGTAGAGAGTCTTCTACAACTGATGCTTTACTTTTATTTGTTGCTAAGTGAATGAATAATTTAATTAAATAATTAAAGTAGTCTCGGTGAAATTTTTAATTTTAACTTCAGGTAAGGTTGGGTGCATTATTACATCTTCAGTCAAGAAATATTTACCGAGCCAACATTTTTTCACACTCACGACCGTCGACAGGAGCTGGACCATTAGTGTCAGGTGACCCGAGGTGAACAAGGGTGGACAGGGAGCTTTAACACTTAAAATCCTCGTATAAAGTAAAAGTGAATCGGCATCGCGTGGTGCAGCAATAGGAGGGAGGAAGATGTGTCTTACAGAAAGGTTTGTTGAATTATATTTAGTTTTTCACGTCGGTTAAGTTGTATTTTAGTCAAAAGGAGGAGTGGATTGTGTTTACAGTAGCAGTCAGGTGATTAACTCCAAGTGGTTATTGTCTTGTCATAACTTAACCTCTATGACACGTTGTAGGAATGTAGAGCAGCGATGATACAGTTTCTTGCAGTTTCTATTTTTAAGGTTTAGAAATTATCAGGGAAAAACTTTTGACAGTTGTTGAATACATCCACTCGATTGAACTGCTAGCGATACGTATGAAAATAGAAGTAATTACGTATGAAGGGAGAGTTGTTGAATTATTCAGGTTGAAATTCAAGACATCAATTATTCCACAGCTGTACCGGACTTAGGAGTGTTCAGAGCAAGAAATATCGTACAGAACTGAAACTCCTTGATATTTTCTTCAGGTCACTGGTACCCTCCATTGAGCAAGTCAGAAATCATAGAAAATGGTTATTGGAGTTCTCGAGAATTTTTCAACGGTAACTAATTTTTCCCGATGAGTTACTTTCTCTACTATCGATATCCATTAAATTTTTATTTTTAATTATTTACCATTTCACGTATCACCAGTGTTAGTAGAGGAAGAAACTTGTGGTGTTTGGTAGTATCACACTGGATAACACCTTCTCACGAGTGTCTGGGCCAAGCAGCACTACCACCGCCCTTCAAATTATTTAGTGTGGATTATAATTACAACTCCCTTCACTATGGTAGACATCGATGGATTGTTTGGTATTTTAACTGACGACGTAATAAGAGGTGAAAATAACTGACAGTAGTGGAGAGAAGTGTTAGTTTAGTGAGTACTTGGGATGTGTCAGATGTGTTGGGATGTACTTTGGATGTGTCAGATGTGTTGGAATGTACTGGGATGTGTTAGATGTGTTGGTATGTACTTGGGATGTGTCAGATGTGTTGGAATGTACTGGGATGTGTTAGATGATGTTAGTTCAGATGACACTTTTCTAGTAAGTGATTCAGGAGGTCTCTCAAATATGAGTGAGTAAGGAAGAGTTTAATCAGAAATCTTAAAAGAGAATGTGAAGTAACTGATGAAAATAGGTAGTGAAAGGTAACTACGATTAAATAATGTTAACTAGGAATAACTGTGATGTGAGTAAATGAAATGATGAGTTACCAATGACATGAGTAAGTGAATGGATTGATAAATGTTTATATAAGGAGATAACCGTGTCAAAGGAGGCGGAAGATATGTTAAACCCACATTTTGATAAGGTACTTTTTACTTTTAAGTACTTAAGTATAAAGTACATTTTTTCCAGATTACTTGTTCTCTAAACTACCTCAGTACTCTCCCCACCTCTGTGTCACTGAAGAATCCCATAGTCACTTAGAATCAAATTATATATGTACCAGAAGAGGAAGTTTCTTGGGACTCCCATTTTTAGGAGCGACAAATGGCCTTACTCTTTCTCATAATACACTGGTACTGTATTTAAGATAATTTCGTATGTCATTAAAATAAATATGAAGATAACCTTTTCTCAGAACCCATTACTTGTACCACCTATTATTTCAGTATACCTGGTACTATAGTGTTATAAAACATTTAGTTTTTTTTTATGACTTATCAGACGCCAAACAACTAATTTCAGCAGCACATAATACCCATTTATCCCATAACAAAACAAGGCGACTCGAACAGCGGTGAAAAGGATAACTTATTTGGGGTGTTGGCACTCGCGCATCTTCAGCAGTCATAGGTTCGAGTCCTGGCACTACCAAACATTGCTTGATTCCTCGGGGTACTCCAGTTTTCTCTTATACTAACACTGGAAAATAAATTTCATAATAAAATAAGAAAGAACAAACCAACCGCCAGAACAGGTAAAATATAAGTGGTAAAATACGAGAAAAAAAAAATTCTAGTTTACAGGAGTCTGGCCCACAATTAATCGTTTTCTATCACAAATAGGAAACTCGCCATGAATAGAAAACGAAAGTATTTTAGAGATAATGGTAGTGTTTGGGAAGGCTAACATAAACCTGAGAACGTTGACCACACTGATGCCTCACTTATCAAAAGATTTTGGAACATCTTCAACTGCACGATGACTTCGTAGAGCCCTCAAGTGAAGAGTGTTTCGTTATATTGATTCCTTGTGCGTGTAGCCAAGTAGTTTCTTTAACATTTGTGTACTTATGTAAATGTAAGCTTTACTTTTTTTTTTTTTTTTTTAGTTTATCCTCTTCACCACTGATCGGCTCGTTAGCCGCTTGGGCGATCGGTCACGTCTGTTACGCACTGTTGGCAAGTACTGGGCATGCACTGGCTTTCATAACACACAAATGAGCCTCAATGTTTTATTTCTTATGTAAATATACTCTCAGTGTAAGCTTCCATGTTATATAAACCTCCCTAAGCGCCAATGTTTACGTGAGAGACTCCACGAGGCAAGACACGTAATAATGTTGCAGTGTTCTAGTTTGGTGTCTGAGCTTAGCAACTATGCACCTATATAAGTCCTGTGATTATATTTTAATATTTTTTTCTTCGTTCACATACTTGAGTGATGTCACTAACCTTCAGATTAGAATTAGATAAAAAAAATATTTGTTTTATCTTATTTACATAATGGCCTAGAGGTGGCCTGTGTAGGATCCCCCCATTGTTGATAATTTTGTCAAGGACTATTATGAAGGCCACTACAGTACTGTTCTTTATTCCACAGCTTGGGCTGGTAGACCGGGCCATAGGTGTACCAGCCTCTGTGTGAAGAAGTATTTCCTTATGTTGTTCTGCATGATAACTTGGCCAGCTTGTAGTTATGTCCTCTCGTGTTGGTGGTGCGAGACATCACAAACAAATGTCCCGGGTTCATGTTTTCCACCACTTTCAGGATCCTCAAAGATTCAGTGAGATCTGCCCTATTGTGCCTTGTCTGAAGGGTTGTTGGTCCTAAGGTCCTCAGTCCACTTGGATAATAGAGATAACAGTTCCGGAATCATCTGAGTCGCTCTGTGCTGCACCTTTTCTAGGGGATGTCAGGTCCTTTAGAGGTAGCGTGTCCATGCCTGTATACAGTAATCCAGACTGGGACGTGCGGGAGATTTGTACAGTTGAAGGAACATTTCTCTATCTTTGTACCTGTAGTCGAAGATTCGCTTTATAATTCACAAATCTCAATTTTCCTTCCCCACTTGTTGCACCGCCTTCAGGGAATGATCTGTCACAACGCCTAGATCTTTCTCTTTATCGACAGTATCCAGGAAAGTGTTGTAACAGAATAGTTGTAATTAGGGTTGTTGAATCCTACGTGTTGGGTGTTGCATTTCGTAATGTTAAAGATCATTTGTCAGTCTGGAGACCATTTGAACAGCTCATGCAGGTCTTTCTGCATTGTTGCCACATTGTCTTGAGTTGTTACCTTCCCAAATATCTTCGTGTCGTCCTCAAATTTGACAATGTGGCTCGATATATTTTCATCTGTGTCGTTTATATAGATCACAAACAAGGTGGGTCCAAGGATAGAGCCTTGTGGTACTCCGCTGAGAACCTTTTACCATTCAGAATGTACTCCATTTATTGCTACTCGTTGTTGTTTGTCTTCGAGCCAGTTGTTAATCCACGTCACAATCTTGCCTGTGGTGCCGTGTGCCTGGATCTTAGAGGCTCGTCGTGCATGTGGGACTTTGTCATACACCTTTGAGAAATCCATGTACAACACATCCACTGGTGAGCCTTGATCCACGTAGTCTGTTGACGTCTCAAGGACCGTGAGTAAGTTTGTCAGACAGGATTTTCTTTACATGAAACCGTGTTGTGATGCGTTGATAAGACTGTGTTCGGTCAGGTGTTGGATGATGGCGTCTCTCAGAATTTGCATATATGTGATGTTAGGCTGGTCGACCTGTGGTTTCCTGCTGCACCTCTCTTACCGTCTTGTATACTGGGGTGACGTTGGCTAAATTCCAGTCCCTCCTGGATAAGAGTCTTAGTGGGATGTAAAACTCCTTTATCACCTTGGCCTGTGCTCCGTCCACTCCAGGGTAGATACTAGTATGTCAACCTCCGTCTCTTGTGTGAATAGTGATGTTTGTCTGTCATCCTCCAGGGCCGACAGTGTCCTTGGGTGTCACTTTACTCCTGGCATATGCATAAAAGGACCTGGGATAGTTTTTGATATTTTGGGTTAGTTTCATCTCAAAGTGCCTTTTAGCTGATCTACATTTAGGGCTCGTTTGTATACTACATACAACAATCAGCATGACGCCCTGTGCTCCGGTATTTCTTCCACACTTGCAGGTACTTCTGGAGTAGGTCTGTGATTCATCCACCTCCTCGCCTCCTTGTTTTCCGGGGTAAACATTCCTCTACTGTTAGCTCAAGGATCTTCATGAAGTCTTTCATTGACTCCCTTTTAACGATTTACTCCCAATTAAATATTTGTTTAAGTTATTGACTTCAAAATGGATTAAACCATAAGACTGTAAAACACATAAATAACTCGGATGTAATCAGTAAGTTGTTGAAGACCAATTATTGTAGGTAGTAGGCAGCTACCACACAGGGAGGTACTACCGCCTGGGAAGATATTGGAAGCATGTGTTGTCTAATGGTAGACCCTGCTGCAATATGTGACCAAGTCCCAGGTTGATGATCTGACTTTCTGCCTCTTTTACACACAATTGCAGGGTCTCAATTGTTTCTCTTACTATTGACAACACAACATACATACAGTATATCAGTTTATAACTCTTGATCTGTCTTAATTTTTTCCATTTGTGGATTAATTTATGGTTCAAATAATTATTATTTTTTCGCACCCAGGCCCCAGAGTGGGCCAGGTGACCTGTGCCCGGGTGAACTAATCCCTGTAAAAAAAACTGATGACACACACACACACGTGCACATTAAACATGTCTTGAAGTTATTATACTATAAGTGATAGCCTCTGTTGGTTCGGTTCTCGTCCAACTCCGTGTAGCACTATAATAACTGGTGTGTTGGCTGCTAACTAACACTGACCCGTCAACCAAGATGAAGGTGGGGTGGGGGAAGTAATGTTGGTGTCGGGTTGTCTTGTAAGTTTATAACACCACCTGTATATAACAGGGCTGTTTGATTTAAATCAAGTTTATTAAAATCATTTATTTAAATCACTATTTGACTTTTACACGTAAATGTAAAGGAAAGGCTGAAACAACTGAATCAAACTGCTTACATAGCCGACTGTACTGTTTTATTAATGACACAAACAAAATATGCTCTTATTACACAAGCTTACATAATTAAACACAAGGAACTTCCACTTTTGTAATGTTCACTATTCAGTTTCCTCATCAAGAATTACAATATTTACTTTGTAACTGAAACAACGAACACACATTTTAGATGAGTGTCATCGCTTGTCACCTTAACCTACATGTTGTCTTGTACTGTATTCTGCTCATGCTTCTAACAGGTAGGAGTTATAGGTTAATATTAAAGGCACTAATAACTGGTTAACTGTGAGCTACTGCGTAATGTAACAGGTTGACAGTGATGATGCAATAATCACCTTTAATGTAATATACTCATTTTGGACTGGATGGTGATAATCAGGGTGCAATAATAACTTATTTTGGATTCTGGTTAATACAAACTTGAATACAATAAAAAATCCGATATTAATAAAATAATCCGATTTAAATGAAATATATATTTTTTTTCAAACCATCAACAACTCTGATCTATAATGATTTCAAAGCGTAGTGTTTACCTGTTAGATTAAGCTTGGTCATTTTATTCACAGGTAACTTAACACTATACGGAGAACCCTTTCTGTTGATTTAATACACGCATATCCACTCATACGCTAGGTAGACAGTGTACCTCCCAAGCTTAGGTGAATTCGTGTTCATAAAATCACACTTGGGTGATAATTGTAATAATATAGATATATTAATTAAGATGAACGTTAAATTTCACAAGTAAGAAACATGGCTCACTGTCACGTCAAGGGGTTCGTGTTTAGAGGTGTGGGATTCAGGGGTTCGGTTTAGAGGTGAGGGATTCAGGGGTTCGGGTTTAGAGGCGAGGGATTCAAGGGTTCGTGTTTAGAGGTGAAAGATTCAGGGGTTCGGTTTAGAGGCGAGGGATTCAAGGGTTCGGGTTTAGAGGTGAGGGATTCAGGGGTTCGGTTTAGAGGCGAGGGATTCAAGGGTTCGTGTTTAGAGGTGAAAGATTCAGGGGTTCGTGTTTAGAGGTGTGGGATTCATAGGCTCGGGTTTAGAGATGACAAGTTTCTGGGGTTCGGTAGAAGGGTTTTAACCGACCATTAACTATGTCTCGACTTTTGTATCAGATAATTCTCTCGTTCTCTCCGCCTTAAGGAATACAGTATACTTCCTTATAGCTGGCAGACGGTAGACACGTCTCGGTTACCACACTCAGTTAATTGTACAGTACATCACCACACTTGTTACGTTATGGGTCTGGTCTCACTGTGGCCCTGCAGGTTAATATGTACCACAGTGGCGCTCTCTCTCTCTCTCTCTCTCATATCAGGTGTCAAAGCTCATGTGTACCCCGTGTGTGTTTGGGGGGGGGGGGTTACTCATGAAGCTGGTCCGTTTGTTTTTCTACGGGTTATATCTTGGGGATTTTTTTGGCATGCAAGGTTAGCTTAAGTTATGGTTCAATAGTGACCAAGTGCTGTGGCGTCTTTATTTATTTATTTATTTACTTCTTTACTAATGTTTTTGTTCATGGTCCGGGTTAATTATATAGGTTCATGTTTAAGCTTGGGTTAGTCAAATAGGATCAATTTTAAGCTTAGTATAGGTTCAATTTTAAGCTTAGGGTAAATAGGTTCAATTTAAGCTTTGGATAATTAGGTTTGAATTTAAGTTAAGGATACTCATGTTTAATTTTAAGCTGGGTTGATGCTGCGCCAGGTGTAGGAGGGAGACAGCCAATCACAACCTGTCCTGCCCGGGTGCGTGTGGATAATGCCAAATTACTCTCCGGGGTAATAACGCGCTGTACTTCCAACAGACTTGCTCAGTTGTTTACTGCGGTGATCCGTGACCTTCAGCTTGACATTGTCTGTGTGTGAACGGTGGTTTGGTTAACTGATTGTTTTTTATTGTTTGAGGAGTTGTACTGTCAGTTTGTATGTATGTATCCGTGTGTATGTATGTATGTATTTATGTATGTATGTATATCTATGTATAAATGTTTATGTATGTATGTATGTGTGTGTGTGTGTGTGTGTGCATAATTGTTCAGAATTTTTAGATATTCAAAAGACAAGAGAGAGATGGATGGATGACGCATTCAAACATGTGCAAGATTGTTAGATTAACTTCGTCTCTCTCTCTCTGTCGTAATCTCAGGGCAAGTTAGCGTATGTAAGTAAGTCTCTCTCTCTGTCTCTCCAGTGTCGTAATCTCAGGGCAAGTTAGCGTATGTAAGTCAGTCTCTCTCTCTCTGTCGTAATTTCAGGGCAAGTTGGCGTAACAAGTAAGTCTCTCTCTCTCTCTTTCTGTCGTAATCTCAGGGCAAGTTAGCGTATGTAAGTAAGTCTCTCTCTCTCTGTCTCTCAGTGTCGTAATCTCAGGGCAAGTTAGCGTATGTAAGTAAGTCTCTCTCTCTCTGTCTCTCAGTGTCGTAATCTCAGGGCAAGTTAGCGTAAGTAAGTCTCTCTCTCTGTCTCTCAGTGTCGTAATCTCAGGGCAAGAGACCATATTTAAGCAGGCACAGTCCCTGAGATTGGCACAGTGCCCTGAGTGCCTCGTGGTTCGTGAGGGTGCTACCACCAGCCAGGAGTTCCCAGAACACACAGGACAGTGCCAAAACTAGGGTGCCCAAGTGCCAGATTTAGCCTCCGCCTTACAAGAATGGTAAAGAATGGTTACTCTGAGCGATAAGGGAAAGGCTGTTTGGTTTTGTCTCTACCTCCTGAGTTCCGGACGAAGAGGGAAAGGCTGTTTGGTTTTGTCTCTACCTCCTGAGTTCCGGACGAAGAGGGAAAGGCTGTTTGGTTTTGTCTCTACCTCCTGAGTTCCGGACGAAGAGGGAAAGGCTGTTTGGTTTTGTCTCTACCTCCTGAGTTCCGGACGAAGGAGAGCTGTCGATTTTTTTAGACATGTTTTAGACGTTCTTATGTTTGTAGATTTGGTTAATTTTGAACGCTAAAAGTGCAGGCAGCTGAACTACTTTTGAACGTTTTAAATTACACTGATTTTGAACGATTTTGAACGCTAAAAGTGCAGGCAGCTGAACTACTTTTGAACGTTTTAAATTACACTGATTTTGAACGCTAGAAGTGTTGTGGATTAAAATAATTTTGAATGATATTAAAAAAAATTACATCGTCAATTAAAACAACATGTTGAACACTTATTAGGCGTGCGGTGGGCGAGTGTGATCCAGTGCTCGCGTCCTGCACTCGACAGTTGGGGGAAACAAGAGATCGAGTGCAGTGTCGGCCATACTGTGCTGAATTTATGGATAAGAAAATCGTAACTAATTGCTTAGTTTATTTTGAGAGACAATGGAATTTTTTATTGATGTTTTTAATTTACTTTTGATCCTTAAAGAACCATAGATTTAAAAGAAGAAAATTACCAAAGGAAATTTTTAATAGAGAATAATAACGAAACTGGTCCATGTAAGGGAATTTGTACTGTAAAAGACCAGATGTTTTTGCTAATATTAAGTGTTTTAGGAACCATTAATTTAACCTACTTTCCATCGTCAAAGAACGGTGT